GAATTGTTTCTTCTTTTATAAAATTTTATTCATCTATTTATTTAAAAATATATTTTAATTTTAATTTTTAATTAATTTTATTTTTTTAAAGTGATTTTTAATAAGTGAATATCCTTTTTCAAAGAAAGTTCAAAAATAATTTAATATTCATCTTTTAAATATTAATTATTTTAATTATTTAGAAAATGAATCCAAAATTTAGTTAATTTTAAATTTCCTAATTTATAGTTTAAAAAAAATTTTTAAACTATAACTTTTTCAAATTTCTGGAAAATTTAATATCGATAACCATAATGTATAGCATATATAATCTTTTTTATGATAATCTTTTTCATTGATATCTTTTATCTCTATTATCTTTCATTTTTATTTGTCTTAACTGGCTTGTCTTCTTCTAGAAAAATTTCTAAGGAATTATCTAATTTCTTAGGAAGTTATCTTAGGAAATTTCTAAGGTAAATCGTTGTCGGCATTGCTCGTAAATATACAGGTGTATTTCTAGTTAAACCAGTATCGACACTCCGAAATGAGAGTAATAACTCATTGAAGCCATTCTACTTCTCTTATTACTTGTGTTACTATTTGTTTTATAATGTTTATATATTCATTGAAAAATTGAAATTGAAGGCTCTAATAAGCTGCAACATTTGCAAAGAGCGATGGATATGTTTCGTAATTTTTCACGTTAATCGAATTCTTTATTAGAAAGCTGTTCATAGTTACAAACAAATTGTTGCATACAGTTCCATATATTAGCATAAATTTCGAAAGAAATGCTAAAATGGAACAGAATTTTTAGAATTATAATTTTCGCCTAATGAAAAAATTAATTTAAATTTTTTGCAATAAATAATAGAAAAAAAAAAAACCAAAAGTTAATTCAGTTAAAAATATTATTAAATGAGGTGAAATTTTTCACGAAAACGACTTTTTTTTTCTAAAAACGCTCATCATTTTTGGTTATACACGCTTCACGTATTTATGTTGCCAGTATCAATCAGATTTTTGAAAAACAGGCTTAATCCTGGCTCGAGTGGAACTCGACTATCGACGCTCTGAAAAGTATGTACAACAACCCACTGAGTTATTCTATATTTAATTAGTAATTAGTAGTATTATAAAAATAATCGACCTAATTTGAGAAATTTATTATTGAATTTACTGAGTTAATCTTTCCAATTAAGCGGCAAATGAAAAATTTTAACAAATTTTATAGAAAATACAATATTATAGAGCAAAAAATTTCTATTAAAAATTCAAAGATATATGAAATTAATAAAATTAAAAAATTCTTATTTCTTTCTATAAATTTAATTAGTTTTAATCAACGAAATTGGTGCTAAAGTTTCTACTATTTCACTACGATAAATTATTTCGAAAATGGCAATTTCCTATCGCTAAATTTCTTTTTTATATTTTTTAATTTGTTATTATATCAAATTTAATTTGTTTTTGCAAAAATTCTAACAATTTCTTGTACGAAATCTATTGAAAATTGCATAAAAAATTATAATAGACAAAAATTTTCGGAAAAACTCAGTTTAATGACGATCTACCATTATTGAAATGACCATTTCATTAAAATCTCGGCCGAGTCTAATTCGTAAAATGAAATTTTTGGTAGAACAGAAATTTTTTATGACAAATGTACTCTAAAAGCAGGCCAAACAATAAGTTATGGCGGCAATTCTACTCCTAAATTTATGAAAATAATAAAAATGATTGAATAATTTTTAAAATTAAACTATTAAAATTAAAAAAATAAAACAATTTTTTGACTTGAATTTTCCAAAATATGAGAACTATTTTTGGTTCTTGAAAATTTCCTAAATAGAAATTATTTTTCCTAATTTTTATATTATTTCGTTATCGTTATCACTAATTTAAGTTTAAAGACGAAGGTCTTTCAAATCGTTCTAAAATTTTCTCTTATATTTTAAATTTTTGCAATTAATCGAGTCGTTCACACTTTTTAAATTTTAAATTTTAAATTTTTTTGGACGTTTACTAGAACAATTTTGAAAATATCTTTATAAATATTTTATAAACGATTGATATATCAATTGCACTTTATTTAGTAAAAGTATCCAAAATGGTTTATAAATGAGAAAAATTTTGTGCAAATTTTAAAAAATGGAGATATTTAACAAATAAGTTAAGCAAAAAATTATATTATATTCTAATATTTTGCATAAAATTATATTATAATTAATATTTTCGAGGTAATTTTTATAAAACTTTTTGTTTTTTTTAAATTTCCTTAAGAAATTTAAACAACAAAATTTATAAAAAATATTAAAATTCATTGAAATTGCAATTTTAAAATTGTTTATTGTAATTTTTCGAAAGAAATTTTAAACAATTATTTTTAAAACAATTTTCATTGTTTTTTTTTTGGAAAATCCATTCTCATCAAACTGAAATATTTTAAATAATTTATTTCATGATTTTCATGATTCAATTAAATTTTATATTTTTTGTCTTTTTTTCCGATTTTTCGATATTTGATTGGTAAAATGAATTGAAATAAATATGGAACGAGTGGTGATCGAATGATAATAATTCATCGAATTGATCGATTTGTCTATGAAAATTTTACAAAATACGATAGAAATTTAAATTGTGATTATGAAAAAAAATTATAAAGAAAATTTTTTTCTTATTTATAAGCGAGTAGGATGGCGCTGGTTGGGTTGTTACTCTCATTTTCGAAAGCCCATACTACGATTCTACTCCCAGCAACAACCTGTTTTTCAAGAAACCGGGTGATGCTGGCCACTCTTTTAAATTTCTATTGCCAAGCGATTCACTTAGCTAAAGTTTGTCTGACACGACAAACTAATGCGACGAACTGGTGAGTGTTGTTAGAAAACATATGTGCATAAATAATTAGTATATTCTTATGAAAATATATTGTAGAAAGAAATTATATGAATTTAATTGCAAATCGTGCGTCTCAATTTTATCAAACTAATGATATTTCAATGGAAAATAATTTAGAAATTGATAGCAAAGTTGAGGTAAATTTGCATACTTAAAATAATTTCACATTATTTGCACATTACAAAATTTAATGATTATGCTTAATGAACTATGTTTTTATAAATATTGTGCAACATGAAATATTTGCCTCTTTCTTTTTTAGAGGTTTTTGATCAGAAGCGCCACTGGAAAAAAAATATTATCACTCCTAATATTAATTAATTTATTAACGATTTTGTAAGAGAATAAAAAATTTTGCTGAAAATTTGAAAATTTTATGGCTTATTCTGCACTAGAAATTTCCAGGAAAAACAAGAAATGACAGCAAATAGGCGATGTATAAATTCCAGTGCTCCCTCAAGTCCCGAAAACGCTAATGACCATAAAACGTCGAGTACGTCAAAAAACTATAGCATATGTAAATTGTTGGAAATTAAAGAAGCATCGACTAGTCGAGCAAGGTATTTATCTATTATCATGAATTATTAATCAACTATTTCAATAATTAACAGAATATTAAGTCGAAAAAAAAATGAATTTCAGAAATTGATTAAATTTGATTAATCTGAAATCAATAGGAAATTCAATAAGAAATATTGCAAAATTTGAAAAAAATCGAAAATTTAAATGTAAATAAATTGAATTCGTTAAGTATTAAAAATTAAACTTGAGAAAAATTTAAGCAGCTCATCAGTTAGTGACGACGACAATGGATCAATGGACAAATATCGTCCAACAGATGATGACGATCAAAGCAGGTTAATTGTTTTTGATAATTTCTGAAATACTGGAAGAAAATTTGATATTTCATATATAGTTAGTACTTTAAGTTATTTCCCTTATTCGTATTAGCTAATAATTTTAGAATGAAAATGTCAGATGGAAAGATAAATAAGTGATTAAGGTTATCAATTTTTCAGCTCCTTTAGTGTGTTTTAAAATTTTTTTGCCAAAGAGTTATGTTGTGATAGTAGCGGATTGCACGGTTCGTATCACCTGGATTTCTTTAATGAAAGATTTATTAACCATCGGATATAGGAATTATTAAGACTTAGCATAAGAAATGATCCAGTGTGACTCCAGTTGAGATGAAACGATTATTCAATTAAATGCTTTTATCTTACGGAATTTAATTTAAGGTCAGGCGAAGAAATTGAGCCAATAGCAATTAATAGTTTAACTTGGCCACATTTATTCGTTAATTGCGCTTCATCAGCTTTTAATATACCGCAGAATGCTTCTAGTGATGATGGCAATATTGATAATAATAATCGCAATGGTTCCAATAATTTTAATCATTCTATCAGCAGTAGTAATCTAAATCATGTGCAACATCTTCAGGTTTGACATTCCGTAACTAAACTAATTATTGTCCAGAATTCGATTATTCGCTATTTTTCACTTCAATTTGGATTTAGCTAATTGAAATTAAATTTTCATTAAATCTATTCTTTGCTGAAGAAAAGCATTATTTTATAATTGTTTTCTCCACATTCACATAATTATAAGAGTTTTAGAATGCATATTTATCGTATTTATTGGGATCATCGTTATCAACACAAACAAACACTTTACGAATTATACCATCGAATTATGATAATAGCAGTGGTTGGTATGATAATCTTTTAAAAAATTATATACAAATTAATATAAAACAAACTATGTATACTTCAATATAATAATTTAATAATCTATAAATAGTATTAAGAGGCATTAAAAAATTGATCATTAATTTCTTTTCATCAGATGATAAATATTTATCACAAATTTTAAAAGTTTTATTTCAATACCGTAACAAATTCGTTTATTAATATTATTGGTGTAACATACGGTAAACAGATTTATTGATCGATTGGTTTAATAGATCGAGAATTCTTTTTTAATTTTCTTAAAATTTTTCAAATTTCTTAAAAATATTTTAAAACCAAAAATTTGTTAAATTTCAATTAGTATTTTCATGATTCATGATTTTAAATTAAGCAAAAACCAAATAAATCCGAAAATTTCCTATTTTTCTTCTGAAAAAAAAAAACGATGAAAAGCTTCATACTTATACTTATCGTAATTTGTTGATAAACATAAATTTGTCCATATCGACAGAATCTTATTACTTTTCCCTAAGGGAAAAAATGCTTATAATCGATGTGCCCATTAAATCTGAGTGAATTTTATGATATTAAGTTGTATTTATGTAAATTACTGTATTTCGAGCCTAATATTTTGCATTACTTTTATTTTATTATACATACTTATCCAATGTGTATAGAGAAAATTCTGTAATTTATCTTGATCAATTAAAGCAAATAAAACGATAATTAGCAATTTTCGGTATCTATTAATGTAAATACAAATATTGCATAAGTGTTGTAATATCGGTAAGAATAAAGCGTAATTAATATATTAAATATTTGCATTGCAATATTAGCTTTATTACTGAATATAAAATAATTATTTCCCAAAAACAACCGAAACAACTATTTAGATTTTTTTAAAACTTATTATAAGTGATTTTGAAAAGATAAATATTTGTGAGATTTTGAAATAAAAAAACAAATTTTATAAAAATTTTTTCATTTTTAAAAATTATATTTTAAAAAATTTATAAGATTCTTTTGTAAATTTTTACTGATAATTTTCTGATAATCCAATGAATAAAGGATTTTGCGGAAAAAAATTGAATTCATATTAATTTAAAAGTTATTTTAATTTGAGATTATTATTTATTTATTATTTTACGAAGCTAATAAAGGTATTTAGGTATTCGAACATTTGGCTTATTCCCTATGGTGTCCAGTGCGATTCTCCGGCCAACAACATCACCAGTCAGTGATACATTGCGTCTACCTAATCGCAATAATTTATGTTTATCACCAAATTCTCTTGCATTAAATAAAAAGCAGTCGCGTCCGACATTCACTGGCCATCAGGTTTGGGTTTATAGTCCTTTAATCTCTTATTTGTTTTCTATTTTTTTCATTGCAAAAATGCGCATAATTTCTAGTTTGACTATCTTCAGCAACTGTTGCAGAAACCTTGAGAGGAATTGAAATGCAGGTGAATGTGAGTACCTTCGAACTCCCTTGATCTTTCTTTTCTTGTCATTTTTATTAAATTTTATAGATATTTATGTTGGAAAAGAAATTTGAGCAAACAAAATATTTGGCTGGAACAGATCGAGCTCAATTAGCACAAGAATTAAACATGAGTGAAAGTCAAGTTAAAGTTAGAATTTCTTTTTTTTCTTATTTTTTCTTTTCTTTGCAATAATCCTCTAAAAAAAGTTGAAAAGAGTTTTTCTTTGATTCATTTTTCTTCTCTAAAAAAATTCTGCAAAAAATTGTTTCATAGAAAAATCTTTTTTCGATGTGCAAAAATGCTATAATTTTTTTTGTTTTCCTAAAAGTGAGTGCTCGCCATTCTGTTTAGATTTATTCCACTGGCTTTTTTTACCTGGCAAATTTTATTTCATTAGAGAGTCATTTAATGAAGTAAGAAGTAAAGATAAGCCGTTAGCATCATTCCGAAAGACAGCTTTTACATGCGCAATAATATAATATTAATTAGCTAATCATAATGATAATGAAGTTTTTTTATTAGAATAATTCTATTCATAAAAAAAAATTCGTAGTTTGTAATTCGTAGTTTCGAGTGACGAAGAAGAAGAAAGCTTATGACGGACAATCATTAAATAAAATAAAAAAAGCATAAGAGATTCGTTATATGAAAAATTTCCTAATTTATATAATTTTTTATTAAATTAAAATATTCTAAAAATTATATAATAAAAACAGAAATAAATATAAGCGATAATTTTGATAATAATTTTAGTAATTTGTTTAGTTAGTTATTAGAAATAATTTAAAATTCAACGAAAAATTATTCAAGTTAAACGAATTAAAACAAAAATGAATCATTTTTCAACTCATTTGGGAATAATTATATAAAATATGCGAATTTTATGATAATTTTAATGGTTCTAAGTCTGTTTTATATGTATTATATTATTATTATAAGTAGCACTTGTTGATTTTTAAATAAGATTAAATCAAGAAAGAAATTTATATTTTTCGAAATTTAGGTTAGTGGCTAAAAAGAAAGAGAATTTAGAAAGAGAACAACACCTGGTTGTTTTTAAAATTTATTTTATTGGTGATTATGTAAAATTAGGTTATTGAGCAAAAGAGGCAATAATAGGCTTAAGAAAAAGAAAAGAGTTCGAGTAATCGAAGCGAATGATAATAGCTATTGACACCTGGTTAATTTAAAATTTACGTATCCATTAATTATATCATCGTTTCTTTTTTTCACCTGCTATCGCCTCCAATATAATAGACGAAAGGATAATATGCATAATTAATAATCATTTATCTATCAACAATTAATTACTCGTGATGACGATGAAGATGATAATAGAATGGAAATGATGGCGATAATGTTGACAATGTTGACGATGATGATGACCAATGCTCAATTGCTCTATGAATTACATAGATTAGATGCAAACATACTTAATTTCTTCATTATTCTCCATCAATTATTATTTATTCATCGTCTATTCTTAAATGAATTAATTGAAAATTTTTCTAAAATATTATCCTGAAAATAATAATTTATTTTAATTAATTAATTTTATATTTTAATGATTTTTTTAAAAATTTTCATTAATTTTTTTTGTATTTATTATATTTTTAAAATTTATTTTTGCTTTAAAATTTTGATAATTTAAACAAATTTTATAATTTGTCTCCAATATTTTGCATGGATTTTTCAAAATATTTCTTATTAATTCCAATTTTTGAATAATTTTTTCTTCGAAAAAATTCAAAATTGTTGAATCAAATAATATTTGAGTTATATTTTGAATGATAAATAATGAAATATAAATTGCATATAATAGTCAATATGTTTAAATTGTCTTATTAGCGTCTTATTCATTGAAAATTTTATTGTCAATTATTTCCAATTTATTTCTATGAAAAATGAATATTTTATCTCCATTCAAGCAAATATTTACTATATTTAATCTTTATTATTATTATTATTGTTATTATTATTGCTATTATTATTATTGTTATTTAATATTTACTTTGCATTTTTATCATTATAACATTAAATTACCTTAAAAATTTTAATTCTTTCATTCTTATGATTATTTTTGGCTGATATCAGCTGGTTTTTTATTTTCTTAAGCAAATTCAATTATATAAAAATTATAAATTATAGAAAATTATCAAAAATAATTGCAAAAACTAATAATTATAAAAAATAATATGATTTAGTGAGAGAATGGATTGCTAAATAATAATAATTGTCGTTGGTTATTATTAATCTTAATCGATGTCTAAGCAAACAGAATTAATGGTATTAATATAATAATAATAATAATAATCGATTTTATAATAAGAAATGAATACATTTTTATTGCAACAAATGAATAGCGGTATCTTCAGATTTCATATTGACAATTGTCTTCTTTTTCCCCCTTTTTTTGTGATGATTTATGTATAGAATAAGCAAAGAAGAATCTTCGTTGAAAGAAATAAAGGGACTATATATTAATAAAAAAAATTATAAAAAAAATTTATGAGAAAATTTAAAAAGTTTCCTAAAAAAAATAAAAATAGAAAATAAACATTCGAGAAAATCAAAAGAAAAAAAAATTTTCTCGATTTTTTTAAAAAAATTTAGAAAAATTTTTTTGTTTCAAATCGTTTTTTTTCTTTTCTAATTTAAATATAATTATAAAAAAATGATAATAATTCTAACGTTTTCATTTCAAACTACCGTAATAAAGCAATGCAATAGATGCAATAAAGTGGTCACTTTATGTTTAACCATAAAATTATTTGTTTTGCATGTCAATCTCATAATTTCGTTGAAAAATGGAAAAAAAAATTTGCATGTAGAAAGAGAAAGTAGTTTAATTTACATAAATTGATTTTTAAAATTATATTTGATTTTTTTTTCAAATAACGGAAATATTATAAATAAATTTGTTATAAAAATTTTATTAGTTTTTTTTTTTATAGAATACAAATTGTATGTTTTGTTGCATTACAAAAGGTTAAAATAACGCAAAAAAAAGTACGAAAAGTACGATATAGAAAAAATATTTAATAAAAATTCTTATTCAAATGAATATTTTTAGAGAAAATTTTGTATAGGGATCAGTTATTGAAAAGAACGAGAAAGGAAAGCAGCGCATTAATAATTTCAAAAATTAATATTATTAAAATTAAATTATTGTTAAAATTATCAATATTATTTAATAATTTATATTATTTATAATATTATTTGATTGAATATGAGTTAGAAAGGCTTAGTGGGCTTGTTGCATTCATTTCGAAGTGCCTTGCTCAATTTTCGACAGAATTGAAACTTTCAAAAGTTCGCCAGTTCTTCTGTCGCCATGTGATTCGCTAAAATAAAATAAAATTTGCCTGATCTAATAAACCAGTGCTTAACCTGAAACTGAGAGCTGAGTTTTCTTAAAGGAAAAAGAATTTAAATTTTTTAGTATATTAATTGTTTTTTACGCCATTTTTAGCAAATTTCATCTATTTTTTTTAATTTTTCATTGATTATATTTTTAAATCAATTTAATTCTAAATTTTTTTTTTTTTAAAGGTTTGGTTTCAAAATCGAAGAACTAAATGGCGTAAAAAAGAAGCGGCTGATAATGCAGTAGTTAAGCGATCAAATGGTAGTTCAAATGCTGCTTCGGATAATTCTAATAATGATTCAGTGAATTCCTCAAAAAAGAATATCGAAATTCGACGAATTACACCATTTTGAGGCGGAAAATTTACTTTATATTGGTTTTGTTCAATTGTAAAAATATTTATTATTTAGTAATGCAACGATTAATCTTTATTAATCTTTGCTAAACGACTTCAAAAATCTTTTAAAAATATCTTATCACCTTATCACATCACATAGATCGGTAGATTTTTTTAGTAAGTTTAAATCCATTAATTCTGGTAAATTAATTATACATTGATACTACTGTTGTTAATAATTTCTATTACCGTTTTATTTTATGATAATAGTAAAGTTTGGAAACAAGAAAAAGGAAAGTAAGGGAAGGGAGATTACTATTTGTTATAGCTTAAATTAAAATCTTGCGAACTTCAGAAATTCAATACATAATTTCTTTATAAAAAGTACCATATTTTTAGTACCATATTTAGTATATATGTGTATATATATATATATACAAATATAAAACTTAGTCGATTTAAATTAACCAAGAAAATTTTAAAAATTTTCTTGTATCAGTGATCTCGTTTAATAACTCAAATATTTTTTTTTTAAATATTTTTTATGTTTAATTTGCTGATTTATTTTTTTTTATTTTGTGTGAAAAATTTTTCAGTTTCGCTTATATTTTTGAGAAATACAAAAACATTCTAAATACAAAATTTTATATTAAATTTTATTTTTGCGCTTTTTTAATTTTTTTACTTCTAAAATTTGCTTTTTTTTCATTCATTTTTCGCTCAAATTTCGCTGTTTTTATACAAAATTTAATTATTTTTTGTGTGCAATAATAATACAAAAATGTCGATTTACGTGTTTTTTTAAATTATTATTATTATTGTAATTAGATTGATAAAAAAAAAGTAATTTTGCTTTTTTTGATGAATAAAAATAATTTTATGAATCACATTCTCAATAAAATAAAATACATTCAATTTGCACTTTTATAGTATTTCTTTATACTAAATTCCTTACATTTTTTAATTCTTTTTCGCTACTAATTTATTTTAATATTATTTTAATTTTCTTTCGTTAATTAATTAATTAATAACGCCATTAGTTTTACTAAAAAGTTGTTAATTAATTTATTATAAGCAAATCATTGAATAATTACTAAAATTCTTTTTCTTCTTCGAGGGAAACAAAAAAAATAAATTAATTAACAACAAATTTAAAAATAATAAAATGATTTTCGACAAAATTAGTGAGGATTAGGTAAATTTTTAAAAAGTTTGAAATTTTATTAAAACATTAATAAACAAATAATTGGAATTGAATCGAGAATAGAAAATTCCAATGTGTTGTTATTCCTCATTCGGGAGCGTTGATATCAGTGCTTATTCCTTTTTGAAACAAAATCCTCATAGATAATAAAAAGAATTATAAATATTATTATTGTTATTTTAAATTATTTTAATATTTATTATTACCAAAATTTAAAAAAAGTTAATTTATTTTATCAGTCGAAAGTTTCTAAGAAAATTCATGAAATATTTTAAAAAATAATGATTTATGTTATTAAATAAAATATAAACATAAATATGAATATAATATAATGCAAAAATCTCATAAAATTTATTTTATTTTTTTTCACATATTTATCAATTTTCAATTATCAATATTTGTTTTACTCACCATTTCTGGTTAGACTTAGCTTTTCAGACTTAGCAAATTTTGTTAGCGGTAGAAAGTGAATCACCTGAATTTTTTGCAAGATAGGTTTACTGCCATTTTTCAACAATGATTTTTGCAAGTCTCTTCCATCTACTTTTTTGTAATTTAATTGAATTTCCCTACCCCTCCCCCCCCCCAAGAAAAGAAAGTAATAATTTTATTTCATGAAAAATAAAATGAGAAGAATTTATTAATCGAAAATTTTGAAAAATTTAATTTCAAATGAGATTCCTGGGAAAAACAAAAAACGAGAAAATCTTTTAAGTCTTTTGTCCTTCAATCGTCGCAAAAACAACTATCGTTTTTATGATTTGCAAAAAGTAGTCGTTTTTTTATTTTAAATTTATATCATTTATATCACTTTTATTTCATTGAATAATTTGATCTCTCTTTTTTTTCATTTAAAAATCATAGAAGCACCTTGGTTACAATAAAATTTAAATTGCAATAAATGATGGATTTTTTTGTGAAAAAAAACTTAATTTCTCCTAGGGAAACGAGTTTTCCGTGAATAATTACTATGTTGTTAATGCAATTTTGATTAATTTTATTGCATTTATATATCAATCAAATTAAACGAAGAAGATTGACGATTCTGAAAGCTAATTAAATAAAAAACAAAAAGCCATAAGTTTAAGCTATTTTTCTAAATTCTGAATATGGAAAAGGAGAAAAGAATTATTTCATTGCGGCAAAAATCCCTAGGTCGGGGATGATAGAATGTCTTAGTGGTCTGTAGCTCAATTCAGAGCACCGTATTCCACACAGGAGTAAATCTGTCCAAAAATCATGGTGATATTAGCGGCTCACCTGGATTTCTGTCGCCAAGAGACTTCATGCCATATTGTCCAGTGCGAAAAGCCAATGGAGCAAGTTTAACCAATAATGATGAGGACTCTTAAAAAACAAATTGTTGGTCAGAAATTTTTGTTTATAAATATAAAATGAACTTTATTCAAAATAATATAAAATTAATCATGCGATGAAGATCAAATAAATTTTTTTGTGAGAATTTTCCTCAATAATTTTTTTAATATCATGCATTACTGTATTTCTTCAAAGGATTCGTATTTAAAATTATTTTCTCGATAGAAATTTTTCAACGAAATTTTGACCGATGTTTTTACAAGAATTGCAAGAATTTGTTGTATTAAGTCAGTTAAAATATAAATAAATTAAATAGAATAATAAAGTGGACAGTGACTGAAATTTATCGTATTGAGAGGTAAAGATTCAAATTAAATTTTTCAAAGGGAATAGGCCTATCATTAAAACCCGAGTGGTGCTGGCGAACCAGCTATTTCCATCGTCAAGTAACTTTTTGGTAGAAATTTATAATTGACTTTTTAGTAACTTGCAGAGCAAGCCAAACCAGAAGTGGTGAGTACCACTCATAAAAATGCTTATAATGAAATGAGTCGCGATAATTTATGATGACATTTCACCTAATTTCTTAACATATAGTAAGCAGTTAACCTTCACTCATCATTTTTGGTTTTATTTGCTTCACTTTGCTTTGAGAAATTCGTCTCGAAGTGATTTTCCTGAAGATAGAAATCCATATTTGGGAATTTTCATTTAGATTTTAAGTTTTCCATGGTGCAAATTTAAAACAATCTAAAATTATTTCACCATTGGAATATAACAATGTTGTTTTACTAATTTCTAGCATTTATTAACATTTTCTATAAAAATTATTTCAATTATTAGTATTTATTTCAGCAATTTTTTTAAATCTATCGTAAAGTTTAATTTGCAACAAAAATAAACGAAGGTTTTCTTTCGAAGAAAAATCTCATCTTAATGATTTCTTATTTTCATCAAATACAATTTATTCTTATCCTTGAAAATTCGATTTTAAACATTTTTCAGGTAAATTTTTGGAAAAGAATGGTAGAGCGATAAAATTTGTCTGGTCGGGCAAGCTAGCAGAATAAGCCTAAGCCAGAGACGATGAGCGCTTTTGGAAAAAATTTTGTACAATTTTGTCTCGTTTTTTAAAATAATAATTAAAACACTAAGTAGTCAAATTTTTCAAATTAATTTTTTTTCGCTAATATTTCATTTTTCAAATAGCTCAGAAATACATTCGTTCTCTTAAAATGATGTTTACATACCATTATGTTGCTTAAATTCTCAGAAATTTAGCACCGATAATTAATTTTAGTTGAAATAATGAAGGAATGAAAAATTTAAAAAAAGCAGTATTAAAGCAGTAAAATTGGTGATTCAAATTGCCTATTAAGTCAAGATATTATTTGATATTTTGTAGAATAAAAAATTGGAAACATCCAGAAATACATCGTTCATTTTCGACGTTCTCCGTTCCGATATCTTTTTAAAAAAAATTGGCATTTATTTAATTGATATTTATTGATAAGTGCGAAGGAATATTAATAAACTTTTGGTAATTTTGGAATTTCTAGATGATACTAACGCAAATAAATGAATGCAAGGCCTTATTCCATGAAAAAAACTAAAAAAGCGTTTTAAACCTTTGTCTTGCAAATTATCTGAAATTTTACTCGAATTTTGCAGATTTCACCTTTAATTTATTACGTTTCAATAGTACCATTGCAGTAAATTCAACGATAAAAAAGATCAGTTGAAAATAGTTTAGATTTAGACTTTTGAGCATATAAAATATGTCTTACTCGAATAAATTTAGAAAATAGATGGATTTTAACAAAAATTATTAGCAAAATAGTGGATTTTAAGGACAAAGAAATAGAGATGTTTAGTGAAAATTTGTCGTGGCGTTTTCTTTAGTTATTTTTTTCAAGGATGGCAAATTGCGGTCAAAATAATTATATCACGACGAGTTTTTTTCTAGTAGGCCAGATATAGGTCAGATATATTATTTATCATAATGGATTTTTCATTCCTTCATTATTTCTCTGTCTTGAGCCAAGGATAATGCGATCGTGATTGATTTCTATGAGATTTCTATTTAGCAAGAATAAAAAAATTTACTTAATTTTTCATTCTAAACAATAGTTTATATTTTTTATTTTTTGTACAATCAATCTTTATGAAGGAATTCTTTATTTATTTAATATTTCTTATCCGAAAAAAATATTAAAATATTTTATGAAATATTGAAATAAAACAGAGCGAACTAAAAGATTTAGGAAAATTCTTTATCGTATTGACATCAATAAATGAATTTACGATTTTCAATTTGCAATTTTTTCTCCAAATTTTTCTTAAAATATATCTCAAAAATATATATAATGAAAAGAAATAAAAATTTTTATTAATTCAATTTATACAATCTCTTGTTTCACCGGAGAAGCGACCAGAAAGATTCAATTCACCAATATCAAATATTTGATCAGCTTTATCACCTTCTGTTATAAATTTTTTATCAATTTTTATCTCGACTTTTCGTAGACATTCCTGAACCAACCGATATCTCATTCAAATTCAAGCAAAGTATTAATGAAGAATTTTATATACTAATTTGCTTATATATATATATATTAATATATTTAATGCCTAAAAAGATGGTAAATGAAAACAAAGAAAAAAATTTAGGAAGAAGTAAGATTAACCGAATGCTACTTTATTTTCGAGGAACTAATAAGTAAGTTTCGTAAATTCATTGCCCCTCACTTGAGGAAAGCAAAGTTGTCATCAAAAGTGGAATCTGAATAAAAGATTGATATTGTCTGTATCTCAAATGATTCTCTAGCGGATGATTCAGTAAAGGAAATGGTGAGGAAATATTATTCGATGAAGAAGAAATGGCATTGAATAAAAAATAAATATTGGCTAGCAACAATGATTAATGTCAAATTCTAGATCGATTATAAATATTCATCGATAAATTCACTGAATAAAATTGCAAATAGCCAAAGGCCATGAAATTTGCTTAATCACTGATAACCATGAACAATCGAACAGAAATACTCTATAATTATCAAATAACTCACCTTCCTCTCATCGTTACAATTATGATAAATATTAAGTTTCGGATCAATTTTTGTTGCTTCCGTTTCGGAACCACTTAAAAAAAATGAGCCGTTTTTTTTGCTTTTGCCTTCAGCCATTAGGTCATCTATCGTCACTGAATACGTATAAAATTATTGGTTATATTTTCTTCCTCAACATCGGAAACATTCTTGTTTTTTATTATAATTTCTCATTGATTGACCTATACTTACTCATCTATATAAATCGGCATGTTTACAGGATCTTAGCTCTGCTACTTCCCATGATATTCTGGGAAATCCCCCATTTGATTTCGATAAGGTCTATCTGTGACATACATTATGCAGATATAGAGAATATTGAGCCGTTGAGTTGTTCATGCGTATGTACCTTGTTTCTACCACTTATATCGGACAATCGGACAGTCTACAAGGTCTCTCTGTAATCTGCGTTCTGTCTATATGAACCCCTGTTATAATGGGCTCTCATGCTGCCATTAATCCAAATTTTTTTCAACTATTGGCTGGATTTCCCAATGTTAGTCGTCTCAGTTCGTCGATCGGAATCGGTGATAGTACAATGTCTTAATATATTGTCTGCTTCTTCACTGCTTTGCCAAGTGGTCTCGGAAGTCGACTGTAGCCTATTTATTCATATTTTTTTATCAGTTGCTCTATTATAATTCGCATTTTATAATACTTATTGAGATGAACGAATAAGATTCAATGAAAAAATATCGCATTATATTCGTTCTATTTAATGTCTAAAAGTGCTAAAATAGAAGAAAAAAAAATTATTATTCTACTTTCATCGTTAAATTTTATATAAAAAATATATTTCTTAATAGAAAATCATACGATCAACGTCATACAACTTCACTTTAACATTTTCCATTGGTTGACCGTTACACAGCAAAATTCCTTTGACAGCGACACTTTGTTTTTTACGAAATGTTGGTAATGAATTAATTATCGGAATTATCAAGAATAATACGCTTATTGATCTCATATTGGTCCCTGCAAAATTCTTGATTTTATCATTTACCATAAAATTATCATAAAATAGTAAATCAAAATTATCAGAAAGGAAAAATTATAAGAATCATCAATAACAATTTTTTAGTTATTCTATTGATTTCATTAAATATCACTAAAATAAAATTTTTTTATTCGATGGAATACCTGCTAGAACAATATTACATTCCAGAAACAAAAAAAACGCTTTATGCCTTAAAAATCAAGAATGAATAATAAAATATAAATAAAAAATAATTCAGAAAGGCAGATGATGATCATACAATAAAATATTATTAGTACAAGTAATTTAGCTGATAATATAAATTAACGCTCATATGCTCAGGGTGATGCTGGCGACTCACCTGTACTTCTATCGCCAAGGGACTCCACGGTACATTGCTCAATGCGACAAGCCACTGGAGCGAGTTTAACCAGTAATGGTGAGGACTCTTAAGAAGAACGCTCATATACTTATGCCAAGTAGAGTTTTCCAAAAGATGGTTATCTGGTTAAACTGCTTTATAGCAAATGGAGTTAGCTAAAGTAGGAAGCTGGAAAAAGCTGGAAGAAAAAGAGCGATCTTATAATTTTTCCTTTCTGATAATTTCGAATGGAGTATTTAATCGAAAATATTTATATTTATAAAAATATTTCAAAAAACTACGAACAAAAAGGCACATCATTAGCACTCCATTGAAAAAAAATTTTTGTCTAAAAGTGCAGTAGAAAAGAAAATAAAGTAAGTAAGTAGTTAGCTGTCATCATTTTCGATTAGATTATATTCTCTTCTCCCACGAAAATAAAGTAAGTAAGACTGTATGATTGATGACCATGACTGTATGATGAATTAAAAATGCAAGGCAGTTCCATAGCATCGTTTCGTATACGGTTTTTTAAAAAATAGGCGAACCAAAATTTTTTATAATATGCCAGTGGCAACAAGGCTATGATAATTTAGGCAAAACTGCTAGGCTATCCAGCCCGCAAAAAACGAGACATTTACCAGGCTATGCTAGGCTATGTTCTCAAAATAGCAGAGTTCCATAAAAAATTTCCATAAAAAAGCAATATTAAATATATTAAATATAGTTATTATAATATTAAATATAGTTACAAATAGAAGTATAAAAGTATAAAGTATAAAGAAAGTATAAAGTAAAATTATATAAGTATAATTTTATGTTGTAAATTTTTCTGTTTAACTGTTGGTAATTTTTTTTTTTAGGAACAGTGATATTCACCACCAGCAACGAGTTGAATATTACCACGGTACTACGATTCATAAATATTAAATATAATAAATTATCAAAATTATAATAAATTATCAAAAATTAAAATTATTCAAATTATTATTGTTTAATAGATGAGAAAAATTTTTTTATTAATAACACTTAAAATAGCACAAAATCAGAAGAAATATATTGTTGAAAAATTTACAACATAAAATTAACAAACTATGAAACCGTTAACCGTTAAAGAGAGAAATACTCGTCTGACAAGATCACTCTGACAAAATTCTTGTTTATTTGGTAGGAAAAATTTTTATTCATATTAGATTCTTACAAATATTCTTATTAATTTTCAGTTTAGTTAATGCAATCGCGTGTTTGTCCAGAAAATTGTCCCGCAAGATTGATTGTTCCAATATCGAAAACTGCTTTTGGCGTTTCACCTTCTGTTATGAATTTCTTATCAAGCTTCACAGAGAACTTCAATTTGCATGGCTGAAACTATTTTGTTTTGTCAAATTTTGCTAAATTTTTTTTTTTTTTTTTATATTTCACTAACTAAAAGAAGAAATTGAAATTATTAATCAAAAATTAAAAAAGCAATATTCTCCTAAAACTTTAAAATTTTTTTTTTCATTTGTAAAATAAAAAAATATTTTCATAACATTTAATAGTATACTTAGTATATTATTTTAATAGTATTTTGTGGATGAAATGGTGAAGGATGGTTGAATGATCATTTGCTTCTCGACTAAGATTGGACACCACTGGTCGACTTACTACTCCCTAATGAAAGTTAACCTATTGGTAAAAGTGAATCACGTGAGTAATGCTAGGTGTTGCTTTCCACTGGAGAATAAAAATGTAGTCATTCTAGTAGTCAGTGCAACGTACAAAACGTCGTCAGAAATGGTGAACACTTTTAAAAAACTGTATAATTATAATTTTCATAATTATAATTATAATTTTGAAACGCTTTAAGTCGATTTAAAAAAAGTTGATTGAAAGTTGTTTTTTTTTTTTTTAAACGAGTAAATTTTGCGAACTTTGCAATAAAAATATTCAAATATTGAAATTTTTGAAAGGAAATTGCAAATAAAATCGTTTAAGAAAAAATTTTTTTAATTTTAATTATTAAAGAAACGATTCTTTCAGGAATGGACCAATGGACCAAATTTCGCTCACCTTTCCTTCATCATTGCATTTATGGTAAACATTAACTTTGGGATCGATATCGGTCACTTCAGTTTCATGACCTTTCAATTCAAAATGACCATCACTATCCGTAACGCCTTCATCCATTAAATCATCCAAACCAGCTTAAAATATGACAAGATTTCCACTTTTTAATCAGAAAATTTAGAAAAATTATCAGAAAATCATAAAATTTAGAGAAATTCAGAAATTTGAATATTTAGCAATTTCAAATTTTAAAATTTAATATTTAAAATTTGAAATTTAAAAAAATTTAGAAAATTAACCTCGATCATCATCATAAAGTTTGACTTTAACCCCAGGTTGAGGCTTTCCATTACAAATTAATTGACCTTTAGCTGCAATACTTTGTACGCGACCAAATTTAAATAATGATAATGAATGAACTATTATTATTAATGAAAAGGACAATAACAGCGCGACCAGTTTCATCTAAAAACCTATTTATATTAGAAATATAGTTTGTGTTTCTTTCGTTTCGAAGCAGCGATACTGGAATACTGTGCTTATTGAAATTCTAAAATAATGAATATTTAATTCTAGATGAGCCAACTGCAATACTTCTATCACGATTCACTTATTGGCAAAATTTGCTTGATTCGACAAGAGAGCGGAGCGAATTTAACCGAAAATGGTGAGCGCTCTTAAAATTCTGTTATTTTTCACTATCTCATACTGCAATTTGATTTTAATAGAGTTCATTTCTAGTAAAATATTTTTTTATTTTTAGGAATTCTCACCATTACCGGTTAAAACTCGCTCCACTGGCTTGTCGCATTGGGCAATATGCCAGGGAGTCCCTTTGGCGATAGAAATACAGGTGAGTCGCCAGCACCACCTGAATTTTTGTACAGGCTTACTCCTGCGGGGAACCTTAGCATCGACGCTCCCAATTGGGCAACAACCCACCGAGCCATTCTATCCCCCCAGTAAAATATTTATTTCATGTTGTTTTTTTTTAACCAATTAACCAATTTTGTTTCACATTGTTGTAAGTTCATGAGAAAAACCATTCATTCAATGAAAATATGAAAACATTTCTGATGATTCAAATATATGTATTATTTTTCGTCATATGAAAACTATGGATATTTTGACTAATATTGGAGACGAATAATTGACGGATTAAATTTTTAGTATCTAACTTTATTGAAACAGAATCTACTATAATTTAATATGCTTAAAAATACAAAATACAAATTTAATCATATATTTGTGAGACTTCAGCCTATATTTATCGCTTAATCTTTTTTAATTTGCGCATTTTATCAGTCTATCAAATTATCAGTAAAGTCATAATGATTGCGTATTTTTAATTTTGCTAAAGCCTAAATTTAACTAAATTTAAAACATGTTTTTAGTATTATTTCTTTTTATTTTCGACATTCATATTTTTTCTGAACTAAAATCTTTTAGGATAAATTTCATTGGTTATAATTTAAGCTGAAAATAGAGAATCAAAGAATCAAATTAAAATTAAATTAAAAATTAAAAATTTATTCAATATTTAGCAGTTCAAAATGAAAAATTAGTGAGAAAAGAAAATTTAATTCAAAAAAAAACTTCTACGAGAAGAGAATAGAACGGTTTAGATAGTGCGAAATAAGCCAAAAATGAATGAATTAAAGCAATAAGTGAATGAGAGACATCTTACATATGTTCAATAAAAATGAAAATATTGCAATCAAGTTATATATTTCGACCGGTTTTATAAAAATTCACCGTATAAATGATAATTATGAAAACAAATTAATAGTGAAATTAATTATAAAATATTAGCGATAAGCGAATAAATTATCTAAATAAATAATAAAAAAACAAATGATAAATTTTTATAAATATTTAAGAACATATTTATAATATAATTATAAAAAATATAAATATAATATAAGAAAATAAAAAAAGCATACTAAACATATTTCTAGTTTTTAGTGGAATAAAACGCAGGTTTTTACATTCTGCTTTCTGGAATGCTCAATATTCTCAATATTTCCAAAAAAAAAACAAACAAGCGGTGAAAGTGATAAGAAAAAAGATTTAAAATCAAAAAAAGTTATAAAAATCAAAATATCTTTATTATTATCTTTATTATTATTGTTATTATTCAATATTTTTTTCAAAATATTTTTTCGTCTTATCACCTGAAAAATGCGAAAACGTATGATGAGCCCCTATCAGATAAATGAATGAATCGTTGAAAAATATTGCACATCATATGAAATGAATCATTAATTGAAAAATTGATTACTTGAAAAGAAGGCTTTTGTTTAAATTTTTCAAATTTTTCATTAATTTATAAAAAAAATATTTGTCCCTTTTAGAAAAAAATTAATAATAATTCTAATATAAGAAATCATATAAGAAAAATTACCATCGTTGATAGTGATTGCATTAATTCTAAGGGCGTTCATCATTAAATTCGTTTCGCTATCCGATGGATTTCGAGTAGTAAAACCTTGCCAGAGAATTACTTGAAAAAGTGCTCGATTTTAAATACCTTGTATCCACTCTAATCTAAAATAGCCAAGCAAAAGATGAAGTTAAACTCGGATAATGATAACTGGAAATGTGCTCTTCCTGTTTTATGAAATCATCGAAAAATCACCATAAAGGCGAAAATCTTGAATTCTAAGTAAATTTTGCTATTGCATAAGAATTCACCTTTATATTACATATATTTTACTTATGTTATTTATATTTGCTGCTTTACGACTATAATCATTTGCAATATTGTTAAGAGTTCATTTTGATAATATTTTATTGACAACAGTGTAAATATAAATATTATTTCACAAAATTTTATTGATAAGAAATAAATGCTCGATAATGTGCTAACAAATACAGCGAGAATTGGCCTCAAAATCAATAAATCAATGTAAATAAAACGAAAATGTTTTCGTCTTATACAAGATACTGATAAAATACTTATTTTTATCAATTCATTGCCAGTTGAGGAAGTGCCCGACTTTAAATATTTTGGGTTCATTCTATTCCCAAATGGCCAGTAAAATTGTAACAACAGCTAGAAATAAGTTTATCTGGTTGCGAAATCTTTATGAAACTGTCGCGAAATTACTAAAAAGAAAAAATTCTGCAACTCGCTCGATCTTATTATAATGGGAATAGAATGAATAGAATGGAATAGAATGGCTTCGAAATATGGACAGTGAGAGTGGAAGATATTAAAAAGCTATCAGCCTTTGACCATGTTTAACATATATCCTTACGAGTTCACCAAGCAGATAAAATAGCATATGATTGCATCCATTTTAGCTCAAGTACCACCTCCATTAATATTATCACAAAACGCCGTCTTCGCTGGGCATGTTGTTCATTGTCCAACATAGAGGGCAATATTTCATTTGTTACTCTGTGAAGGACGGTGTTAGAAACAAAGAGGGACAATCAAGATTTAGACTGATATAGACAGGAAGGATTTTGAACGCATAGAGGGACCAGCGATATATGGACTTAGAATGGAAAAAGGAATGGCTTCTATTACTATTTGCATGCTGCCGGATCAAGCAGCTTGGAGAAGTCTTCTCCTGTAGCCAGCGGAGCCAGTAATGGTGAGGGCTGTTAGAAGAAGAATCACTTGGCGATAGAAATACATATCACCAGCAACATCAGGATTTTTGAGAGAATTTATTCCTAATGAGTGCACAATTAAGACATTGGTGCTCCGAAATCAGAGCAACAACTCATTGACACATTGTAATATTAATTGAATGATTGGCAAAATGAAGATTTTGTAAAATATTATTAAATTATTAGATGATAAAGATAAAGATGAAAACTGAAATACTGCAAAAATTGTTTTTGATTAATTATGGTGTTTGAAATTTTTGACAAAAATTTTCGGCAAAGAAATTTTTCAAATTTTGAACAAAGAAAAGCCAGAAAAAAAGTTTATTAAACTGATTGTTTATAAATTTATTTCATGCAAATTTTTTCCTTCACTTCGTCTTCAAGTGATAAATTCAAATTTTAAATGCGAATTATCTTATTCTTCCTACATGCATTTAGGGGGTTCGATTCATGACCTTTGACTGAAGCAAAATTATCATTAATAGCAGATGGTACTGGACGGCGATCACTCTATAATCAAGTGATTCTCTATAGGAGATGTTTAATCTTAGCATGTGGGAAGAATAAGAAAATTCTTCTTTATAAAAGCTAATTTTAAGTTCCATAGCAAATTTATTTTTTATATTCTATAATTTATTTTTATAACATTGATCATTAGATTAGATTTTCGTGTTTTATGATCTATATTTATTATAATGAAAATTTTTATTAATTCTCAATTTCTGGTTTTTTGCTGGCACCAACTTTCACTTTAATGGTTTTTTGCCAGCATTAATTCATTAACTTTTTTTTATGATTCGTTTCATTTAATTTCAAACAAAATTAAAATTTCTGAAATTAAAATTTATCATTTATTAACTTGTATTGTTGCATTAAAGCGGCAATTTTTTTAATCATTGATTTTAATCATTAATTTTTTTAATTATTTAATCTGATTTTTGATATATTGTTGATCAAATTATCATTTTTAGTTGTATTCACCCTACTAAATGATAGATAGTTCGACTAGAAATTTTTGCTAAACAGACAATTGGTCCAAATTTTTTAATGACAGGTTTATTCTTCAAAAGGCTTTATATTTAAATCGGAGTGAATTATTTATTTAAATTATTTATATGGAGATTTTCTAAACTATAAATTGCGAATCTTTTTTCGGCTATGTTAATGTCAACTGATAAGTGTAATTCAAGTGAAATCTCTTGATAAAATATGTTTTCCTCCAACAAACTGAATTGGTTTAACAGTATCAAATTTTATTAGAGCATAATAAAACAAATAAATAAAAATTTATGATGATGATAAAATTTATGATGATGATAAATTTCTGACTTATCATTTTCCAAAATTTGATGCTTATGAACCCATATTGCAAGCAAAACTACTCGGCTAGTTAGCCTTCTTTTTTATGTTTCGGATGGAAATTACAAAACGATTTATTTACTTCATTAAAGTATTAATGCATTAATTAAGGAAGAAATTATTATTGTTATTAAACTTTTTTAAAAAATAGTAGCATAAGTTTTTGCATTTATACAATTTAGCATTTATTCGATAAACAATTGGTTTTCTCAACTTGTACGACTTGTTTCGTTATTCGAAATATTTTATTACCTGAAAAATAAAAAATTATAATTTAATTTAATAATAAATTAATAACAATCAGGATTTTAATATAGTTCGATATTAATTAGTTGTCGCGAAATGCGATATTTTTTCTACAAATATTATTTCAAATTGATGACCCTGACCTGCTAAAAGAAAACTTTCATTAACTTAATCGATACTTCTTCTTCTAACAGCTGTCACCATCGCTGGTTAAGTCGGCTCCGCTGGCTACAAGAGTAAACAAGAGTCTCCAAGCTGCCTGTCCGATGCCATCGCTAATAGTAATAGAAGCTTTTTTCGTTTTCCATCGTCTAAGTCCATATACTACCGGTTCCTCTAATGTTCAAAATCTTTCTTGACTGTATCAGTCCAGGTTTTGACTGGTCCTCCTCGATTTTGGCGCCAACCATCACAGGATTCAACAATTAAATGAGTAAATATGAGTCAACTCCTGTAGTGGGCGACGTAGAATGTGAGCGAAAGCGACGCTCTGTGATAACGTTGTTAATAAAAGGTGGTATTCAAGCAAAGATGATACAATCATGTGCGATTTTATCCACTCGACGGATCCGTAAACTATATTTTAGACATGAGTGGTCAAAGGCTGATAGCTTTTTAATATCTTTCATTCTCACTGGCTATATAACAAGATCGAGCGAATTACAGCTATATGGACTCGGATTTTCGTCTTCATGCTGATTTTGCGGCATAAAGGTTTCATCCCGGAAAAACATATTTCTAGCTGTCGCTACCCAGGTTACAATTTCATCCTTTGCCTGGTCATTTGTTATTAGAGTCGATCCAAGATATTTAAAGTCGGACACTCTACCTCTACTGGCAATAAATTGATAAAAATAGGTGTTTTATCAGCATCTTGTATATAAGACGAAAATACTTCCGCTTTATTGACATTGATTTTGAGTCCAATTCTCACTGCAGTTGTTGATACATTATTTAACATTATTTACATTTCATTATAGCTATCAGTAAAAATGACTACATCTTCAAAATACTCGAGGTCTGTGATGGTATGCTCTGGACTGATTTGTATACCTCTTGAAATATAAGCATTAAGCTCTGTCCATAGTCTATCGCATAGTTGAATACTGTAGGAGAAAGGGCTCACCCCTGGTACACACTAGTTCTTATTTCGAAGGAGCCTGTTCCCCATATACACAGACCTGTGCCATGGTATGCTAATACGATGCCTTTATGAGCCGAATGATCTTCGCTGGGATACCGTCACATTCCATTACTTTCCAGAGCCTTTTCTATCAATCGAATCGAAAGCAGTTGTAAAATCGATAATACAAGTGACGGCGGGTTGTTGCTATTTGAAGCGATTTCCAGCATCCTTCTTAGCGCAAATATCTGGTCAGCACAGTCCCGTACTGGTCTGAATCCAGCTTGGTTAGAACCTTTTCTCAAGTTATAATTGTTTTGCGGATAAGGCGAAACAGTTTCCTATTATAACCTATCCGAGCCGCTGATTCCATTCTCAAGGCCACATCGCTCCAATAGCGATTCCTGTCCCGCTTTGCTGCTGTCGTTGTAATTCTTCGAAGCCCGATAGTCAGAATAATCTCCTGATATTCGGACTTTGGCAGCTTTTTCAGAAAGTTGTACAGTTGCTTCAGGCACCCAACGAGCGCACTTCCTACTATATCCTAATGTGGAAGTGCCTGACTTTTGTAGGCATGTCTTTAGTTGGGACCAGTATTCATTCGCCGTTCCAGAGATGTCATTAACATTCATTTCACTGAGGTATTTCAATAATACGATTTGAAATGCGTTTATTGTTCCTGGGTATTTTGAGATAATTTGAGATAATTGAGATCTTGGGATACACTGTTTCTTATGACTTGTCAGTTTTATACGAATCTTGCTCGAACCATAATATGATCTGATCCATGGTTACCAGTTTCAATGCCCCGATAAGAACGACTATCAAGTACAGAACTCTTCCAACGGTGACTGACCAATATATAGTCAATTTGATTGGAATAAAGAATTCCACATGAGTAGATGTTTCCTCCAATGTCGAAAGCATGTATTAGTAACAAAGAAATCATGCTCTTCAACAAAAGAAGAAAACTTTCTCCATTTGCGCACTGGGCCCCGATACCATATTTGCCAATCACCGAGTTCATCGGCCTCATGACCTACGCGCACATTCCAGTCTCGAGTATTACCATGTCACCTCTCGATAGGGATGTTGTTAAAGTTCCACATAGTACTTATCCTTATCGCGGTCATCATCTGCGCATAAAGTTGGAGCATATATACTGAGGACTGAAATAATGCAGAACTTTCCCTTGAAACAGGCATAGGCCATACGGTCATTTCCACTCAATCAGAGCGGATCGAGCCTTTTCAAACATCGCTACGCCATTTCGCCCCAAGTTATTGAGACACCACTATAATATACAATATCTTTGCTCGGAACCAGGTTTTAATAATTATTTGAGCCGACATGAGAAAATGGACCTCCGACAAATAAGCCACATCCACGCGATATTTAAGGAGGATGTGGATAGTGATCGCTTGGCTTGCAATATTCATATGCGTTCTGACGTTCCAAGCAGCTATAGCCGACACCTCACCGCGCTTACAAGGTATTAACGAATAAGATTCCGCCACCCTTTTGAACGAATTTTGAGCACTTATTTCGGTTCAAATTCTATGGATGCGCCTTGGACTTATTATTATTTATTATTATTATTTTATTATTATTATTATCATCACTGTAGGCCTGGATTGTATATTCATCGCATGTACCACCGGATCAGAATTAACATGCGCGTTGGGAGACGCAGACGTCGCGTCAGAGAGACTTGACCCTTTCACCATAGAGTCACTTGGCGATAGAAATACAGGTGAGTAGCCACCACCCGGATTTTTGTACAGATTTCTGCGTGGAATCGAACCTCAGCATCGGCGCTTCTACTCGAGCAACAATCCAATGAGCCATTCTATCCCTGATTTTTTACTTATTCCATTTCATATGTCAAAAAAAAAGTTGCAATTATAATATATTGTATACTCCTTTTAAGAAAATTTTCTTTTCTTAATGAGGAACCATTAAGCTATCCAAGCAGTTGGGTTCCAGTATTTGCATATTCAACATTTTTTTTGTTCTTTTATCTTGTTTATTCACTTTTTACTTGTTTTTTGTCTCCTTAGTATTTCATTATGTCGAGTATTGTTTTTTCTACCTATGTATTAATGAGGTTTAATTACACAAGTTTGAGGTGTGAAGTGAGGAGTAAAATTTTTATAATTTTATAATTATGTGCGGTGATCAGTGCAGTCTTCTGCTATTGTCTATTGTCAAGGTTTTCTAAAATATTAAAGCATGGCAGGCGAGCATCATTCCACTGCCTTCAATTATTATTCTTCTGTTTTTTAAAACAGTTTTCGAATTCTTATTATTTCTCCTTATTAACTTTAGCATTTATTTATAATAATTAATAATAATTTAGATTTCTTTATCATCTATGACTAAATGGCAAGATGATTATGATTATTTTGAATCGAGAATGGCTCTGAATTGAAGCCAGTGGAGCGAATCTAACCAGCAATGTTGAGCACTTTTAGAAAAAAAAAAAACAAACTACAATAGTTTTTATAAAATTACGTTAAAATAATCAATTTAGTATAAAATAATTAATTTTGCAAAAATTTTCTTTCTCATGAAAAAGAAATAATAATAATTTAATTGAAACAAATAACAAAGAAATAATAATTACTTGCATGATTAAGGTTAAACATAGAATTAACGGTCTGCTTTATGAGTTCATTTCGACAATAAAATAGAAAGAAAGCAATGATTGAATTAAGCTTTGTTAAATGAAAAAGCATTGTCATCACGCTTTCGCATTGAATATTTTCTTCAGCCATTAATTTCGTCGTTCCTACAATAATAAATTCTATTAGAATGAAACTATATATATTTATTTATAAACATATATATATAAATATTTTTCAAGAGTCTTCACCATTACTGGTTAAACTCGCTCCACTGGCTTGTCACATTGAGCAATATGCCAGGAAGTCCCTTGATGATAGAAATAAAGATGAATTGCCAGCATCACTCTAATTTTTGGACATGTTTACTCCTTCAGGGAATCGAACCTCAGCATCGGCGCTCCCAATTAAGCAACAACCCACTGAGCCATTCTATCCGCATATATATATATATATATATATATATATATGTAAGGAACAGCTAAAATGTTGCGCCCTCAATCTCCTAGGCTTCTAGCAAAGCATCCGGGGTTGAGAAGGATCATGGACATCCACAGGAGAGTGAGAGAATGGTATATATACATTATATAAATCGAAGCTTGCGTTCGAACCCGCCAGTGCATCACTCTTCGTCTAGTGGCCGTGTCGCGAAAAAAAAATGGATGGCTTAGTGGATTGTTGCTTAATTTGGAGTGTCTATACTGAATTTTTATTTCCGGCAGGAAAAGCGTGCTTAAAAGTTCAGATGATGGCAACTCACCTATGGCCTTCTATTGTACTAAGGGATTCCCTTGTTTATTTATATATACGGCAAATAAGAGAAGCGACTCTAACCAGTAATAATGAGAAAAAAATATATTTATAAATAGCTTATCACTAACGGCCATAATCGCTACGCCAAAATAGTTTAGTAGTGATTAAGGCCATTAATATGGAATGTAACAAAAACAATTGGAATTGCAGCTAATTCCTTTCCAGTAATGGCCCATTGTCAGAATCCTCTGAAAACATATCTGCTCAATTTCCCAGCCTTCTGATAAAGTACCCGAGGTTGATTACTCAGAGAGATTCTAAACTTGTAACGTGTGGTAAGCTAAAATAGTCCCAGTGAATGATAGTTAGTGAATGTATAAAAATATTGAAGGAATAAATGCTTTTAATGCTATTTGGCCCATTTGTACTTCTATCTCTGGCAAATAAAAACCTACTTATCCTACTATTTAGCGGAATAAATCAAAGTAAAAATGGTGCTAGCAGAAAAAGAAAAGAATTTATGCAATAGCGAAAACAATAAACCTTTTAAAAGAAATAATTTTTTAGGGAAATTGAAAAAAACTTTTTGAAGAAATATTCTACTAAAATTTCTTAAAATTAGATTTTATTATACATTTTGCATATTTTGTATTTTGAACTTTCTACGTGAACTTTAAAATATGTTTAAAAATATTTAAAAAATTACATTTAAAATATTAATAAAATAAGTAAATAAGCGATAATTTTAAAAATAATTCAAAAATTTCAATTTCAAAAATTTTTAGCCGTAAATTTGAAATCTTTAAATAATAGAAATTTCAGTTAATTACCATATATACCGATTGCTCGAGGAACACAATCCAGAAAAAATGTACAACAACTACTAAATGCAATTGTTAAAGTCATTCGTAGTTGTATTCGCCGTCGATGGTCGATCTATATTTTAAATTTATTGAAAAAAATTTTATAAATTTAAAAAAATTATGCAAAAATTGAGCATAAATAAATTGTATAAAAATGTACAGCAATTTATTTGAATTTATTTAAGAAATTAGAAGATTGAAGTCAAGAAAGTCAAATCTGTTGTTATAAACCTGGTTATGGTACCACTCATATTGAAGATAAGTGGGAAATTTCACCATACTGCAGAGATGATAGGAATAAATCTAACACAAAGGTGAAAGTTATTTTAAAATAAAAGGACGTGATTTTCATAAAATTTGGAATAAGATAGAAGGCAAAAATAAAAGATACTTGTGTTTCTGATATTTTCTTCCTCATCGCTTTCATCTGCCTTCGTGCCAATATGATAACTGGTATATACAAAAGAATACTTAAAGCAGTTGCAAAACTTGTTAAATACTTCGATAAGGAATAAAATTTTGGTGAAAGATATACATTTAAGCATAATATTGATAATTTTTCCGTCATTGTTATTGGATAATACCATGCAAACATTGATAAGAAAGTTGATAAAAAATATGGCTTAAAATTGTTGCATTATCACAATAATAATGCATGCTATTCTATTCATAGAAATCATTCATTCGCTGATTTTTTTGTTTCCTTATTTTCTTCTTTTTTTCTTATTTTTAAAGGTGAAAAAAAAATGAATCGATTTTGTAACACAATTTTATGATTAAATTCATATTTAATAAAATAATATAAAATATTCAATGATATGTAAAAAAAAAAGTAGAAAGTAGAATAAGTAGAAGAAAATTACCGTACTAATAGCAACAAATGGGTAAGTATTATTGAAAGCAAAGTATTCCACTGGCACGGCAACTGAAAGAATGCGATCAAACGTTACAACTAAAAGCATGAATGATGTAGCGAAATCTGACCAACGCCACATCCATGAATGTGGCAATAGCATACATTGAAATCCACTAAATTCAATTCCTTTTAAGTCAGCAACAATTATGATAAGACGATATAAACCGCCTAATAATGTTGCCAGCGCTGAAATTTTCCTAAATTTATGCAATGATGAAATTTTTTGCATCTTTTTATTTTTAGTATTTTCACTACTTCCTGTAAATAGTATTAAGTTTTGATAGCACTACAATGGTTCAGTGGGTTGTAGCTCTCAATTTGAAGCTACAGTACTCAGGTTCTACTCCTGGTGGTAATAAAATTACCTTTCAAAAATCCGATTGTTACTGGCCACATATATATCCTTCTATTGCCGAGTGACTCTCTGCCTGGCTGGACAAGAGTTTTTAATAAACCAGTAAATTGGAAAACCTAATCAGCAGTGGCGAACACTCTTAGTAAGAAAAAAATATAAAACAAAAGACATAGCATAACACTTTATCACCAGTTGGAATCACAGGTATTTTTAGTTCATATTATTCTTCCATTCTTCTTCATGTACTTTATTTTGAACTTTTTTTTAAATAATGTTGTGAAATGTGGTTCAAAACGGAACTCTTTGGACTTCATTAGACTTTAAAAAGGATCGCATATTTGGTGATACAAAAAAAAGGCAAAGAATTTTGAATATGAGAAAGCCTGTTGGATGTCTTTGCCTTTTAAAAATTAATAATAAATAATATGCTTAACCACATTTTTGGCTATTCTTCTGCTTTTTCTCGCTTAAAAATTTTATTATTTAAAAAATTTTAGCAAATGCGATACGTAAATAAGATGCCTTAGGGAAAGAATATATAATTATCGGGAAATAACCAAATGACAATATAAAAATTTTACCAAAGGCAATCTTCTTTGCTTAAATCGATGCCTCGAGAATAACTAAGCAATAAGCCAATTAACGGCTAATATTGCAAAGATTAGCTCAAATATATTTCCGCATTTAAACTTATTAATTTTGATTTTTTATTTTATTTTAATATAAAATAAATGATAATGCGAGAATTTTAAAATGTTTAATTGGGAAAAAAAACCTTCAACTAAATCTGCAAATGATTGTGCTGCAATAATTTTTAACTCTTGTCGAACTCGAAGTTTTCTATTGCGTAAAATCGCTGCAATTAAGATTGCATTACAAATAGTTGACATTAATCCAAAAGGTACGAATGAAATCGCCTGAAACTATTTCAATTTTTACCCATTATTTTAGCCTAAAATATTTCTCTGCAATTATATAAAATTATAGCCAAAAATAATTTTTAATACTGTCTTAAAGTATTACAATATTATTATATTATTTATATTATTTAATATTATTTAATACTGTCTTAAAGTATTACAATATTATTATATTATTTATATTATATTATTTATTATTATTTATATTATTTAATACTGTACTGTCTTAAAGTATTACAATATTATTATTATACTATTTATTATTTATTTTTTTTATAATCTTCCAAAATTTATGGTAAAAATTTATGGATATTTTTCCATATTATTCCAAGTAAAATAAGTTTTTTAGTTCAAACTTAAAGTCTAATTTACCTTCATCACTTCCATTTTTGTTTCGAAACATTCCTCGATAGGAATAATTTGAGTTTCCATATGAGAGAATTAAAAAGAGAAAAAAATACTTTTTAGAAGTAAATTATCAATTTATCAATTAATATCAATTTTGAAAGATCTGAAAGCAATAGTTTTTCTGGATTTTAATTGATATCGACGAAAAACTTTAGCTATTTTCCTGCGGAAGATTATCATTAGCCAATTAGCCAACGATAATTTCTAGCTAATTTCTAGCTAGCTAAATCTAATTTCTAACTAAATTATTATTTATTAAATTTCCCACTGACTAGTTTGTTTCAATTTCAAAATTATGTCTTACTTGTTTGAAAACCAAAAACCTTAAGAACCATTCGAAAACGTAGACTTTATCGTCTTCACTGATGTCTTTTTACTTTTTTTTTCTTTTTTTTTCCTCTATAATTGGCCTAATGAATTGTTTAAAAGTAAATCCTTCATAAATCATTTCAAAGAATTTTTCTCCACATCGTTTTAAAGAATTTCCCTTTCAAGTGATATGGGTTGTTGCTCATTTATCCTATTTCGTTACTATTTTTTCCTTTTTTTTCCATAACAATCTCTTCTTTCTTATTAGAGATAACCGCTGAAATTAGTTGAAAGCAACACTCCATTGTTTTTCCCATCGATTTAAGCGAAAAGAAATTAAGTATAATTATAAAGTAATCGTTTAGCCGATATTTTCTAAAAATTGGTATTCCTCTCGATATTTTAACATCCAATTATTCCAGAATTCTGGAGCATCATTTGGCTTATCGCGAATGATCAAATCCCATTATTCAACGAATTAATCGAATAGATTCATTTGTACCTAATTACACTATGATTCTTTAGTAATTCATTGGTAATGAATAATGAAATATGTAATAAATTAATAAATAAAGAAATAAAAAAGGGTGGAATGGTTCAATGGATCACATTTTGTGAGTCTGAGACTATTCTTCTACTACCATTAATAATGAATCTACCTTTCAAAAAAATCCTATAAAAAATTCTTTTTCTAATTTCTTCTTTCATCAAATGAATTCACTGGTAAAATTTGTCCGATCCGATAAGTCAGTTTAGTGAGTCGAATCGGAATTAATGTATTTTTAGAAGAAAGAAAAAAATAATGGTGGATCATTGCCATTAAAATTACATATTAATTTATTTTAACGTTAAAATTATTTTAGCAAATTCATAATAATAAAATAATTATTAAATTAACCATTATATCTTTCTTATACTTTAATAAAATAGAAGCCTAAGTGAGAAGCTATGTAATAAGTATTCCCATATAATTGAAAAAGAAAGTCACTATTATTAAAAATATCATTGATTAAATTTTATATAAAAGAAGGATTATTGTTTAATATATTTCAATTATTTTTACTATATTCCAATTAAATTTTAGCAAGAGGAATATTCCTTTTATATTAATAATTTATATTCGCATTCAATAAATGATATAATTATAATTATTATAAAAAATTAATGAATTTTAAATGATAACTAATATTAAAAAATATTAACAGCGCTTTTAATTCAATTTGTTTATTATTTATTTAATGTAATTTATGAAACCTGTAAAATTAATTTATATTTAATTTGAAAATATAATTTAAGGTTATTTACGAAAAGAATTTCTTTTCATTTACAAAATAATTTTTTTTATATTTTATTTAATAATTTAACGCACAATGTGAAAAATTTGGATTTTAATGATAATGATGTGATCAGTTTGATAATTATTAGCTAATTACAATATTTAAATTCAATAGAAATATTTTTTTTTATATTATTTCTATATTATATTATTTTTGCTATTAATATAATTGAATTTTTTTTTTCCATATTTACTAAATAATTTTATTTAATTTTCTAAAAAAAGACACTGATGAATTTTAAAAATAAGTAATTTAAGAAAGGAAAAAATTTTAATAATTATCGAATAGAATAGTTTTATAGGGTATTGCTATGCTAATTTTGGAGCCTCGACAATACAGTTCTAACTCTAATGGAATAATCGAAGGACAAAAGCTGGGTCAAAATCTGGCTTATTCTAATGGTTCATTTGTACTTATTCGTTGATAAGATTTTAGTCGTATTTAAGCTTAAGAGAAATAAGAGCGTTCTTAGAAAAAGAAAAAAATTTTATAAATGGCCATAAGTGACAAAAGCACAGCTATATAATACTTAAAATATTATAAAAAATGAAATCATTTATTATTAAACGATATTCTCTTTACAGGCAAAAAAATTGTGGCCAAGATTGATTATTTCACCATTATTTTAAGAGGTGCAAATTATTTTTTTTTTTTTTTTTTTTTGCATGTTCATGAATCGATTCATTCACTAAAAAAATTCTCAATAACTATCAAAATAAAATACTAATCTCGAAGGAAATTTCGAAATTCGGAAAAAAATATTCAAAAATATATTTATAAATATATTTACAATGTTTGATTCACAATGAAACCATTTTAGGATATTGCATATTTCCTTTCGAACAATAAAATTCTTCTTGATTGGTTTTGATTTTTATTCATTTTCAATTATATAGCAAAATAAGATCGATTTTCAGGATATTAAAGCTGAATGAATGATTGGTGATGGCAACGAATGTCGGAGAAAGGCTAGCATGAATACTGGAAAAGGCACTGTGACGCTAAAAAAAAAACTGATCCGAATACCAATTTAATGATATTTATCATTTTTTGAACCTTAAACCTTTTGCATTATTCTTAATGAATGTTTAATGTATGCATGTGAAAAATTATTGTCGTCATATTAATAAATTAATAAAAGGCTCTTTTTTTTTTACAATTCTCCAGCCCAATAAATATTTTACGATTCATTAATATTATTTGTTAATTAAAAATAATATTTTTTAAATAAATTTTTACTATTTTTAGTTTGTGCTTTATTAGTTTTATTAGTTTTATTAATTTTAAAAATTCTTTAAATAACAATAACAACCACAAAATAATTTTGAAATTATTTTTTAATTTTAAATTTTCAATTTTTTATTTATGAATGTTTGAGCTTTTGATATATGAAAATTATATGCTTCATGTTCCATTCATAGATTTTTTTTTTTGATATATTATCGCTATTTAAATCAATGCAAAAAATTTATTGTGAAAATGAAAAATCATGCAGGAAGTACGAAATGAAATTTTAAATTGACGATATTTGTCGTTATCAATATCAATATTATCAATATCAATATTATTATCAATATCAATATTATCTTCAATACTGTTATCAATATTTTATTTATCAGCTGTTATCACTATTATTTTGTTTTTTATATTATTATTGCAGGAAGCAATATTTTATGCAAAGAGAAGTGAAGTCATCGCACTATTGCCGTATTGACATTGGGACTGTTGTAATAGAAATAAAAAAAGAGGCATCGCCTAAAATATATATCATAAAATATTCCTTATCGTTCATTCGTAAGTTCTTGCGCTTCTCGAAGTTTTTGTCCTATTAATTTTCTTCTAATTTATTGTCTGAATTCACTCATAAATTTCTTTCTAATCCAAATCCTAATATTTTTTAACATTCATTTTCTTCTTTTATTTTTAAAATTATAGAAGGACGATCTTTTTTTTTTTCTAGAAATGCTCACAGTTCCTCGGTAGGTTTACTCCGCTGGTTTGTCGGACCAGAAAAATTTTATCACTTGATGATGGATAGAAGCATAGGCGAGTCGCTAGCATCATCCGGATTTTTAAAGGACCGATTTATTTTTTGCTATTTTTACAGTTTTTCAATATCAGCGCTTCGAATTATGCGACTCGTTGAACCATTCAATCCCTAGTAAATCTTTTTATTTTTTTTTTTTGTATGAGAGCCAAAATAAATGCGAACAGAATTGGCAAATATTTCTTCACGAATTTTATTAATTTAAGAGTTTACCTAAGTTTTCTCATTCATTCATAATCTGAAATTTCTATTTACTAATTAAAGTAATCACAATAGATTTAAGCGATGTAGCGATGGACAATTAATTTTTGAAAAATTCAAATTATTATTCGGTAAAAATATCAAAAGGCCAATATAAACCGTGTCTAGCCGATTTGATGAAGTATTTAACGCAAATTTCAGGCAAACTAGGATATTATCATTTATCACTTATCAATTATCACTTGTCCAAATTTCACGAGGTTTATAGTTCTGATCCTCTGCAACGTCATAAAAATTTGATTCATCTTCTTCTAATATAACTGATTAAAGTTACTCCGCTTGTTATAAGGATAAGACATCGTCAAAGCTGTTCGATCCAACAGCAACGCTGACAATAAGATTTTTTAATAAATCTGATTTTCAAATGTATTAACCCATTCCTTATTCATGAAAGCAATTGACTATATTTAATTTCTAGATTGTTTTAAATGCAAATCCATAAAGTTTTTCTTAAAATTTTTTTTCGAAAAAAAAACAATTTTGAAAAATTTTGAAAAAACGAACGTCATCAATTTTATCCTTTCCATTTATATTTTCTTCATAAATATTTAATTATAAACGAATTGAAAAGTATTAAATGAATTTTTATGAATCCTTGAAATCAAACATTTAAAAAAAATTGCGCTTTTTTTTGCTGAACAAAAAAAACAAGAATATTTTTGAATTTTTAAGTTTTTGATTAAATCTTCGATTATTTCAAATGATAAGAATTCGAATAATATATGATAACTGATAGTGAAAAAAAAACAATATTCAATAGATTAAAATATAAAATATTTCGTATAAAACGAGTTGAAAAATATGTTTTGAGCCTTAAATTTCAATTGAAATAACAGGAAATTCTCATTTATAAATATAAATATAATTATTGCATTTTGGAAAAAAATAAATTGATAATTAATAAAAAATAATTAATAAAATATTTATTTTTGCAACGAATTTATAATAAAAATTAAATTTAAAATTAAATGATTGGTTCAAAAAAAAATTTGAATAAAAAAATGAAATGATAAATTTGATTATCAATTATTTTAAAAAAGCGAAAGATTGTAATATAAAAAAAGAATAGCTTGAAATAAAATGGATGCATAGTTTGCTTGATAGCTTGTCGGAAATAGAAGTGCTTGATCGCTAGCATCATATGAATTTTTTATGGACAGGTCTATTCCTACAGGAAGAAGAAGGCTAGCACGAACATCAGCGTTCCGAAATGAAAGTAACAAGCCATTCAACTTCCGGCTATATTATTGAAAAATTTTTTTTAAATAGTGAGGCCTATTATTAAAGAACTAATTTATTATTAATGTATGTTTTTTTTTTTATTCCACAATAGACACATTTATTTCATCTATATAAAATAATAAATTATCACATGCTAAAGCAAAAATCATTACATATTGGGCCTTAAAGCCACATTTTTGCAATTTCACAACGAAATTAATTTCATGTTCCAATATTTTAAGCCAAGTGATATCTTAACATTTGATAAGGTCTTAATTTTAAAAAATTAAATTTTATAAAAAATAAATAATTTTATTAAATTCAAATTTTATAAAAAATTATTAAATTTTATAAAAAATATATATTAAATTTATCAAATTAATTTATTTTAATATAATTGATTTAATTAATTTAATTTAATTTAATTTAAATTTATTAAATATATTAAATTTTATAAAAAATAAATAAATTAAAATTAAGCTTAAAAAATAAAAAAGCTTGAAAAGTTGATCAAAATTTCAAATTTATAACTACAAACAAAAAACAATTCTTTGCATTATCAAATAAATTTATTGATAAATTTTCAGTAAAAATAGCTATTTTTAAAAAAGAATTTATGAAATCAGATTTTTAGAGAAATAAATTTATCAAATATTATCAAGTTTATTGAATGGTTCATTGGTGTAATTATTTTTGACAAGCAAAATTCAAATGGTTCCTTGGTGAGAATGCTACACCATAATTAACCGATAGATGAATATAACTAGCCGATTCGATTAAATGTTCGACGAGGATTTCAGGAGAATGCATCGACTATCATTCATTCTAACTGAAACTTTGCAGATTTGTACCATTCGATTTATTTTTTAATAAAAAATATTTGTAAACATTTGTAGAAAATAAATTAGATACTGTATAGATTCGATTTTTGAAGTTCAACACACTCGTTTTTGATTAATTTTCATGATTTTAGCGAAAATTATTGATTATCGTTCGGATCTGATAAGAAACTTCCTAATTTTCTTGTTCTTTTACATGTTTCAGTTGTTTTTTTTAGAAAAATGGCTATAGGTGATTGACAATTCAATGGAAACTACAGTTTCTAAAAAATTTTAAAAATATTAGAAATTCTAAATTTCAACTTAACAAGTTTTTTAATCTAATCAGTTTATCGTCAAAATTTATATCAGATATTGACATATGAAAAAATTTTTCACGCTTCTAATAGAGTAAGTAGTATAACCTAAATTCGTTTATAATTCGTTAATTTGTTTTTTTTTTTAATAAAATTAAATTTTTAGAAACTTTTTTTTTAAAGATTTATTTTTTTTAAGATTTATAAGATCCGAGTGTTAAATCCGAGATTTTTTTCTCGATTAATTTCCAATAATTTTGAAAAAATATCTAAAATTTAGCTATAAATATCGAGGAACGAAGCGCGATGCTTGGTATACCGAATCGTGGAAATGAGAATTTGGATTTTTATATGGGTCCGAAACCCTCAATATTTTGCAATGAAGTAATAAATTTATTATATTAATTAGTCAAATAAATTTTTTTGATTTTAATAAAATTATTATTAAAAAAAATCTCAATTTTTCATTCCATAAAAAATATTTTAGCGTAGAGGGTCTTTGCTTTTATTTCGGAGTGCCAGCGATGGAGTTCTACTCACGACAGTAGCAAATTTATCTTCAAAAATGCTAGTTGATGCTAGCGACTCACTTATAATTCAATTTGCCATGTAATTTGGCAAAATTGGCAAAATTTACCTAAGTCCGATAAGCCTGTCGAACTAGAATAATCAGAAACAGTAACTGCGGCTAGAAAAGAAGAATTATTGGGGACCATTCAATTTTATATTATTGTAAGGGAACCAGCAAACAAGGAATAGCTCAATATCCTACTTCTAGAATAATGAACAACAAAAAAGACAACATAAAAAGATAGTTATAAAAAAGATAAATTCATGCAAAACACGAAAAAATAAAGAATAATTCATAAATCGAAAAATATAATATTTAAAAATTTTATAAATATACAGTTGAGCCTCGAGCTTCGTGGAAATTAGGGACGACAGCCCTCGCGAACTCCAAAAATTCGCGAATAGATCTCTACATGAACATTATTGTAAAGATGAATAATGAATATATTATAGTATTTTTATTTATTTCCTTTGGCTTATACATCGCCAATTAATTCCGCAAACCTTTAGTATAGCCAATAGCAAAATAGCAAAAATCGCAAATAAAATTCATTTAATAATTTTAATGAATTTTATTTTAAAAATTTTAGCTAAAACGACGAAGTTTAATCGAATATTCAACAACTGGCCGTATTTTTATCGATGGTAAACCAACTGATCCTCAAACATGCGAAGAATCATGGAATTTCTTATTAAAATCAACTATTACGGGGGATTTTACGAGAAGATCGCTGGCGAAAATTGGTTAACGAATACTTCGACTCATTTCTCAATATTTATTTTAACCTATAGATACATTAAAAGATAGAGTCTTTTGATCTCTAAAATTTAACGTCCGCTTTTCATTTTTTGATTTTTTATTCATAATGATAAGGAACAAAATAAGAATAAAGAAAAACGAATAGCCAATGAAATATGACTGATTCGACTGAGATGGTCACAAGTACCATGGCTGCAATTCCTTTACTTCGTAAGGTCTATTGTTAAATCCAAATGGCGCAAATGGCACTAGAGTCCGAATAGCGCCGGAAGCTCGGTACTTCTGCTTATATATATATACCTCATTAGCAAAGGATTTTTGTCCACGATTTTATCTTCCAGTGAATCAGTGGAGTTATTCGTATCTCTAAAGAATGCTATTATAAGTGCGAATATGTAAGCCAGAATGAAATTATCGAAAAAAGTGGTATTTTAAAGTGGTTTAATTCTGTATTTTTGTAGTTATTTTATTGGTTATTTCAGAGTCTCGTTTCCCAATAAAGTCTCGAAGACGATCATACATGGCCCCAAAGTACCAATCCTATTTTAATAATTGTTGATAATTTTTTTCCCATAAGAGAACTAAAATTGAACCCATAATGCTTGATCATAGGGTGACTCAGATGAAATGATAATTCAAGATCAAATTATCGAAAATTCGATTCATATCTTTTGATAAGAATATATTGACTTAAATTGGTATTTTTTCTTCATTTATTATTAATATTTAATTTATTTAATATGAATTTAGGTCATAAGATGTCTTTATCAGATAGTTGCATTTCTAATGCGAAATCTTTGCCAAAATTCGTTCAAAGCTCATCGGAGGATAATATTTCATGGCGAAGTTGTCTTTTGCATGAAACAGAATCACTTCACGCAAATAATCCACTAAAGCAGCCAAATTGCTTCTTCATTCAGATTCTATTACAAAAATTAAAAAGATTTTTTTCTAAAAATACAGTTAAATGATAAATTTTATTTTTGTTATCAGTAACTCATATATTGAAATAACTGTTTAAAGTCTGATATTCTGATATGCTTTGATAAGCATGAAAAGAAAAACATTTTTTATCGAATCATTCGAAAGAATTTTTCTTCTGATAAACTTCTGATAAAAACGACTAGAACAAAGGTTCTTAAACTTTTTGAGATCTCTGAGGCCCCTTTTGAAATCTTCGGATCTTCTAAAATTTTTTATTTTTTTTATTCCTGTAGCTCTATAACTATCGAATCTATTAGAAATTAAAAGTGAGAAATTTTTTAAATTTTAATTTTTTCAATAAATATAAAAAACTAATTATATTAAAGAAAATATCTTTTGGGCAAAAATTTTTGTGCAAAGTGCGAAAAGTGCCAGTGCTACAAAATTCATACAATTAGTTATGGCTTAGATTCAACGTCCAAGATTAGGTTAACTTTTTAAAAAAATGAAGAAGGCATATTGGCTTCTTAGTATTACGAAAGAATGTATCAAAAGTATTTTAGCTTCGCTTCGGAGAACCGCAAAAACCCTTAGGATCATCTTGTTTTTGCAAACTACTAGGTTAGAGAATGGATTCATTCGCTATTAAGATGAGACACTTTCACCAGAGAATCACTTGAGGACAGAAGAACAGAAAATAAATCTCCAACATCAAAGCTCATATTTATCATTTTAAATCGTCTGATATATATGCTCTGATAATTTTTTATCGCTTATATGTTTATTAACTTTTCATTTATTCAACTTTTGTATTCACTGAGTGAAAAATTTTTAATTTTAAATAAAGAAAAATAAATAATACTATTTTCACTTTTTTTTCAAGTAAATAAATATTGAAATAAAGATTTTGTTAAAATTTAAACGTACCGCAAAATGTACCACATACTACTGGATTATAAAGTATGAGGCAATGAAGTTCGAATAAGTTTCGACTATGCTCAAACCAGTATAAACTACGGTATCCCTTAATGTGAGCAAATCTGTTATTATAAGTGAAATCTGGTTGGTGTTGGCGACTGATTTATTTCCAAGGGTTAGGATTTTGTTGTGGCTTAGATCCAAGGTGCAAAGTTCTAAATTTATATCGAATCGAGAATAAAATGTGGATTAAATACTTATAATTCCAGGTAAAATTTCAGGTAAAATTTTTTAAAAAAGACAAAAATTGGTTGTGCTTAAGAATTTTATAGATATCAGCCTTGTCTTAAAAAGTTGTCTTCTTTTAGTAGTTTGCACCATAGCTTGTTTGGCTCATTCCATTTGTCACTGGAATGGATGTGAAGCTTTAAAGCTGATTTCGCAGCGATTCCAGAAAAGCTTGATCAGATAAAAGAAGGCGAACTATCTGGAATTTTATCTTTCGTCAGATTATTAGGTATGAGAGTGGATCCAAAGTGGGTTGTTGCTCAAATGGGAGCACCGATGCTGAGGTTCGATTCTTCGCAAACCTGTCCAAAAATCCGGGTGATGCTGGCGACTCACCTATATTTCTATCGCCAAGGTAATCTCTGGCATATTGCTCAATGTGACAAGCCAGTGGAGCGAGTTTAACCAGTAATGGTGATGACTCTTTAAAAAAAATATATTGCGACCTTAGGATAATGTATAAACTATGGGACGAATTTTATCGCTTTATTTGAAAGCCAAAAAGGAATGGCTTGTGTTAGCGATGGCATCGGACCGAACCGTACACTTGGAGACGTCTTATCTTTGTAGCCAGCGGGGCCAGCCGTACCACCAATGCGGTGAGAGCTTTTTGAAGAAGAAGATTACCAATTCGCAAAAACAGCACCACTAAATCAGCCCAGATAAACCGCTCACGGACCACATTGTCTACAAGTACCGAATTTTTATAAAGTAAAGCTCAATCCACACCGTTTTTCAAAAATTGGCAGGCTGCCAAAATATCTGTTGCATTTTTTTACTTTGCAGTTCACCAGATTATTTTTTATTATTATTTATTATTATTCATTTTTATTGTAAATAATTATTTTTTGTAATAATTTTCTTGCTAAAATGAATGAATGATTTCGAATTCTCTTAAAGGATTTATAAAATCACTTAAATTTTATCACTTATCAGTTATCTTTTTTTCCATTAGCGCTTATCACTTCTGTATTTAGATTCGTTTCATTAATTTATATATGTATGGCTAAGAGGAAATTTTTTATTCGGAAATTATTTGGTGATAGAAATATAGGTTGAAAGTCATTCGCAGCCATTTTCCATTATATGGTGCCATAAATTGTTTATTGGTGAGAAAATGGTACAGCGTTGTGATATAATGAAAAACGCTAATATTTGATATATTTCATTATCATTTCACTGATAAATTATTGATAAATCATTTGTTCTATTGTTTTTCAAGAATTATAAAGAGATGAAATGATTTTTTCAATTATTTCAAATTTCTTCAAATTTAGCTAAATAAAAGGTTTATTTCCAAATTGCGTGTCTGTCATTTGCGCGTATTTTGGGCATATTTTCACTTAATTCAACGGCTATTTAATGATTAATTAGTGTAAGAATTGTCGTTTTTTTCTAAAAATTTAGATGGATATGCTATTAAATTTTTATTTTCCTTGTTTATTAAAATTGCTAAAAATCTCATAGGTTTAATCAGCTGTTTTTTATCGATAACTTACGCGATGGTGCATTTTTTAATTTAACAAATACGGTTATTATCATTTTCCTTGTTTTGTTTTTAACTTAATCAATGAGCCACTTTATTAGGCATTTATTCCTTATCATTTCCTTATCATTGTTTAAATTTTAAATTTTAAATTTTAAATTTTAATATTTCTTTTAAATTTTAATATATGGTAGTGCAAATTATTAGTCCAATGATTTTTCAATTTATCGCCAACATTAAAAAATAAACGGTTAAAGAGTTCAAATATGTCAATGGTTTAAAAATTGAAAAAAAGTATAATTTTTCGGTTAAAAAAAAAACTCTTGAAATTTGATATTTGAAAATTCTTGTGCGACAGATTTAGTTGAAACTATCAGAATTTCGCAAAATTTTCGCCAATATCTATTTTTTATTTATTCAAATTAAAATAAATTATTAAAATGAATATTGTAATGGTTTCTGAAAAGAATAATTATTATTCGTCTATTTAATTATGCAATTTTATCGTACAAATTTCGGTGAAATTTATCGTAAAATATAATCGATTTTTTAATAAAATTTATTTTTATAAAATTCGTTTTATTTATTATAAAAAATAAATAAATTTTATTTTTCAGTTTTTAATAATTTATAGCAGACGATCGAGATGTTGATGCTAATATATTTATCTTTTTTATCACCTTATTTATCCATTATCAGTGGAAATTTAAATGTTTGTTTTTTCCTCACTTATTTTATAGAAAATTTCTATTACATGAACTTTGAGTTTTTTATTTAGTGATTTAAAAAATTGTAGATTTGCAAAACATGAAGTAGATAATCCGATTGTAAACTTCAAATTCTTGAGGAAATCATGCAAAAACAGGAGAGAATATAAATCTTTTTAGCAAAAGTACAAGGAAATAGAGGTTATTACGAAAAAAAATGTTCTGGAAGAAAGCAGTTAAGGTAAAAATTAAGATAAAAATGGAATAAAGATTATACATCGTCCGAATAACAGATCGTTTTCGGATTTCTATTTTAATGACTCCCACACTACGGGATTGGAATCACACTAATCCACGCTTCTAGCCTATAGTTGAAGAAGCGCTCGAATTAGATTTGATTATTTGAATTTTGAAAAGAATATTGCAGATATTCAAATTTTATTTATTATTTATTATTTGAAGAGTTTTATTATTTTTTTTCTTAAAGTCTAAAAGCAAATAAATTAGTTGGATAATTTTCTAAAATCTTTCATTAAAAATTATTAAATATGTTTCAGGAATTGAATGTACCTGCATCATTAATTGATCATGGTCTAATATTAGTTTCAACAATTGATGGTTCTCTTCATGCTATTAATGCTTTAACAGGAATTGATGAATGGATCTTACGAGAAGGTTATTTGCTATTTTATTTTCTATAATTTATAATTATTTTATAAAATAAAAATAGATTAGATTCACTTATGATTTGGTTCTTATATGTTTTTTTTTATAAGTTTTTTTTATTAATAAATTAATAATGAAAACTTTATGAAATAATTTCTAATAATTTAATAATAATTTAAATGTAATAATATAATAAATGTAATAATGAAATAATTTAAATTAATATTGAATTAAATATTAAATTTTTCATATAAATCCAACAGATTTAATTTAAAATTAAGCTGAAAAACGAATAATAGAAAATAAATTAATAGAGAGATTTTAAAAGGATGATTAATGAAAGTCAAAAAATTACCAGAAAAAAAATTGGAAATTTTATTCGTCTAAAATTTTTTAGATCCTGTTGTAAAGACTGGTTCTAATGTTCAACATGGATTTACATTTTTGCCTGATCCTCAAAATGGAGAGCTAATTTTATTACGCGATGGTCAATTAAAAAAATTACCATATTCGATTCCACAATTGGTTAGTACATCTCCAGCTCGTACAGCTGATAATGTTATCATTAAAGGTTCGTTTTCAAATCGTGATTTATTTATCTAATTATTTATTAAGTTTTTAACAGGTTATTTTAACAGATTAGGTTAACAGATTTTTATGAGTTTATATTATTAATTAATTGATTAATAATTAGTTTGCAAAATAGATATTGGATAATTCTATTTTTATTATTTACGAATCATTCACCTGAGTAATTAAATCATTAGAAATTAATTAATGAATATTCCAGTTTTTAATGAATATATTTACTTATGGATTTGCAAATATTATATGGATTTACAAATATTTTTGAGGGAAATCTTTATTAATGAGAATTCTTTAAGCAAATAATGAAAATAAAACTAGTAACATTTAAAACTGTATGAAATTTCATAATTTATGCTTATCGTACATTTTGTATTATTTGACGTAATAAGGGAATATATTCACTAAATTTAAGGAAGTAAAAATGATGCCTGGTTTGAAATCGATCCACTTACTGGTGCAAAAAGTGGAGAATTCAATCAAAATTTCGATGAGCAATGTCCTGTTAGTACCAGTAATGGTGTTTTTTTTGGCAGGTTTGCCATTATTTTTCTTTTATTGACTAATTTGTCACTAATTTGTTCATTTTAACTTCTAAGGACAATTTTTTTATTATGATTGATTGATTTTCGGATTCTCTCTTTTATTTTCATTTTATTTATTCATTTTTTATAGATCAGAATATCAATTAATACTGACTGATTTACAAAATCGAAATCGCTGTTGGAATGTAACTTTTATAGATTACTCAAGTCATCTACGAACGGGTTCGGAGTTTTTTTCAGTTTTTTCAGTGATTTTTGATTATTTTTACTTTTGTGTATTACATATACGATTAATCAGCATACATACTTGTACCACATAAACTTTCTTTATGAAATTTTTTCTTAGTTGACGCAGCTTATCCTTTTCAACATGTGGCTGATGTTGGTGGTGTATTATTAACAGTGGATAGAAAGACGGGAATGGCGTTGTGGAAACGATCTTTAAACTTCACAATCGCTGCTGTTTATTTGCTTCAAAACGATGGGTTACTCAAAGTACCATTCACGGTTATAGGTAAAGAAACTATGGATGATGTTTTGCAGGTAGATTTTTTTATTGTTTTATTATTTTTTTTTATAATGAAAGACGAGAGTTCTACGATTTACTCTAATTATGGATATGTTATGAAAATGAAAATATTCTCGTTGATTTTAAAGCATTCTTTTCATGCGAATATTTCAGTGGTTGTTTTTTCTATTTTTCCATTTTTCGACAAATTTTTTTTCGCAATATATTCAAAAAATTATTACATGAAAATGAATTTTAATGCAGAAAATTTTCAAATAGAACGAAATTTATATTTGTTTAAATCTTTTCAAAATTTTTTTCTTCAAATTATTTAATGCCTAAGAAAGAATTATTCTTTCCTGTTTATAGCCTATGGATACAAAAAACTGAATTTTTTTTATATCTTAAAAGCAAAGGCGACATTGTTTTAATTGTCAAAAAATAATTTTTATAAAAATACGATGAAAAATAAATTCATATTTATGAAATGCTCACAAAATTGAGATCAAACATATCAAATGCGATAAATGTCGGAAAATAAGAGAAATTTTTTTCCAAAAAAATATAAAAATAAAAAATATTATTCACTTGAAGGGGATTTTTAATTTATTCGAAGAGAACTTTAAATGTAAAAATTTAACTAAGAAAATTTATAGTTTCTTTTAAAATTCTTTATTTAAAATTTCATTAATTATCTTATTAGTAACAGTTATAATAATAAAATAAACAATTAGAGAATCGAAGAATGTTCTGGCAAATTTTCTAAAGTTTCTTGTGAACTTATTTTTTTCGTAGGAGTACCGCTATTTTTTTTTGCAAATTTTGACAAAACTGAGATTTTTCTTCCATCTGCATTCTTAGCCAGTCTGGCTTCGGTGATTTTTCTTAATAAATTCATCGATGCTTTAGAAGATTTTGCCGAATCTTGCGATTTATCTTCATCACTATCGAAATAAACGAAATAATTCGCTCCTCGTCGTACCAGATAACCGTGTTCTGGACATAATGCATTCATTATCTAAAATCGATTTGAAATTGCACTAGTAAATTAATTCTTCAATTAGTTCTCGAAATATCGAAATAGACGGATTAAAATAAAATTGAAACCTTCAGTTGTCCTTTTTCGTTATAAATGCAATCACAAGGTAGTTCACTATTAGGCGGTAAATATGGATATGCTTCTTCTTCTAGCGAGCTATGTTCATCTTCTTTTTCTGATTCGTCGACGATTATTTCAAGATTAGGATTATCTAAATTATCATACTATTAAATTATCAAATTATCAGTGGTCTTTTGAAGGATTTAAATTTCAAGATTTAAGCTTAGATTTTAGATCTTATCTTTAATATTTTAATTTTATATAAGATGAACCGAGTAAAGATCTTTTGGATTTCAGTGATATTGTTGAACCATCCACTGATTTTTCCCATAAATGCATTGAGTTTGCTTGTTGTAGGGAATGTTTTGAATATTTTGGATATATCACAATCGGTTGATTCATTAAATTCGACTGATTGCTATAATCAAACGTTTAATATATAATTAAGAATAGAGAAGATGTGGAGAGTAAAGGTGAAAGTAATTTCAGTGATAATTGGAGACTTTGGAATTGTTATTCTCTAAACTGGAAAAGTAGTTTCAGCAGATTCCACGAACAAAATCAGAGATCTCTGTCCGCACTATTAAGAACAGTTAAGATATTGCGCACAACCCTCAATCTCCCAAGCTTTTGGTGGAGCACGCGAGGTTGAGGATGTTTATTATCACTCATGAGGTGCATGAAGAAAATTAATGTTGTTTTTCTCTGAAAAACTTATTACCTTATTTTACTTCTTTTCTTTCGAACATATGCTTGAACCGTATAAACGATGAGTGCAGCAATTTCTAGAAGACTTACAACTGATGCACCAATCCATAATCCAGTTAAACCACCCAAATCAGCTAATGCACTTGTTAACTTAATTTATTTTTATTATTACTATTATTATAAATTATTATAAATTTAATTCTTTTTTATAGAAGAATATTATCGAATTTTTTTAATAAATTTAAATTTACCGTATAAGCAGGTGTTTCGGTCATTGTTTCATAATTTAGTTCTTCATAAAAGATTTGTATCATAGCAGCATTTTTGCGATATTTTTCCATGCATAAATCATCATGAATTTCACATTCCATAAGTTTAGAAGTACCAGAAGGCCATCTGGCTGCTGAATACGTTATTTCATAATTTGTTTCGCTAGAAAATATTTCTATTTAGACAAATTAAATTTATTCTTGATTTATTTCAATTAATTATTTATATTAATAATAAGTGATAATTAAATATTAATATAGTAATAATTAAATATTAATATTAATAATATCAACAATTAATTAACTTTATATTAATAATTGTTATAATTATTATAATAAAAATATTATAATATTATAATAAAAAGTGTATATTATCAATATAAAAGTTATTTTTAAGGAATTTTTATTTTTTTTTTTTTTTTTTCTTCCACACCGTTTAATATTTTCATTTCTTTTGCTTCGAGAATTAGTAGTGTTTAGGCATCGCACCGCATCCTTAATAGAACAGCTATTTATCACATATAATAATGCCTGATCTACCTAAATCCAAGAACCACACATTTAAAATGTATATTCTTCATTTGGTTTGATTTTTTTTTTATAATTTTTTATAATTTTTTCTATAATTTTGTAACAATTTATAATTTTATATTTGTAAATTTTTATTTACAATTTTTATTTAATAATATATATTATATTGTTAATTATAATTTTAATATAATTTTTATAATATAATTTTTATAATATAATATATATTATATAATATACATTATATATGTTAGACATATTATACATAATATATTTTTGATTTTCTTACACTTTTTATCTGAATGCAACACAACTATTTCAATAATGATTGAATGATTGGCAGCTTATAGGGTGGTTAAAATAAAATAAAACGTTTTTGAAGACGAATATCATCAGAAAATATATTTTACTCGGCTAAAAAGTCAAAACAACAAAATCATTTCGTTTAAAAACTATCAATCAATCAACAATTTAATAATTTTTATAATTTTTTTTATTTATAATGATAATAATTCTTTTATGATAATTTTTATAAAATATAAAATGTATATAAATTTTTATTTATTTGATTTAATTTTGACATATACTATTAACTTTTTTTTTTTGATATTTTTGATCGACCAAAATTTGATAAATTTAAGCTTACATTTTGGAACGATTAATATTAATTATTATTATCATTATCGTTATCATTATTTGCGAATAGTGGTTGTTTTTGAATAGAAAACAAAAATACATACAAGCATGGTTGATGACATTTACAATTCGGGAGACTGCCTTCAGCAAATAGTTGTCCAAGTACCAATGAAATATTTTTGATACATTCACGAGAGATCGGATCGTTTGCTTTGCATGTTTTAGTATTTTCTGGTACTGGATAAGTCGGATCACCGCATCCACAAGCACTTATTATTTCTTTTTGCGTGCAACTACGATGACATCCCTGAACGTTTAGAAATTGAAATTAGTTTTAGAAATTGAAATTGAAAGTTTTTTTTAATTATTATTATTGTTATTATGTTATTATTTATTATTATTTTTTATTATTATTTTTATTGACTGATTAAATTAAATATTATTATTTAAATTAAATTAAAAATAAAGTGTGCTTCTAAGAAAAAAGCAATTTACCTCAACAGAATATTTGAAATTTTCGTAAAGAAATTCATCTTCTTGTATTTCATCCTCATTAAAACATTGACCGTGTGGTGGTGGAATTCTTTTAAATTGTTTCTGAGAAAAATTTAAAAAATTAAAAAATTTGAAAAAAAACACTAAATTGATAAATCTAATTAGCTAAATGATTATTCCTACCATTCTTACACCAAATGATGATAAGAAACCAGTCGGTGCATTATGGCCGAATGCATCTGGAAACGGAACTGTCCACTTATCATGTACGGTTATACGAAAACCAACCATATCTGATGTTGGTAAATATTCTTCTACATCCGCATATAATAAGATTTTAAGGCCTTAAAATATGCGATTTTCTTCGATTATATTTTATTTTAGAATGAAATTCAAGTTTAAATTTAATTTATAATTTTTTTCTATATGATAAACTGATAAGAAATGCAATACATCAGATAAATTTTTTCAAAATAGTTATTTAAATTTATTTGGATTTAAATTTTTAAGTGGTTATTTGAACAAACCGTAATTAGCTCCAGCTCTATGCGCTGTTACTTGTTTTGTTCGATTCCAGTTGAATGTGAAACAATTTCCAAAAGTTTGGTCATAATGTAGTGCAAAATCACTTAATTTTTCTTCAATTAATATGTTGAAGTAATAAGAAAGGAAAAAAGAAGTGAGGAACGGGGAGGGAGGGAGGGAGGAGAAGGTGGAGGCCGTTGGGAAGGAGGAAGGAAATTATATATAATTTCAGTGTTTCTAAAAATTGAACATTCAGCTCTTTCACTATTAATAAAAATCTATGATTTTTAGGCAAATTTTACTTATGTATTTTCTATTTCTAAGCTTATATTCTTATGAATTCAGTAAAGCCAGCAAAGACAAAATTACTTGAAATTAGGCAATGGAATCAGAAAAATGATAAGAAAATGTTGATAATAGTGATAGAAGATAAGAAACCTTTTAATATCACAATCGCGTTGATTAAATGAACATTTCAGTATGAACTCTTCCTTTGTATGGGACATCGAAATTTTTCTTCTATTCGCTAATTCACCAACAGCAAACAATAAATTTTCTTTTGCTTGACTTTTTATTGCAATTTCATCTTTTAAACCCTATAAAATAGAAAATTATAATAATAATTGCTGATATGATTAGCTCTAAGCCATTTAACTAATAGTTGATCACCAATCACTGATAAGTGAAATGAAGATTTCTCACTTATCATTTAATTTGTTGTGAAATTAGCTAAAGGAATACTAATATTTAAGATGAAAAATATTTTAGATGTTTTTTCCGATCTTTCTCTATTTTACTATTGTGCTCTTGGCACTTCTTAACTGACAAGAGAGTGCTTTTTTTTTCATTTTTTTCATTTCATTTTTTTTTTCATTTCACATTTTTTTTTAATGCGATTTTACGAAAGAAGAAAAATGAATTGTGGCGTCTTTCAGTCTTTATAGTCAGAGTTTTTGGTGGACTACTTAATTATTAATATTTATGAGTAAGTTTTTCCAATTTGTTTTTCCCTTAATTTTTCAATTTTAAAAAATTTTTCTAGTTTATGAAATCTCGAATTCCTTAAAAATTTTATTTTTTAAGATATCCAAGAAAAATTCTTGGAAATTTGCCTTTCTTCAAATTTTTAAAAAAATTTGTCTTGTCGCATTGGGCAATGTGCCAGGGAGTCCCTTGGCGATAGAAATATAGGTGAGTCGCCAGCATCACCCGGGTTTTTGTATAGGTTTACTCCTATGGGAAATCGAACCTCAGCATCAGTGCTTCCAGTTGAGCAACAACCCACTGAGCCATTCTAGTCCCTAATTCATCATAAGCCATTTAGTCGTTTTTTCTATACTCAATCCTTAATTATGTTGATTTCAGTATATTTAGTATATATTTAGACTTTAGGATTTTGATTTACGGCTTAGATCTATATTTATGCACCTCAATTCATGAAAATATATAATTGATGCACCTCAGAAAAAAAAGCATAGCTATTTTTTGGTTATATGGATTGCAGCAACATTCGCTTATTCATAAGGAGACCAGAGGCAATTTCAAACATGAAAGAGGCCTATATAAGTGGATGAATACATAGATTTTCTTAAATTATTACTGATAAAGGTAAGTTAGAAGAAGAAGAAGAAATAGAGGGCCAAGTGCCTTTATTTCTAAATTATTCTTATCATTAAACAGTGGAATTAAAAAATAAAGGAAACCTCAAATCCATATGCTTTTTTAATTTCAGGTGCTTGAGTGGTAGTCGTTGTAGAAATAATAGTTTCAGTCGGTTTGATATTCAATTTCGTTAAATCACCATCACTTGCATCAATTTCCATAATATAACCATAATAATTTTTAGCAATACAATGATTATATTCTTCGTGACATAGGCAAGGATTACGTGCTATATTATCAGCCTTATTATCATCATTAATAAATAACATTGGGCAATGTCCAAGATCTCCTGAACATTGTGCACATAATTGCTTTCTCCATGTATTATCTGAAAAAACTTAGGCATATTCAATAATTTTTAGCTTATCATAAACTTTTTTTTTTTTTAAGCTTTTTATTTCTTTATATAACTAAAATACTGAAAGAAATTGGAATATTATCGAATAAAATTTTGGATTGTGAAAACCACTAAATCTTATCAAATCTTATCAAAATACCAAATATTTTACGAAAATTACTTCTTGATTTTTTTATTTTTTAAGTTTTAATTCTTTAAATATTAGAGAAAATTTTAAAAAAACAAACGCGGAAAGCATGGCCATAAAGTTTTTGAAACCCAGTCGAGTTGACATATACATCGAGTCGGATAATAAAGATGTAGATTTTCAGCAAAAAGAATCGATACATTACCTTTATACATCGCAAAACAACTTCCCTTTGACCTCTGACCCGTTATTGAATTTACTTCACATAAGCATTTAGCATAAACTTGATGATATCGACGAATTTGTAGCTGTGTAAGTTTTCGTTTTCTCCGACTTTCTAAGATTTTTTTTTCCGTAAAATTAACTAAGAATTTTTGGAGAATATTTTCTTTAGAGAATTTTTCGATTTTTAAATAATAAATTTTTTAATATTGGAAAAATGAAAAAAAAAAAATTGTACGACGATTGCGTGCTGCTTCAATAGCCGCCGATATTCCATATGAAGTACCACCGTCTTCAACAATATTTGAAAATGCATCCATCTTAAAGCAATTTAAAGAATTTATTATTAAAATGAAATTAAATTATCATTATAATTTAATATTGTAAATATTGTAAAATATTTTTCAAATATTTTAAAAAATATTTTCAATTTTTTGCAGATATTTTTTTTTAAACAAAGTAGTATAGTTTTAGTCAATAATTTTCCATATTTTTCTTCTTGTTTTCCAATACGAATTTTTCTTTATTTCATTTGGAATATGTTGGTTTTTCTTTAAAATTTTCTTTTTTTTTTAAATAGAAATAATAATAATAGTAAATAAAAGAAATTTATGAACGTACTGCTGCTCGAGTTGATTCCTCTCGTAATATAGCGGACGCTTTATAAGGGTTTAAATTACATAAAGTTACTGATGGAAATGGTGCATTTTCGAATTTCAACTAAAATATTTCTTTAGGCTATTAAATTCTTTTTTTATTTTAAAATATAAAATATTTTATATTTTAATGAAATATTTTAAAATATAAATATATAAAATATAAAAATTTCTATCATTTATTGATCATCAAATTAAAATTTCCTCAATTTTTATGAATTTTTAATAATTTTATAAAATTAATTTCTAATAGGTAAATTTAAAAATAAGAAAATTTTTTTTATAATCAATCAAATCAATTATTAATTATTTATTCGCTGGCTTATTAGACCAGACAAACTTTACTAGCGAATCACTTTATATATCATTCAGATTTTTGAGAGGAGAGGCCGGGTTTTACTTCTATCGGAAATAGAAGTTCCAGCGTCAGCGCCATGAGAGCAACAACTCAATGTGCCATTCCTCCGCTCCTCTTCCTTCACTCTTCTAATTTATTTAAATAATTAAAAATATAAAGAGACCTACATCGAGATCAACATTTTTAGCATAAGTCCGATATCTTCTAATAAGTAATATAATTTGTAATAGTAATGCACAGACACAAATAGTGAATGCTGTATACCATATAATCCTCCATTTAGTATTAGGTGCTAATGCTGCATGTGATATACCATGGAATGTGCTTTGACGTTCAAAACGATGAATTATTTCTCGATAATTTAAATGTCCCTTCACTCTTATTTTTCCTAATCCTGAAATTTTCTTTTTTTCATCCTTTAATTTGCTATAAAATAAATAAATTTTAGTTCTTTTTTTTTTGGTTAATTTAAAATTTTCCTTTAATGAATTTTTATTGTTGATAAAATTTATTTTTATATTTTTAATTAATTAAAATAAATTATTAGAAAATTTCTTTTAAAATTGAAACTTTATTCTTCTTAATAACAGCTAAAGAGTGGTTTAATTTTCGTAAAATTTTCAAACTGTTTAACTCGGAAAGCTTTTTTCTTTGCTTATTTAAGTATGAAAGCGATTTCATCCCTATGATTAAACTTATCTATGAATTATCAATAAAACAGTGATGCTATATGCTTATCATTATTTATCTAAATGCCTAGTAAAAATTAAAGTTTTCTACCAGTTCTATTAGTTTTTAAAGCGATTAAAGCGAGTTAATTAGTTTTAAAAATTATTTTAAAATTAGAGAATTTTTTGAAAAATTTTTTCTAAAAAAATTGATAATAATTGATATTAAAAAATAATAAATAGTAAATAATAAAAATAATAATAAATTTTTCATAATAAGTAGAATAAACGAATAGGAAAATGAAATTATAAAAGAACGAGTGAAAATAATAAAGTTGGAATAAAAATAAAATAAAAAATATTTTTGATGGCGAAAAAATAACTGCAAGCTTCGTTTATTTTCTTGCTTTTATAAAATATCAAATTAATGATTCAAGGATTTAATTTTTGTTTTTTTTTAAACAAAAAATTTGCAAAATTCTTCTTTCTTTATCCTTATTTGTCGTAATGCATGGAATACGAATTAGGATGGTGAATTTTGGAAATATTCTTTTTAAAGAGCCAGTGGAGCAAATTTTAATCAGTAATGGTGCAATCTGTTAGGCGAAAATGATAATAATGATGAAAGAATGAAATCATTCGAATTATTCGAGAGTTTTTCAATTTCGTCAAAATTTATTATGATCTTTTAGTTGATAATTTTTTATAAATATTATAAAAGATTTGAATGATAATGAATTGAAATGAATAACAATAGTTTTATTTTTTGGTTAATCGAATAAGATCTCAATCCACACACTAACCAGCCGCCTTATCAATTTATCAATGATAAATATTTGTTCTTAAAAAAGTTCTCAAATTCATCATTCATTTGATAACGAAAATAGTCGTTCAATAATAATCGATAATTTATTTTAATAAATAGATCAATTAATGATATGATTAAAATTATCTTTTCGCTGCAGAGTCACACTTATGAATATTTTAGTTTTAGATAATCATTTTTATCATATGATAAATTTTGTTTTAGCCAATAATTCGAAATTATTAGTACTTAGCTAAAGTCGAATTAAAATATATAAGCACCCTTTGTATTTTTGGCATAAAATAGAATCAAAAAATTGTAAATCAAAAAATTCTTTTGGATAATCAGTACTTTTTTTATAAAATTCTAAGAAATAATATCTTTTTATCAGCTTTTTTTGACTATTTTCGAATTACTGAGGGGAAATTTATAAAAAAGAAGAACAAGGAGAAGGAAAAAAGAAGGAAAACGAACCGTGTCGATAGATTCGTTCGCCACCTTTTGATAATCTTCTTAACGCATTCCATGCGAGATCCTTCTTTATTGTTTCTTCATCGTTCGATTTAAGACGAATTCGTCGATTCAGTTTTCGTTTAAATAATTTCTTTTCCTCGTTCAATAAATTCGATTTATAATTTTTTATTTTTTCCATAGCTTTTTTTTTCTTTTATCATTTATCAAATTATATATTTTTTATCATTTTTTTTAATAAAATTTTTCTGAAATTTTTTTTTATATTGGAGAATTTTATATTGAAGAAAAAATAAAAATGATTTTCAGTTGTTTGAGGTATGATTTTTTTAACTTTAAATATTTTTATTTTATGCTGAAATATTACTTAAAAGTAAAGTAAAGTCGAATTGCTGTACTAATAATGAGTAAAAAGTACAGATTAAGTTTAAATAGTAAAATGATAAATATTGTTTTAATATTAACAGTAATAATAACAATAATGATAGTTTTAATAATAATAATATCAAAAGAATAATCTAGATGAACAACAAAAATCAAATTGATACTTTGATTTTCTGATTATTATCATTCGGCTGATAATTCAAAATCAATTATGCTGAGATATTTTCAAGATTTTTTAATTAAATATTGTCTAGAATTTTTTTTTCAAAATTTCGGAAAATATTGTGAACTTTAATTTTTCATTCAAGTTTTCTATGAAAAATTCTTGTGATATTTCAAATATTTTGGCGAAAGTTGTAAATTTTTCAAATTTTCATAGTTCATTTTTCTTAAAATTAAAATTTTGAAATTTAGATGAATAATTAAAAAAGAAACGATATGTTTATTATTGTTTTTTTTTGAGAATAATGGAATTTTTAGAATTTTTTATACATTATCACAAGGATATATTACATCAAAAAGAATCATTGATAAATCAGTGATAAAAATAAGAGATATAATGGCATGTGCCTTTGCAGACTAGTTTTTTTTCCTAAATTTCTGGTTAGAATAGCTCCACCGACTTGTCGGACAAGATAAATTTTCTCAGAGAAAAAATTTTATGCTTAGCGACAGAATTATCTGTTAGTCGTCAACATGACCTGAAGATTTTCGAAAGATACCTTTTGAATTCATTTCGAAATTTTGAAATTCTCCTAATTCTCTAAATTTTTTGGAATTCTAAAAGAATCAGTCTTTGAGATAATAATTTAATTTTAAAGAAATTTCATTCATTTCAACTATTTTTTCAGGAAATTAAAACAAAAATTATTTTATTTTATTATGGACTACGAGTAAAATAAATAGTTTTGAATGCAATAGAATTAAGTAGAAAAAAAATAAAAAATAAATAAGTAAATGTGGAGATTATTTTTATAAAATTATATAATAAATTAATAATCTTTGATGTTTTTCATTATTTATCCTTATGAAAAAAAAATTTAACTAAATTATTACACAAAAATTGCGTGAATTGATAAATTTATTAGTTCACATTTCTTTTCAACGCTTATCATGAGTGATTTTTTAGAGATATTTTAGTGATGATTAGCATATTTTATCAGACGATATCGCAATTGTATTGACGATGATTTATATGAACTTTGATTTGAACTTTTAAGTAACAGCTGTAAAAAGTACATCAATCTTAACGCATATTTCTCTATACAATAAAAATAAATAATCAATTTGCACTGATATTCACCTTATTCGTTTTAATTTAATTGTTGATTATTTATTATTTAAATAATATTCGAATGAAATGAAATAAATGAATTATAATTTGTAAGTTATTACTTAGTTATAAATAATAAATTCTTTTATTATTAATTTTAATTTAAAAAATTTCGAAATTTATTAATTTATTTATAAAATTTATTAACGAATTACTTAATTCATTATATGAAACAAATTAATAAAAAATTGACATTAAATATGTAAATTGAAATTAAATTTAAAAAAATGAAATTTAAAATTGAATGAAAATTAAATTTTAGGAAAATCATAAGCAAAATGGCTTTATTTTCAATAAAATTTTTTTTTTTTTCTGAATATATTTATTTTTTGATTAAATTAAATTTTAATCTCATTTATTAAGAATTTTTCAATTCAAAAAAACTTGAAAAAAATTATTTTTGATTTATTTTTCTTTTTTTTTATTTTATTTTTTCTCTAATTTATTTGAAGAATGAAATTTTAATTGATCTTAATTTTTTATTTTTATTAAAATTAGCAAAATATTTGATTTTTCAATTTTTGCATTAGTTATATTTATTTGCATTACTCTTAGAGATTACTTACTTATTTATTTACATTAATTATTTTTATTTATGCTAAACTATTCAATATTTCGGATATTTTTTTTATTATTATTTTTCGTTGTTGTAAAATTTCGTTCTATTTTACTCTATTTAATCACTTTTAATCGCCTCAATAATCTTTGCAAAAAATTGTAAAAAGAAATTTTATAAAAAATTGTAATTGCAGATTTTATTTCGTAATATCGTTTATTTTTTTAATATTTATAATTATTGCAAATAAATAAAAATAATTTTAAAAAATTTTTATTAAAATCAATTCGTTAAGAATCGATGAGATAAACGAGAATTTTCAAATAAAGCCGTCATCAATAATGCAAAAAAAAAATTACTGACTCAGTTTTTTATTAGAAAACTCATAAGTATTTTTTTATTATTAAATTTACGCGTATTTTTTTGCATTTATCATTATTATCGTTATTAAACGTATTTTTATTATTTATTATTATTAAATCATTTTCAATATTTATAGTTATTAAACTCATAAAAACCATGAATAAGGAATTATTGATTTATTAAGAATTTCAATACTAAATAAATTTTATAATTACAAATATAAAAAATTATAAAAAGATTTAACAATTTAAAAAATAATAATAAATAATTAAAGTAATAAATAATAATAATAAATTAAAATAATAATAGTAATACAATTATAAAAATATTTTGTACGCACAGATTAGTTTTATAAAAAATATCGAAGAAATTTATCATATTTATAATACAAAATAATTAGAAAAATGAAAGACAAAAAAAAAAAACTAGGAAATCCTTGGTGTTTCAATAAATCTAATCGTACAATGTCGTATTTTCTCCTCGGTTTTCTTTCATCCTCCTCCTCCTATTCCCTTCTAATTCCTAATCGACCGGGATTTTTTAAAAATAAATAAATGAAAGCCATGAGAAATGAGAAACAAATGCACTATTAAATTAATCTTTATATATTTTTAATGGATTTTTCATTGTAAAAATATAAAATTTAGTAAAATAAACAAGAGAAGGATCGAAATTTTTGGAATAATTGTTTCAAAATTATTTTAAATTGTAGAATTTTTTTTTTCTTCGAATTCAAAATGAAATGAAATTTTTATTTTAATTATGAGGAGGAATTCATTTTTTTCTAAATTAAAAATTTATTATTTTTGTAAATTAAAATTTTTGCAAAAAAAATGGAAAATATTTTATATGATTCGAATGAAATAATTAATTGAGTGTAAGAAAAAAAATGAGGAGGAAAATTGAAAATTAATGCACAGCTGGTGAAAGGTGAAAATTGTGAATGAAGTTGGATGGTTAAAATACCTTAAGTCAGCTGTTTCTCTCACTCTTTTGTCAGATTTAATTTTTTTTTTCTTTCCTATTAGCTTTTTTTCTAAAAATTCAGATCGATTAGCAATTAGAAGAAGGAAATAGGAGGAGGAAGAAAAAGGAAAGTGGAAGAGAAAATACGACGGTATAAGATTAGATTTATTGAGTCTTCGAAGATTTTCTAAATTTTTTTTTGCTTTTCGTTTTTCTAATTCCTTTTTATTGATAAAATATGATAAAATTTAGAAATTCTCGGAAATTTTTTGAATATTTAAATAATATTAATCTTTTTAAAAAAATTTATATTAGAAAAAATGACTTCAAATTTTTTAAAAATGATTGAGATGATAATAATTTATAATAAATATTTTTAATTTAAAAATTTTTCCATTTTTTTTCTGATTTTTTTTATTCTTTTTTATATTTCCTGATTGATAAATCATTAAAGGCGTTCTTTAGAATTTTTTGAATTTGTAAAGTAATTTGAAAAATTTTCAGCAAAAGATTGGTTGGAAAATTTCCATTTTTATCATTTGTTCATTATATATTTTTTTTGAATTTTAAATTTATTATTTTTGAATTCAAAAATTATAAAATTATTTTAAATTATTTTTCATTGTAAAAATAGAATTTTTTTCAAAACAATTAAGATAATAATTAATAACAAATAAAAAATTTTTTGTTTATTTAAAATTTTTAATTTTGGAAAAAAAATTAATTTGAGGATAAAACAAATAAAGAAATGCAACTTTTATTGGATGATTTGCTATCGATACAAAATTCGAAAGGTACCAAATCAACGTATCTTCATTCGACATTATATGTTACTGATGGAGATTATGGCTTATACGCGATATCAGCATTCGTTAATCGGCACACAATTACTATTGGTACTACAAATGCTGGACCACCATTATTGTCGGGGCCATCGCCAATCGCTTATAAGGTTCATTTCATTTCTAATCGAGAAAATTATCCAATCTGCAATTTGCGCAATATTAAATTCGATATTTTATCGATATTATCAAAAAATTGGATAATTGGAAAATTACTTAATTATTATAAAATCGAATGTAAATTCTCTTGTAATTTTTAGGATGAAAACATGGAGGATGACGATCAACGTGAAACAGAGAATTACGGAGGACTACATAGACAAGTTGTTCGTATTAATATTAATAGAGAATCGTTAACGCAAAATGGTGATGGAGAGTTCTTACTTTTTGGTTAATATTTTTATCTAATTTTTGTATAAAAATATTTTTATTAGTTTTTTTAATTTTTTAAAAATAGATTCTAAGAAATAAATTTAAGGATATCATGAACCTCCGGTAACAATGCAATGGACAATCATGTGTCGTCAGACTGCTGCTAGAATATTTCCTAATACACCAAGCATAACATTTGTTCCATCGCCCACTCTTGATACTAAGGTTTTTCATTTCTGTTATTCTATGTTTTATTCTAAAAAAAATAGTTTGGCGTCCATGTTTGAAATAATAAAATGATAATGGAGTACATGAAAAGATGAACTCGAAGAAAGAAAATATCATATCATATCAGCAAATTAGCAATGGATTATCATTCAACGCTAGCCATTTATTAATTCACAATCAATCTGAAGCTATAATGTAGGCCCAAATTTGAATATATTGTTAATATTTTATACCCAAATTATGGCTTTTCGCCTAGGCCAGAAGTTTCTTTCCGCGATTTTATGACATTTATGAACTTGGCTAGGATTATATTATATCTTTATTTTCGGTTTGGTTAAAAATGGTTTTTCGCTTTTTCTTTTTAATTGTGGATTTTAATAGACAAATCATAGTATAATAACATTAATGGTATAAGATATTAGCTGCTTTTTTATTTCCGTGCTATATTATTTTGCTTCTATCATTAGGAGAACCTGGCTTTAAGAATGGATGCGCGTAGGTTTAAGTTTCAAATTGCCTAAGAAATTCTTAGTACAAAAAAAATTTAAGATTCCCCTAATCTAAGCAAAATTCAATTCAGTTTGTTAGATCCAAATATTTCTAGGTTAAATTCTCTTTTTTTTTTCAAATATCGCTCTCTGATCTGGCTAATGCATGATTTTAGAATGAAACCAGGAAGGAAACTCAAATCATTATTTTATCTTATCATTATTTTTATCATTATTTTTATTTTGCGCGAGATTTTTAAAAAATCGTAAAAAATATTCTGTTACAGGCAGAAGAAATAGCAGATAAACTAATTGCATATGGATTAAAAAATACTGGCATAATTTTACGGATTCATTGGAAATCATTTCTTGTAATTTTGTTGATTTCAATTATTTTCGTAATATCATTTACAATTTTTTTTATCTTTACTCCGCTTCGCGTAAGTCATAATTTTTCTTCGTTTTTTGTGATAAGAATTTGATAAAAATTTTATAGGTTATCCTAGAATTTCTTAGTCAATTTTATTTTATTTATTAATTTTATTTTATTTTATTTTATTTATTTAAGTTTTTATTTTTCTTTGATAAAATCAGTTGCTTTAATTTATTTGTTTATTTCTAAGAAAAATATTTTAAAATATTTTAAAATATTAAAATATTTTATTAAATATTAAAAAAAATATTAAAAAATATTTTATTTTAAAATATTTACGCAATCAATGAATTTTAATTTTGCATGAAAAAAAAATTTTGTAGAATATGTCAAAAGCAATTTTGTCTTTACATCTTATTTATTGCAGTCAACAGAAAAAAAAATATTGAAGAAAGGTAAATTTGTACAAACATCGAGTTATTTTTATAAATTTTGGAATCGACACCAAAATACCGAGAAAGGTTATGAACGAATTGGAAATATCCTTTATAATCCGCAGACAATTCTTGGACGCGGGTGCGATGGTACTATTGTTTACAGGTTAGGTTTATAATCGGCTGAAAAAATTTATTCTCTTCTGTGATAAGATTTAACGAGTACAATCGAGAATGGCTCGTATTCGATCGACATGCTTCGTTGCAAAACGGCGAAAGCAATGTGGATTAGAATGGTTCAGTAGATTGTTGTTCACTTCGTATGCAATGCTTGAGGTTGTATCCACAACAAGAGTAAAATTTCAAAAGTCCAGGTTATGCTGGTGATCTTATCCGTACTTCAGAAATTCACATAATACTGGCGATCTAATTCACCTATGCCTCTATTATTGGCTCCCTAATAAATTTATTTATCTGATCCGATAAGCCAGCGGAACGAGTCTAAGTAGCAATAATTAGCTCTTAAAAGAAAATTTCTCCCTTCTTTGATATATTTTTTAAATATATTTTCTAAATATTTTAAATAAAATTTGTTTTATTTTGGCAAAATAATAAATAATTTATTTAACTTTTTTGTCATATAAAACAATGTTAATTTTAAAATGAAATTTAAATCAAATTTATTTCTTTCATCTTTCTTCTCTTCGAAAAGGTTTCAATTATTATTACTAAATTAAATTAAAATTTAAAGGGGTAAATTCGATGGTCGACAAGTAGCTGTAAAACGCGTTGTCGCCGAAATGGTTCATTTGGTAAATCGTGAAGTGGATTTACTTCGAGAAAGTGATGCGCATTTGAATGTCATTCGATATTTTTGTTTAGTTAGTATTTTTTTAAAATTATTGATAGTAATTTAATATTTATTATTAATAATATTAAAATTATAATATTAAAATTTATTAATATTAAATTAATTAAAATTTCGTGAAAGAAATTCTAAAAAAAATAGCAGAAGAATAGGTATGATGGAGATAGCGGCGAGATTTATTTTTTACGACGTTTACAGAAATAGCAATACGAATCTCGATGGAGCTTGGCGATTCCTTCCTCCAATATCTAATTTTATAAAAATTCTTTCGGGAATCGAATCCGCTCCATTATGTTGTCTCTATAGATTAAACAGTTTCCTGCCACACGTGACTTTTATCTTTCAACAGTATTCTGAATTCTTCAGCCAGCGTTCTCTTCAACGAATTACGGAATGGCGCGGCATATGTATGTCCCCTGTGCAAATCTAATGGGGGTGAGGGAGGCACGTGATAGCAGCGCGTAGGAAACAACGCTGACGTCGGTGTGAACGTCCCTACCTAAGATATCGCGGATCTCAAACCATACACCACGCCATTCCCCAGACCATTTCCCATCCCTTTCCCCATTCCTCCCGACGAGATCCTAACAATGGCTAAAATACTCCCTCGGAAGCTAACAATGGAAATTTGCTTTGCGACAGGCGGACGGAAGTTTATTTATCTTTGGTTCTCCAAAGGTAAAAAATATTCTCCTTGTACCTCTCACTGTCGATATATTCTGCCATAATTCTGAAATATCTTTTAATTTCCTTTTTAATTCTAATTTTTCTTAAAATATAAAATAATCTTTTAAAGGCGCATTGAGGGTCTAACCCACTTATTTTTAATTATATTTGTAATTATATTTTTGTAATTATATTTTCCATTCGGCGACACGACGACTTTTTTTTTTATTAAGAACGTTCACTATTGCTGGTTAGATTCGCTTTATTGGTATGTCCAGACTAGGCAAATTTCGCTAAGGGTGAATCGCCATATTGAGCAACAATCTACTTAGCTTCTTTTGCTTTCTCAACAAAGAAGTCTGGCTGGATTCGAGTCATCCTTGATTATAGCTGATAATCATCATCTTTCCACTAAGCTTCGAGCACTAATTTTCCACAATTGTCACTTTTTTTTGAACTTTTATAAGTCTAATAGCATATCGAGAAATCGTAATTCCTAGGAAATAATTTTCAGGAATCTGATAGTCATTTTCGTTACATTGCATTAGAACTTTGTTCATTCTCATTGTATGATTATGTTGAAAATGAAGATGTGCATTCAAATTGTTCCTTAACAACGACTGAAATATTTCAGCAAGCAGCTGAAGGAATCGCTTATCTTCATAGTATAAATATTGGTTAGCTTTGGAAATTTTTTTTTGTGGCCAATTATTATACTTCTATTTCGTGGATAGCAAAAATAAATAATCGAAATAAGATGCGTCAAAAACTTTTCCTTCAGCTTTGTAATTCTAATTATTTAAATAAATTCTAATTATTCAGTTCATCGCGATATTAAACCTCAAAATGTGTTATTTTCAATGAAAAATCAACATGGACAAGTTCGTGTGCTCATATCCGATTTCGGTTTATGCAAACGTCTTCAGTACGGTTATTCAGTAACCCAGTCAGGATTAATTGGTACTGATGGCTGGATCGCTCCAGAACTTTATAATATGCATGACAAAATCGTAAATTTATTTTTTCTTTTTGGATTGATCTTGAGAAATTATCATATTCTAATTAATTTATTATCCTTATCTTTTAACAACGAGCATCATTATTCCCGAGATTATCAGTACTATTTTCTTCTAACCTTTTTCTCCATTACTGATTTTCATAGTTCAATATATGATATTCTTAATTTAGTTCAATATAAATCTCTCGTTCCAACGTTCTACGATGTTCCAACGTTCTACGATTGAAAGTTGAAAAAATTCTAAATTTTTTTCAGACATGTGCTGTTGATATATTTTCTTTGGGATGTATTTTTTATTATGTATTAACTAAAGGAATGCATCCATTTGGTGGTTCACTACAACGACAAGCAAAAATCGTATCAGCTGATTGTGATTTACAATATTTAATTCATTCAGGTTAAAAAATTTTTGAATAATGAAAATCTTGATATTTTTTCATAAATATTGATAAATCTTGATATTTTTTCATAAATATTGATATTGATAAAATAAATGTTGATTTTAAAAAATTTTTTCTTTTTAAAAAGTATTATTTTTGTTTTTTTACTATTTCCGGAATGGTGATAAATAAAATTAAAATTATTAATATCATAGGTTAAATCAAATTCTTAGATTTTATTAATACATTTCTCCAATATTTTCAATGAAAATTGGTGAAAGGTTAAAAGGTATAAAGTTAAAATATGTGCGGAATTTTGCTGAATTTTTCAGTAAATTTTCCGTATAATTCAATGAAATCTTATCAACATGAAGATAAATCTTAGAATTATAGCAATAGTCCCAATAATTATTTAAATAAATTTTTTTAATAAATCGATTATAAGTTATTTTTAAATTTAGAAAATATTCCTGGATTATCTTTAATACATTCAATGCTTCAAAAAAATCCTAATTCACGTCCAACAGCGAAAGATTTACTTGTACATCCTTTCTTTTGGTCTGCAAGTCGTCAACTTCAATTTTTCTCAGTGAGTTTTATTTTTTTAATTTTTTTTATTTTATTATTTTAATTAATTTTTTTTTTATTCGATATTCCAAATATAATTTATAAAAAAACATAGTGTTAATTATCTATTCATTCGATTGTTTAATTATAAACGTATCACATTAATAATTTTCTCTTTTATAGGATGTAAGCGATCGTATTGAGAAGGAAGACATTAATTCGTTGGTTGTTAAACGTCTTGAAAAAGGATCTCGATTAGTTGTTACTGGAAATTGGCGTGATGTTATTTGTCCAGCTTTATCTGACGGTTTTTTTTTCATATAAACATTTTTTAGCTAATGGTACTCTTCCTCATAAACATTTCTTAGCTAATGGTACTCGTTCATACTCGTTTATTTTTTATTAGTTGTTACTAGTTAAATTAAATTTTTTTTATCATTATTTTTCGACTATAATAGCCGTCGAAAAAATCCATTAGGAATATTTCGTAAATTTTTATTTAAATATTTATTTTAGATCTAAAAAAGTTTCGCTCATATAAAGGTCATTCAGTACGAGATTTATTACGAGCAATGCGTAATAAAAAACATCATTATCGCGAATTACCGGAGGAGGTTCGAATTTCATTAGGTGATATACCTGAACAATTCGTTCATTATTTTACATCTCGTTTTCCTGAGGTAATTCTTCTAATTTTCATAGGTTTCTCTAATTGATTTAATTCTCTAATTATTCTTCATTATAAAAACAGGTAGAATTTCTTTTTTTTTGACAATTTTGACAATTTTTTAATTTTTTGATACTTTATAATTTGATATAATTTATAATTTTAAAAAATTTTCATAGTTCATTTAAACTTTAATTATTTTTGCATCAAAAATTTGTTATTTTTCTTCTTCTTCTTCTTCTTCTAACAGCTCTCACCATTACTGGTTAGGCTGGCTGCAACGGCTACAAGGGTAAGACGCTTCCAAGTGGCGCGGTCTGATGCCATCGTCGATAGTAATGGAAGCCATTCCTTTTTCCATCGTCTAAGTCCATATATCGCTGGTCCACCTATACGTTCAAAATCTTTTCTCATAGTATCAGTCCAGGTCTTGATTGGTCCACCTCGCAAAAAATTTTTTAATTCTTTGATACTTTATAATTTATAATTTTGACGCTTTCTAATTTCAAAAAACTTTCATAGTTCATTTTAACTTTCAATTATTTTTGCATCAAAAATTTTTTATTTTTGCTTTATATTATTATTGAAATCATTTTTTTGAAGCAAAAATTCTATTTTTAATTTATTTTTTAAAATTTCAGTTATTAATGCATACATATGAAGCAATGGAATGTTGTTCAAGTGAAAAATTATTTATCGGTTATTATGCTGAAAATTCATTCAGTACGAATTATCACGAATTAATCGCTCGTTGAACAAAAAATTCAAATTTTAAGAAAAAATTTTGCTACTTTTGCACTAATTTTTTAATGGGTTGGGTCAGTTTTTTACGAAATTTTTTTAAATTTTAAATTTTTAAATATATTTGTAATTTATTTTTAAATTTCCAATAATCACGGAGTGATATTTCATAATTTTTCGTTAATCTTTAAATTTTTTCTTTTAATTTTATTTTAAAATTAAAGAAAAAAAATATTTTTATGAAAAATTCGCCATTAAATTATAGAAAAAGAAAAAAAATTATTGCTTTAGAAGAGGAAATTTTAAATCGAAATTTAAATTTTCACATTTAATTTAATTGAATAGTGCTCTTTACATCTTTTAATAAATTAATATATTAAATTAAATTATATATTATATAATATATAATTATATATTGTATATTATATATTATATATTAGATTAAAATAAATTAATTTTTATTCGAATTAAACGTTTCAATAATATTGCCTTGATCTCATCATTTTTCTTTCTGTGATATTGTTATTTTTTTTAATTTTTGTTTAATTTTTAATAATTTTCATTGTATTTATTTTTATTATTTATTTTTATTTATTTTCTATATTTTTGAAAAATTGTTGAGTGTAAAAATCCGTTTAATTATTTTCGCTTCGTCAATTATTTTTTTATTGCGGTACTTTTCTTATCAAAAAGTACCACTCTTAGTACGATATTTATTAGTATTATGATTGTTATCGCGTACTTTATATCTCATCGTATTTATTTATTTATTTTTCGATTATCTCTTTCTTTCTGAAAAAGATTGAGGGAAAAAAGGTTTAAAATAAAGATGGCCAAGGAGGAGAAATTGGCATGAAAATTTATCGTCTTCTTGGCTGTGTTCTAGCGATAGTGATAAAAAAAAGTGATTGAAATCCAAAGTTTCTAGTTCCGATTCTGTTCTTATAATTTAGAAATTTCTCAAGAAATTAGTTACTTGGCCGTATTATTAGAATTAGTATTAGTGGGATTGCTAGTATTAGTGGGATTTTTTTAATCACATCCTTCTTCATATCAGCGTTAGAGAATCGAACGTCTGATTAGCGTAGGCTGCAAATAGATACACCACTCCACTCGGCCATCGTTACCTCTCATACCAAAAAGATATTATCAGAAATTGGTTCAGTATTGTTTTATTTACGTGTAAGTAATATTATTTGCTCTAAAATGCGTCTTGTGCATAGTAATTATTGAAATAAAAGTCAGGAAAAATTTTTAAGTTGTTTTTTATCGATGGCATTGGCTCAAAACCCAAAATTTTGGCGTATTTTCGATTTTGGATGCTTTTTTTTTCCATTTTTAATGTCTGTTTTCCAGGAAATAGCAAAATTACCCTTTTTATTATCATTATTTATTTATAAATTTGCTTTATCATTATTATTAAACTTGTTATTAACTTAATTTTATTATTTTGCTATTGGATTTATTTATTTTTATTTATTTATTTTTATTTTTATTTTTTATTTATTTTTATTTTTTTATTTATTTTTATTTCATTTATTTATTTTAGTTTTTTTTTAGATATTTTTATACATTTATTTTATACATTTATATATTTTTTAGATATTTATATATATATAGATATTTTTATTGAAATTTTAATTTAAATTTATAATAATATTTAAATATTTATTAAATATTATTAAAAATTAATTTTCAAAATTCCCTCCATTTTCTCTCTTTCTTCATTTCTCCATCATTCTCCTTCTCCTCAATTCTCAACTTCGCTTCCTTGCCTTTTGTCTCTCCGCCTCTTCGCATTATATGCTTTATTGGATATTGATGCGGTGGGTAATATGTCGAGAAATGAGGAGGGGCAGAGAATTAGAGAAATCTGAAAAAGTATGCAAATACGAATGAGCCATTCGATAGAGTCGTCTCACGTCGTGCGGTTGCATTGAAGCGTCAAGTATGAGGGAAATTGTTCATGTTCAGGCTGGCCAGTGTGGAAATCAGATTGGTGCCAAAGTTAGTTTTATTTGAAATATTCGATTGGTTGAATCAATATTTAATTTTAGATTTAATGAAAATAAAAATTGACCATGGAATTTTCCATTAATGTTGATCAAATTCTTGGGCAATTCTTTTTTTAGATTTTTAATTTTTTTAGATAAAATTTCAAATTTTAATTGATTCATTTTTAATGTTTTTAATCACATTCTTATAATTAAAGTTTTTAATAAATTCTTAAATTTTGGTTGATTTATTTTATTTTTAAATTTTTATTTTTAAATTTATTTTTAAATTATTTTAAAATTTAAATAAATTATTTAAATGTTGATTGAGTTTTAAGACGTACAAAATTGTATTGTTAATATGAAATAAGAATTTTAATCAATTTGCTGAATGAAAAAAGAGAAGATAAAAAAAAATAAAGAAAGCTAGTAGGACTCGGATTAAATTTGCCGTCGTTGGTTTAATACCTTATCAACAATACTTCGAGGAAATATAGTGAGTTCTGGTATTATTAAGAATGTAAAAATAGAATGCATTCTTGGAATATAATCGAGTTACGGGGATATTTTACCACAGTGGTTAAAAAACCTGCATGAATTTTATATGAAATTTTATGCGATACAGTGAAAAATTATGAGCAAAATTCTTCTTTGTTATCAAATTATTTAGAATGACATAAATTCATATTCACTGCGAAATATTATCGATATCAGCGATAAACGTTTACCAGTTGTTAAGTTCATTTCATTGTTTAGCAGAGATTTTGAAGATGAATCGCCAATGCCAGTCTGATTTTTTAGCGACAGGTTTATTCCTGTGGGGAACAAAGAGCTGATGGTCAAGAGGCTCTCTGTTAAAGTAACTCATATTGGTGTTTTATTGGAATTTTTTGTCGGTACGTGTTGGAAGTGAACTGTAAATAGAAATATACCTCGCATTTTTTTCATTTTTTTTGAGATTGTGCCTTCGTTATTTTACTCTTATATAGAGCGAGCGAAATGAAATTTTATTTAATAGGTTAAAGAATGTTCATCTGATTGATTTTTCCCATAATTGCGCGGTTAAAGTTGTTTAAGATATTGTAAAATTTCGGTTTATGAAATTGTTTATTGAAATGAATGGTAATTCGTTCAAGGTAGTGGAGGTTATTGTTGACCTTTTTCACAATGTTTAAGATCGAAGAAAATATGTTTATTTGTATGATTTTGATAATAAAAATTTTTATACCAATTTCATCGAATTTTCTTTTGATTAAATTGAGAAAATGAGATGCTTGTTAATGTCAAGGTTATCTCTTCGTAGTTTAGCAAAAGGAATATTTTTATCAGTTTTTTTTTTAGTTTTGGGAAGTGATTTCGGATGAGCATGGAATTCAACCTGATGGATCTTACAAAGGAGATTCAGATTTGCAACTTGAGCGCATTAATGTTTATTATAATGAAGCTACAGGTATTTTACCGACTTTTTGAGCAAAAACTTTGATTCAATATGAGATTTAAGATCGAGAAAAATTTGAAAATTCTCACCAGGTTTGCTGGGAAAAGATGCCCAGAGAATTTTAATTTGTTAAGATTTCACAATATATTCCATCGAAAAGCCGACCGTTCTTTTATTTATTTAAATGAATTTAGGGGGGAAATATGTTCCTCGCGCCGTGCTTGTTGATCTTGAACCCGGTACCATGGATTCTATTCGTAGTGGCGCGTTTGGGCAACTTTTCCGCCCTGATAATTTTGTATTTGGTCAAAGTGGTGCTGGCAATAATTGGGCGAAAGGACATTATACGGAAGGAGCAGAACTTGTTGACAATGTGTTGGATGTTATCCGGAAAGAAGCTGAGGGCTGTGATTGTCTTCAGGTCCGTGGCCAAATTTGTTTTTCAAGGATATGATTGAGGTCCGAGCAACATTGAGGTTTTTTTTAATCGATTATTTATTTATAGGGATTTCAACTGACCCATTCGCTTGGTGGCGGCACGGGATCAGGCATGGGCACCTTATTAATCTCAAAGATACGTGAGGAATATCCTGATAGAATTATGAGTTCATTTTCAGTTGTACCATCGCCGAAGGTATTTTTATTCGTTTTGTTTCTATTAAGTTTTTATTCATATTCAGAAAAAAAATTTTCGCCATATAACTTAGATCTCTTTTCCCCATGTAAATTTCTGTAATATATTTTATTTATATTAATTATATTTTTTACAGTTTAATTATTTTTTAATAGTTTTTTTTATATTTTTTATTTTAACAATTGGTTTTATCAATCACTTTTTCGCATAAAAGCTTTAGGTATCTGATGTTGTGCTGGAGCCTTATAACGCTACATTGTCGGTGCACCAGCTTGTTGAGAATACAGATGAAACATTCTGTATTGACAATGAAGCATTATATGATATATGTTTCCGCACGCTAAAGTTAACTAATCCAACATATGGTGATCTCAATCATTTGGGTTCGTGCTTTTACTTCTTTTATTTTGATTTTTTATTGTTTATATTCTGTTATTAGAGACTAATTCGTTTGTGTATTCAGTTAATATTTAAAAATAATTTTATTAAATGATAATTTTTAGTATCGGTGACTATGTCAGGTGTTACAACATGCCTCCGTTTCCCTGGTCAGCTCAATGCGGATTTGCGAAAATTAGCAGTTAACATGGTTCCATTCCCACGTTTGCACTTCTTTATGCCTGGTTTTGCTCCACTGTCCGCTCGAGGAGCAGCGGCTTATCGCGCTCTTAATGTGGCAGAGCTCACGCAGCAGGTGATTTTTTGTCTAAAACTTAGAAGGGATTAGTGGATTAATTTTGTTTTTTTTCGCTGGATTTTTTGAATGAAAATAGTTTTGGGTTACATGTGAAGTCAGTAAATGTTTTAGATGTTTGATGCCAAAAATATGATGGCTGCTTGCGATCCTCGTCATGGAAGATATTTAACAGTCGCTGCCATGTTTCGTGGTCGTATGTCAATGCGAGTAAGATAACTTTTTTTTACAGTTAAAGTGATTCGTTTATGGATAGAAATTCTGTCATCTGTTTGAAGATTGTATTTGATATTGTTTTTTCTTGTTTTCTTGTGTGTTATAATTTGTTTTTTTTGTAGGAAGTGGATGATCAAATGATGCAAGTGCAAAACAAGAATTCATCTTATTTTGTTGAATGGATTCCGAATAATGTAAAAACTGCCGTTTGCGATATCCCGCCACGTGGTTTGAAGATGAGCGCAACGTTTATTGGTAATACAACTGCGATTCAAGAACTTTTCAAGCGGATTTCGGAACAGTTTAGCGCTATGTTCCGCCGTAAAGCTTTCCTCCATTGGTATACCGGTGAAGGAATGGATGAAATGGAGTTTACGGAAGCTGAGAGTAATATGAATGATCTCGTTTCGGAATATCAGCAGTATCAAGATGCCACCGCTGACGATGAAGGTGAACTTGATCATGAAGGGGAATCCGAATATGTTGAACAAGAATAAATGCTTGAATTTTTATTTAATCTTTTTTGTTCGACTTCAATTTTATCATCAGTTGTCGGCTTTTGTTTTTGCTTGTTGCTAAAAGAAAAATTTTTTTCTCGTTGTTTAATTTATTGCAACAAATAAAGCAGTACTCTCATACGGAATGTTCATGCACTATACGGAATTAAAGATTGATTGGTTGGCCATGGTTGGGAATGCATTTTTCCTAAATGGAATCGTTGGGAAACCATTTGGTTGGGGGACGTGTCTGCTTGGTTCTGGTGATTGGACAGTCGTGGAGCGTGTTTGGTGTCGAGAAGTCCACTGTTGAACGCTACCGTGGGGCGGTTTTTACATACCAGAGTAGCGAATGGAATATTGAAGGATTGCATCCACTTCTGGTTTAAAACTATCTTTAAAGGGCACTGCGGCGAAGTTTTTGCAAGGGTTTGTCTACTTGTTGGAGTTTAAGTTGAATGGTATCAAGTGCGGTTAGGGCTTGGGGTTTTATGATCAAGAGGGGTATGTATAGAAGTGTAGGGTTTTTATTTTTTATTATCTTATATATTGCATTTGGTAACTATAGTTTCAGATGTGCGGCATCTATCGAGCACCACAGGAACGCTGTCAATACGGTTAGCATATCAGTTCCGAATAATGGTGCAAACTATTAGAAGATGAATTAGAAATGCTAGTTTGGTTATTTGAGTCTTTTAATCTATAAAATTGCGATTGGCAAGTTTAAACGAGTCATTAGGAATTGCTATAAAAAAGTATGATGAAGCTAAATCAAGATTTAGAAAAATATGACGGCAATCATTAGGACAGAATGGTCCAATGATTTCGAAACGGTAATGTTGGGATTCTATTTCAGACGGGAATAAAGACTATCTTTGGAAAATCTGGATGAAGAGCCATCGATTCACTCACATATACACTATAACTATTCAAGAAATGAACTATAACCTTTAATAAATGGTACTAGAAAATATAATTGTAAAAACTATTTACTGATGTTCCACGTAGGCGCATATAAATATCCACCGATAATTTGTTCCATTAATATAATATAGTACAAATAAAAAAATTATAACCGAGTCCTAAAAATGACTGGAATTCATTAATTTTCAGTCCATTAGATTCGGTAAGTTTAAATTCGAAGCGAAGTCATAAATTTTATTTTATGACAAACCAATATTTATGCATGACCATGAAAAGATTTTGCATCTAAAAATTAGATAGAACCTATTTATTTTCCACTAGCAAATAATCGAATTTATAGGTTTTGGCTTTGGCTTTGGCTTTTGAATGATAATTAATAGAGTGGTTCGAAATTTGATTTAATCCGTTTGAAAAAAATATCTGCAAATTTTCTTAACGATTTATTGGTTCAATTTAGAAATAAACCGAACAATTTGTCTTTTTTTAAATGCCTAATTTAGCAATTTTAAAAAAGCGTTATGAAAGTCAAAATTTAGGTTTTGATTTATAAATCCCGAAAAATCAAGCCAAATTGCCTGATCCGAGAAGTATTATCAATTTGTGCCAGAAGAACACGCAGAAGTAAACTGAATGCGATGGGATAGTTGGGATTTTTTGAATTCGTATGATAAACTTATTTTGAAATTTGAAATACTTGGATATTTTTTTTTGAGTGATTTTATAATTTGGCCAAGTTGCCTAATCTAAATAATCCGAATAATAAATTTCACACAGTTCTCAGCATAAAGATAAATGAATTGAATTTTGGTACGTCATTGATTTCGATTCCCCGCAGGAGTAGTAAACTTGTACAAAAATCCGGGTGATGCTGGCGACTCACCAATATTTTTATCGCCAAGAGACTCTCTGGCATAATGCTCAATGCGACAAGCCAGTGGAGCGAGGTTAACCAGCAGTGGTGAGGGCTCTTGAAAAAGAGCAATTTACCTCAATTCGAACAACAGCATTATTTTATTTTATTATTGATATAATTTCAAAAAATTCTTGTTTCGCTGTTTGCTTGGCATTGGCCCAGGTGCATTTTGCAATTTCTCCTATGCATAAATTCAATCCTGGGCTTGGCTTTTATTTTCGACTATCGTACACATCTGTCCTGGCAACCATTCGTAATATTTTTCTTGCCGATTTCCCTATTTATATTGTACTTATAATTCATTTAAAACAGTTATGAAATGAACCAATAAAGAAAGAAATTTTTAATTTTTTATAAAATTTTCAAGATTTTTAAAAAAAAAAATTTTCGATAAAGGTCGTCAAAAAAAAAATTTATTTTAAATTTTATTTATGCAAATATTTTAGATTTCTTTTTACATTTTTCGCTTTTTCTTATCACTTTTTTCTTATCACCTTTTTCTTATCTTATCTTTATCCTGGAATTTTCTCGTTACTTAAATAAAATAGGTATTAAGGTCGATTAGAAAGATTTTAGCGAAGATTTCAACAAAAAATGAATAATCCGGTTTTGTAGGACGGCTGATTGAAAAAAAAAAACATTTCGTAATTTTTTTACATTTCTATCTCTTCACTTTTATATGTCCTTATTTCTCCTTTTTTTTCGACGTTCCACTAAAAATATTACAATTAAAATAAAATAACAATGAGAGAATGATAATTTTCTAGAAAGTGGAATAATGGAGTAAACTTAAGGTTTGTGCGAATAAGCATAAGTAAGTGATTAGCCATTTCTGATTTCTACCTTTGCCAACTATTAGTGCGATTTTAAGCTTTTAAGTGATATAAGTGATAAAATAAAATGATAAGTGAAATTAGTCACTAATTATTGCAATAACTTGGCTACTGATGTAGTTTTTGTAACGTCAGTGTCTATTTCCAGTGGCAAATTAAGCATGAATAAGTCAAGGCAGATAAGCAATCCATGAGCAATCAAAAGCGAGGAGGGCCAGTCAAGACCTGGATTGATACAGACAGGAAAGATTTTGAGCATATAGGGAGACTAGCGATATATGGACTTAGGCGGTGGAAAGATGAATCTACTAGCGATGGCGTCGGACCGAGCAGCTTGGAGATATCTTATCCTTGTAGCTAAGCGGAGCCAGCCTGCCTAATCAGTAATGGTGAGAATTGTTAGAAGAAGAAGAATCCATGATATCATTTAGTATAAGCACATTATCTGTACCTTTAGTTTTTTTACTTTTTAAATAATATTGTGCTATATTAATGTTGATCTTCTTGGCCTTCTTCTAAAATGTGATAAGATTAACAATATAAGATAAGATAATAAATTATGATAAAAATTAATAGTATCAATAATAAAAAAATTATAATTGTACACGGAAAAAAATATTACAACTTTTTGAGATATATTGACTAATGGTTGTAAAGTTGAAGGTAAAACTTCACGACTATGATTCTCATGTAATAAAAGTGAATTGCAAATGGTGCTGTTGACCCTTAAAATTTGAGTTTCTATCAATCACTGGGACCATTTAAATCAAAAATGATGCGTATTCATAGAAAAAGAATTAAGTTTAATTCATAAAATTTACGATTTATCAAAAATTAGGTTTTCTTTTTTTATTATTTTTTTCTTCTATTTTTATTTTGAAAAATTTTGACTAATTAACATTTTGATATTTTAATTTTGCGGTCAAAATGATTGATAGATCCTCAATAAACGGATTTATTGTTATAATTTTCTAAAGATAAAAAGATAACACTAACCTAATTTCAGTGGAATCTCACTTCTCATTTTTAGTTGATCAATTATTTGGATGAGATGATGATTGGTTGTCACTATCATAGCCCACTATTATGTTATCAATACGTCTTTTATGATTAGTAATTATAGTGATATTAATAAACGATTTACTCAAAAATTGACTAAAAACTTCAATTTTGTGGCCAAAATAATTAACAGATTATATTGACTTAAAAATTATTTATAGACCTTCAGTCAGTTCAGATTGATTGGTACGCTGGATTGGTATGTTTTTTCACATGTATGATATGATAAGATGTGATAAGGAATAAGCGTATAGGATTGTAATGTAATGTAATTAAATGATAATATGATATGAAAATAATTTTTAATATGATCGTAACGATGACCTAAAAATGGGTCAAAATGATGACTGTCGATAAACTGATTTTGTTTTAACATTTATATCGATATCGACCAGTATCATCTTTGACTTTAGGTTCATTTTTCATTTATAGCCATTTTCAAAGCTGTTTAAATGAATTTGGTACAGTTTATTTAAGCTAATTAAATTAGTTCGAGGCAGAATAGCGGAATAGTTATTGCTCAGATTAGTGGTTGTGACTTGAGAATCAACCTAGCGAGAATTGAGAATCAGGGGTTTTGACCCTGAACAGAAATGAAGAACCTATCAATGATAAATTTGACTGACACTAGCGACATACCTATATTTCTATATTTTTATATTTCTGTTCCCAAATGAATTTTTCTAGCAAGAATTTGCTCATCAGTTTCAAATTTAGTTTTAGCCAGAAATGATAAATGCTTAATCCGCCACTGATCAAAAAAATAAGTATAGACCGATCCTTATTCGGACAAAAACTCCTATCATTCTACCAATAGCTATTTGGCCGATCCTATCAGAAATAGCGAATTTTAATCACTTAATCATATAACTATGCAACGATAAGAACTATACAAAAACATCTGTGAAACTTCGCTTTTAGTATATATTTATTATATAATATATTTATTCTATATTTTTTATTATATATTTTTTTATATAATAAAATTTTTCAATAGAAAGAAAAAAATTTGAAAGGAAAATTTTTCTAGATTCTATATTTTTTTTTGAAAAAAAAATTTTTCTCATTAATTGAAAGCATTTTCAGACGCGTTTAAAATGTATAAATATTCCATACAATCCTAATCCAACCAATAATTTTAGAATTCTTGTCATTTATCATTTTCTAAATTTGGCTTGTAGGCGATGAATATTTTTCTTCCACTGATCGATTTTCTAAGCCTAATTAATTTTATTATACATTTTATTAGTAATAATATTGTGGTCGACTTTCTTCTTTTTTCTACTAAAATCTCGAATTTAATATCCGATCCATTCCATTTATTTTATTTTCCGTATAAAATTATAAGAATGGCTGAGTTCAAAACAACGAATTTCCACCATCGACGATGAATTTTTATGATTTCGAAATTTTTCATTTCTTTTGCTTGTTTTTGCCAGTTACGATTAAATCGAATTTTTAAATTTTTCATTTACGAATTACGAAAAACCAATTCATTAATTAATTTTTCAAATATTTTCCCAAAAATTTTATCGATTTTTTTGCTTCCATAATAATATTTATATTTTTTCCTAATTTGCAAAATAAATATGGGCTAACATTTGTCAAATTGTATATTTTATTTCGACTCAAATCAGACATTATGGGGTTTTATTTTTGTGCCCTGAGGGAAGAAATAAAACGCATCCGCCACTAACTGCTAAAGTGAAAGGGTATTAAAATCGAAATAACTGGTATTAAAATGAAATGCGAGGCATAAATTTGCTTCCATACTCAATCATATCACATATGATTGCATCGTAAAGGAAATATCCTAACAATTCCTTGAAGGGGGACGGAGGGAGAGGGGAATTCAAATCGGAATTGATGTATTTCGGAATTGTTAGAAGAAAAAGGCGAATGTGTTAATAGGAACATTGTGAATTGGTTTTTAGAATTTTAATTTTTTTAAAACAAATCTGTGGTGCAATTGTCGAGGAAATAATTAAAGTACTATTATTTGCTGATAATTACCAATAATTTTTGTAATTCAAAACTGGATTTTAAAGTACTTTTAAATGCAATTTTTTTTATTGACTATTTCAAGCAAACTTTAGTTATTTTCATTTATAACAATATATATATATATTTCAAATTCATTCAAAAATCATTATCATTATCATTGTTATCAGTGTATGCATATCGACTCATGTTAAAACTCAACTCAACGTAAAAATTTTAAAAGAAGCTTCATTTGAAAAACAAAAATTTGTGGCAGAAAGTCTATTTTAACGAGATGAGGCATCATATTAATGAAGTGGAGATCTGCTCATAAATAAAAGTGCAAGAATAAACCTTTGATTTGTAGAATATCTATCGATCTATCTGTGAGATAGTTAGTTGGTTTTCAATCATCTAGGTTGAATGTATATATATTTTTGCGAATTTTTATATTGTGGTACTCACCTAACAGCAAGAACTCATTATTTCTAGTTAAATTTAATCTTTCCACTGATTATTGAAGTGGGATTGTTTCGTCAAAATTGAGAATCTTCAGCATTATTAACCACTTTTATGGCAGATTTATTGATATTTAATCTGGAAGAGAGCTGAGACAGCAATCAGCTCAACCATCCTCTTTTCATGTTTCTATTATTTCCAGCATTTTTTTATTTTCAATAAGTTTTGTGGTCCACTTCGATTTATTTCAAAAAAAATCTCATCCGATTGTTATCTTTAACTCTAAACTTGTTTAATAATTTCTGATTATAATGAATAAATACTTTTAATTTCTCAAATTCATATTCTTCATTTTCACTCCTCTAGAAATTCGCATCATTATTACAATATATATATATTTCAAATTCATTCAAAAATCATTATCATTATCATTGTTATCAGTGTTATCAGTGCATGCATATCGACTCATGTCGAAACCTCAATTTAAAAGTTTTAAATTGGTTTCATTCGGACCCACTGGTAATTAGGGAATTGGGGAAGTTTTCAAGCCTTTCGGTGCGAAGTTGTCTCTCAAATTAACTAAACAAATGAAATTATATAATTTTTCAGTAATTTCATTAAATTTAATAGTATTTAATTTAATTCACATATAATATTTATATAATATTTGCATAAGATTTTTTTCTTAAATTCTGATAAGCGAAAAATGTCAGATAATTATAATAATAATTTTTTAAATGAATGAAAAGCGATAAATAGATAGGTGATAAGATAAGCTTACCAATTTATCTGACGATATGATTCATAAAACAACTGCTAACTTGTTTTTAATGCATTTTAATGCATTTCAACTGAAAAAATATTAACTCAGTCGGTTGTTTTCAACTGTGTTTTATTATTTTTCAAAATTTCGAAGCGGTTGCTTTCCGAAAACGCTCTTAGAAAATATTAATTAATTTATGATAAAAATGAAATTTTCGTGTCGTTGATTAGCTTTATCAGCTAAATTATTCGATTATCTTTTAATGTTTAAATAATTTATACGATCGCTTCATTCGAGTTTGACGGAAATAAACTGATGGAAATAATTTGAAGTAAAAATGCAACTGATGCTGGAATTCCACTTATATTTCTATCCTGATGGAATTCTCTAGCAAAAGCGAAAAATCTCTTCTTAGTAGTCAAACGAGGAATGGTAAGTGCTAGAAAAAGAAGATAGGAGAATCAAATTATAAAGGAAATTTCTGAATTTTCACTTCAGAAAATATCAGTTTCAATTTTTTTCTTTTTTTATTAAAATAACCTAAATTTATTTATTTTCCATTAAATTATCGAGATTTTTTCCCCATTATCCTTCATTCCGCCTTTTTTTTATAATTCCTAACCTATTATTTCCTACAAAAGGAAATCTATCTTTTGAAAATCTTCCCAGGTGCTGCTAACTTATTTTTCCTGCCAATTTCCTGATAAACTTAGCCTAGTCCAACAAATCATTTAAAATGAGCCTAGTCCAGAAATGATGAGCGCTATTAGAAAAAGAAAAAAAATTTATTATAAAATTTTAAAAAATAGTTTTTCGATAAAATTTTTATGAAATCTTTTTTCATACTATAAATTTCATCATAAATAAGGATTGATCTATATTTTTCTATAAAAGCATTATAAAAACTGGTATGATCTATTTATTAAAATATTAAAATAAATTATTGTATAAATTGTTGTCTTCTTCATAATATTTCTTCTCTCTAAAATGTATGTCTATGGAAATATAATTTCATAAATCGTCAATTTTACCATCCATCCTATTGTTCTCTTTCTTTTCATTGAAATTTTTACTAATTTTTAATTATTTTCGATGATTGTAATCGGTTAAATATATTGTCATAGATAATTGAGGTGTTACTTAAATTTAAATTTAAATTAAAATTTATCTAATGCCAAATAGAAAAATATTTTTGCATTTTATGATGATAAATTTATGGCGAAAACGATGGTATTTTTGGCATTAAATTTGGTATTATTTTTATTTCATTTAAATGAATTTTATTTGTTAAACAATACGATAAAATTCTGGAAATTTGGTTCTAACAAATTCCAGGAAATTCCAGAATAGAACCCTAGAAATCCCACTCTTCTCTTTTGATCTCTATTTTTCATAATATTTAAAAATTCAATTAATAATATAAGAAGAATTTAATTTTTGCATAAAATAAAGATTTTTACTAAGAAAATATTGTATTAAAAAAATATTTTTAAAAGGTGGATTCGATATTTTACGGAAAATAAGTTTTAACAATTTTCGAATTTTCGTTTAAATTGGTTTTTTTTACTTATTTTTTCGAATTATCATTATCTTTTATCTTTATCGCCAAAAATATTTCTAGCAATTAGTTTCCACTATTTTCTCAGTTTTTTTTTAGAATCAATCGAATCAAATAGATGATAATGAAAAAGCTTATCTGGTAAGTTTGTTAATATATTACTTAAGTTTATTATTATATTAAGTTTATTATTATATAAGTATCAATTTTATTAAAGCAAATAGTCGGAAATAATTAATAAGAATTAATAATTAATAATAAGAAATATTTATAAAATATTTCTTAAATATTTCTTAAGAAATATAAAATATTTTACGAATATTTAACTAAACTGGAAAAAGAAAAATTTTTAATATTATAAATTTTTAATTTCAAATATTTGTAATATTTTTCTAATATTGCGTAATTACAACAATTTTGAATATTTATTATAATAATTTATAAAAAAAATTGGAAATTTCAAATTATTACAATTAAATATTTTAATGAAAATATTAATAAATAATAAGTAATGAAATATTTAATGTATTTATATAATAAATAATAATAAATATTAAAATATTTTATAGCATTTTAATATCTGTCATATCAATTCATGGTATACAATCGATTCCACTTGAACAACATTTTAGCAGCATTAGCATTGCAACTGTTGGAAGTCCAGCTTGTGTTGTCGCTGTTCGTTTTTCTATCGTTTTCGATATTTTGATAAATAAGATTTTTGATAAATTCCATTCGTAACTGATTATTACGGTGATTGCGTTAAACTCATCCATTCATCCATTCATCCATCCATCCATCCATCCATCCAATCATTCAACCATCCATCAATTAAATATTAAGCAGCGATGACTCAGCGATAATTTTCCTATAAACTATTTTTTCAAAAAAAAAATTATCTTTTCCTGAGAGCAGTGATTATTTTGTGATGCTTCACTGGCTTGTCGGATCAGAAAAATTTTGCCAAGGAATCACTTGAATTGATAATAGAAATAATAATGAACTGTCGAGCCGGATTTTTAAAAGATAGGTTTATTTCTTCCGGGAGAGTAGAATTACAGTATTACTGCTAGGAAATTAAACAAATCGTTGTGCCATTCTATCTCTAACTGATCAATGAAAAAATTATCAAAAGCTTGACTGAATTTATCAATAGAAATCAATAGAAATCAAAAGTTTGCCTGAATTTATCAATAGAAATAAATAAATTATCAAAAAATTTAGGCAAATAAATTGTACGTTAATGGAATCTATCATAAAGATTTGAATGGAGATGAACAAAAAGAACTTGAGACTTACAAGGAAGAATTGAAAAAACATAAAGAAGTAATCGTTGCATTTCCAATTTTTTCTTAAAATATTAAAAAAATAAATAATAAAATATAAATCAAAATAAATAATAATAATGATAATAATGATGATAAATAATAATAATGATAATGATAACAATAACGACGACCAGTGGCAATGACTTAGCAATGGTAATAATAAATAATAATATTGTAATAATAATAATAATAATAAAAGTTCTAATAAAATTATAGACAACAAAACAACTAATTCAACAAGCGCATAAAGAAAAAATATCAAAGGCATCATTGGTAGCGAGTCATAAAAATCTTCTCGATGGTCCAGCAAGACCATCATTTTGCAGTCTTAACGATACTTTACCAGTATTCCTCGATGGATGCATGATTCAGGTTCATTATTTAGAATTTTTTATTCGAAAAAAGCGAAAAATACTTACTCATTTACGAATTTTATAGAACAATAAAATATATGTTGGTCGAGATTATGTTCGAGATCTTACGCCTGAAGAAACTCAAGAATTGAAGGATTATATTATGAAGAAACGAGAATTTCAAAAATATTTAGCCGCAACTATTAATCAAGTAAACTATATCTTATTATTTATTTAAATTATTTTTATTAAAAATTATTAAAAATAATAGTTAAATAATAACAGAAATGATAATAAAAAATAATAAATCTTTTTAAAAATAAATTATTATCAAATAAAATATGATAAAAAATAATTCATAACCGTATTTATAATATATTTATAATAAATAAATATTTTTGAAAGAAATAATATTTATTATAATATTAATAATATAAATAATATTTAAATTAATTAATTATAAAATTATTATGAATAATTTTACAATTTTTTTATACTAAAAATAATTGTAAGGATCGAAATTTTATAATTCCAATGAGAATGATAAAAATTTAATATATAAATTTTATCCATCAAAATTTTAATAACCCATTGGCATTCTTTATCACCAAAAAATGAAGGATTCACTTTGATAATAGCAATGAAAAAAGGTGATAATTCTGATTCACCAAAAGGTGCCAACGATCGATCATAAACCGATAATCGATCGATCTGCTTCTTCTTTTCTTTTCTCTTCCTTTTTTTCCTCCCACCATTCTCCTCCATCCCAGTACCATTCTCTATCCAATGATTGCCTCCACTATTGCGAGGGTTTTTGTGTAGGACTTTCCAGTAGCATTGCCATTTCACTCGCTAACAAGTGGGATTTTTTTTTGTGAGAACGAAGTAATAACCAAAAAAATTTTCTTCGAATAGATAGAAAATAAGAAATTTTTAATTTAATTTAAATTTTAATTTTTTCAAAAATTATTTTCTTTTTTTTTTATTTAAGGTGAATGGTAATAATAATTTAATGTCTTTCTCTTTCAGCTAGTACAACCGTTGTTTAGCCGAACCGCATTTGACTTCTTTAACCTATTCAGCGATTCAAGAATACATAAAACAACAACTGAAACAACAACTACAACAGAAACAGCAATAAAACAAGTCGAAGAACCAGTTGCACCAGATTTTTGCACCGCAATTTATTAAAATAAAAACAATTTATGTTTAAATCGCTTTTTTTAGTAAAAAATTTTATTAAACAAAACTTATCAATTATTTTTGCCATAATTATCATTATCATTTATCAATCATCTTGGGTTTCTACAAATTATCAGAATTTATTCAATTTTAAGAGTTAAAAGCAATTTTGGAATTAAATGGATGAAAATCGAAATTTTCTAAAGGTTTTTTTCAGTTTTGATAACAAATGATTTATTAATCGTTATTAATTAATCGTTTATAAAATATTTTTATTAAAATAAAGCTATTGTAATAAAATTTAATGCTGCATATGTTCAACTGTTCAAGTGTTTTGCAAGTTTTGAACTTCGAATTCATAGATTAAATTCGTCTAATCAATCTATTTTCTGGGGAACATAAATTAAACGAGATGATTAGAGATGCCTGAGGCAGCCTTCTCTTCTCTTTTGACCATAGAATGGGCCAATTTGTTCTTTTTTTTTCTTATTTTTTGTTTTCCTCGTTCGCATATGAGCTTAATTCTAGTGTACTTGTTGAACAAAGCAAAGTTCTAAGATTTAAAGTAAAGATGCTGAAACAGAAATAAACCTAAGGTTAAATGCCCATTATAATTACACTGGCATGACTCGAATAACAGCATATTATCAATTTATCAATCTTATCAATCAATAACAATATAGCCTGTTTTTTATAACAATAAATCACCATGTGAGTTGAAGCTTAGTCCTCACATTGCCTAGAAAATTTTATGATAAAAATTTTCTTTATAAGTAAATCTTTGGATGGTACCAAAAGAAAGGAAGTCTACGGTCAGAAAAGATTTTGAAGGCGGTGCATCGGTAAAGGACAAGGACGGCATAGTCGATATGATTGATAAATCTTCTTTTTTCCACATATCCTCCTAGATGGTACCATGAAAATTCATGGAACCACAATGCGAAATTTCCAAATTTTAAAATATTTGAAAATATTTATTTACTTAATTTTTCCATTTGAGAATGAACATAATAACATTAAAAATGATTTGTGACCCTTCAAAAATATATATATATAATTCGTATCATGTAGCCTATGGATCCTCTGAAAGTAACCACATATCTCATGGAATCCGCAGAGGCCAATTTGACGACCACTGTGGTACCGCACTGGAACCCACACCCGCATCGAGAACCTTAGAAGCATCTTCAACCCTCCACCCCACATTGTCCAATCTATAAACTACGCTCCGGAACTGAAGAGATTGCATGAAATTTCCGATGACTGCGAAATTTTAACTGTGAATTTATTAGATGACCGACTTTTAGTAGTGATAAAAAAATCATTTTTATTTTTTGAAAAATGCTTTGTGATTTATATTTTTGAGAAAAAAGGTTCCATTTTTCCCCATTAATTCTTCCTTTTTTTTGTTTGGTTCCATTATCGCTGATAATGAGGATAATTCAAAATTGGACCAATTCAAAAAGTTATTTGGTCTATTAATGATAAAATTTATCATTTATCATTTAACATTATTTTGAAGAAAAATATACAATTGTTATTAAAATTTTGTTAATTGACCAGCATATTGGTACTTGGTTGAGTGGCGCAGTGGAGAAGAGATTTTGTTTTGAGCAAAATGAAGAGAGGTTCAATTTCTCATCGAAGTTAACAAAACTTAAACTTATATTAATGAAATATTCTCGTAGACGAATTTTTAGTTCGAGTTTCTCTTGCTAAAGTTTTACGAATATAGAAAAATTGAAAAAAAAAGCGAGGAACTACGCCTTCTCAATGGTGTTGTAGATGCCTCAAACTTCCTTTTTCTTCTTCTAACAGCTCTCACCATTATTGAATAAGACTGACTTCGCTGGCTACAAAGCTAAAACGTTTCCAGGCAGCTCGATTCGACACCATCGCTAGTACCAATAGAAACCATTCTTTTTTGCAGATAAACTGTAAGCCAAATAACTGAAAAATACTCCATATTTTTTCTTATAAAATCTTACAAGTTTCCAAAAAACATCTATTTTATTATTGTTTATTAATTTACCATTTTTAAAAAAACTAATTTCCTTTTTATATTTATATTTTTCATGTTTTTTAAATATTATAGAGAAAAATAGAGATCAAAAGAGAAGAGTGGAATTTCTAGGGTTCTATTCCTGGAATTTGTTGGTACCAAGTTTCCAGCTTAGGAATAAAATCTTTGAGCGCTTCCTATCACTTTATTCCTCACTTTCCATATTTTTTTATACTATTTATTTATTTTAAAAATATTAAAAATTAAGTGTAGTTGTTTTTTTAAGTTTTAAATAAATTTTATTTAATTCATTTTATTTTATAGAACATTTTGCAGCTTATGAGGAAGTTCCACAGGATTCTTCCTATTCTTTTCGATTTTCTGTGGAATTTTCCATTTGGTCTTGGATGATTCAGTCCATTTACAGATATATTCGTGCATATATATAATGAGCTACTACTTGATTATGCTATTCATTATATATTTTCTCTGAGACCTGTCTGCTCAGCGTGCACTCTGAGTCCTGCATGGTGGAACTTCCCATCATGAGGTCATTACTATTCTTACTCCTCTATTTGCTGTTTTAGACCAACTTTTTCCAACCATTGACTGAAATTTCTCAATATCAGCCATCTTAGTTGTCTGTCGATAGTATGGAAAGTCTTGCTTTTTCATGGTACTTTCCCTGCTCGGTCTTTTTCCATTGTCTCTAAATGTTAGACATTCTCTCTGGAGCTTATGCTTTGATGTATTCTTGAGTTCTTCAGGTTTTTCTAAGCTAATAGTCATCAAGCCCCGTCCGCTTCTTTCCAGCTGATGAACCACCTTTGGGTGTTAGGCTTGGAAATTTTTGTGTAGAGGTTCCACGTCCTCACATCTTACATCTTTCTTCTTTTGGCCGTTTTACCATGCCATATCTGCTTATCTGATTACTGGCAGAGTATATATGCTTGTGGCATGAATCTTGCTTTTTTACTGTTTGATTTGGCTGTTCAGGATCTTCTTCTTATTCTTCTTTAATGATGTTTGCTTGCCTTCTCAGCGCCATTCAAATGTTACTATGGAACTTGTAGCTAATTTGCATGTTCGCTTAGTTCCACCTTATCAATCTTATTCACTTTTACTTCCTTTAGATATCCTAATATCAAGTCATGTACAGTTTGATGTCATCCATGTACAGGGAATGGCTAATGGTAATTCCACTCTTGAACTTATAACTATGTTCATTTTTTGTGATTATCTGGTTGACAGGATTTGGAACTCTGCAAAACAATAGCTGCGATGCGTCATTTTACCGCATACACCGCATTGATAGCCACTTTTGTACCTCTCTAATTTCTAGTGTTTTTTCCATAGTTCCAGTGAATTCTTGAAGAAGATCCTTAGAATATTATTGATTTTGCTTAACGCAAGGCATTCACAGACTTTTGTTAGTCACCTTGATCAATCCAAGTTATGTTTAAACATTGAGCAACTGGTTTATCTGTTAGTAGCTGATGTTTTATATAGTTCTAATACGCTTTTTATGATCTTTCTGGGTGGTTATGATGCCTGGTAGGTATTTTTCATGTTATAGAAGGGCTGATACTGGTTGGCGCTTTTCTTATAAGAGTCATCTATGATAATCACTAGGCGTCATTTGTTTCTTTAGTCGTTCTATGTGGGTTACGTCCAGATAATTTTGTCTTATGTCGAATATCTGTGATGGTATTTTTGCTCGGCGAGATCGCTTTGGCTCATATAGTATTTAATCCTTGATGTTCTCCCAGTATTGTTCAGTTTCTGCTCTGTTCTGTTGATAGCTCTGCTATTTTTACAGTTAGGCGGTTCTTTGGAAAAAAGGACATTTATTTTTTTGGCCTTGGCTCCTCTATTATATCTTCTTAGCCAGGTGGCTAATATTAATGAGCCTGTGTTTAGCAATCTCTAAGGCTTTTAAGCGTTCTTCTTAAATACATACACTTGCAAAAATAATAAAGTTCTATTCAACTGTTTTCTGGTGGTACTTCTCTACTAAACTTTGGTACTCATTCTCATAACTATTCATGACTTCCTCTTATGTGTACTCTCATCTGCACTTCATATCAGGTGTTCTGCTTCTTTATGAAGCTATTGTCAAGATTATCTTATCAGGTTTGTTCCAGTAATAGGGACATTAGGAGGAAGTTACCAGCTTTTCCTATCTTCCCTATAATAACGTCTTCCATGAAGTGTTGCGCGATTATATTTATATATCTCCCCTATCATTCCAGTCAGGTTTGTTCCAGTAGTCCATTTAGCGTCACGCAATTTTGATTTGGCATAATTCTAATTTATGATATTTGGTGTAGGACAAATTATCTTTCCTGGTTTCATTAACCGAGAATTCCCACTGACGAAATAGTTGTAAGCTGCGATTCGAATTTCTTTTTCTTGTATTCTTCTTCATCTAATAGCTCGCATCGGTTACGGGTTAAACTGGCTTCGCTGGCTACAAGAGTAAGATTTCTCTAAGCTGTTCGATCCATCACTGTCGCTTCTATTAATAGAATCTATTTCTTTTTCCATCGGCCCTTCTATGTGTTGAAAATCTTTCCTGATTATGTCATTCCAGGTCTTGATTGGTCCTTGCTTCTGAGTTTATCCATCATAGGGTTTAGCAAGTAACGAAATATGCGTCATTTTTTATAATGGACCGCGTAGAACCAGTGAAGACGGGGCTCTGTGATGATAACATTAATGCAGATGATATTTGAGCGATGATGGTTGCAATTATGTGTGGTTTTATCCACTCGTCGAACCCATAAATTATATCTTAGACATGAGTAATCAAAGGCAGATAGATTTTTAATATCATCCCATCTCATTGACCAAGTCTCGCAGCCACCTTAGGCCACATAACAAGATTGAACGAATCGCGACTATATATAGACGTGGAGATTTTCATTTTTATGGTGATTTCGCGATGAGTACATGAAGATTTTGTCAGCCGGAAGAACACACTTCTAGTTATCCGAGTTGTAATTTCGTCTTTTGTTTGGCTATTTAGGATTAGAGTGGATGCAAAGTATTTAAAGTTCTTATTCTAAAATTCAGGTTCTTCAACCGGCAATAAATTGATAAAAATAGGTATGTTATCAGCTTCTTGTTCTTGAATTTCATATATAATATGTATATATAATTCGATATTTTTTTAAATTTTTTATTTCGATAATTTTGTTTACTCTGTGGTAATAGTTTCTGTGATAACTGATAACGTTATTAAATATTTCGTTGTTTAATGATTTTTTATCATCATTTCGAAAATTTTTCAGATTTTCTTTTTCCGTATTACAGATATGCTGCAACCGAAAATTTTCTTCAATTCTCATAAATTATTTTTTCGACAATCGCCGCATTTTCTTCATCAGTCATCATTAAATAATGTCATTTCAGTTTACAAATTTTTGGAATATTTTTAATAAAATAAATACGTATTTATCATTAAAATATTAAAATTAACAATATTAATTGGTAACTGATTAAAAAAATTTCTTAAGGAAGTGGTTATATTGGGTGCTGCAAGAACACCAATCGGTTCGTTCCATTCGCAGTTATCTTCTATTCCTGCAATTCAGTTAGGTTCAATTGCAATTTCTGCTGTTCTTCAACGTACCGGTATAAATTCGAGCAATGTTCAAGAGGTTTTCATTAGCTTTTATTTATTTATCACTATTTTATCAATATTTATTTATCAGTGATTTATTTATAATTTGTTTTTATTTGTAATTTGTAATTTTGCAGTTTTTTGTTTCGTATTTTTATTTAATAATCTTCCTCTCCCTCTGATAATAATTCATAATTTTTTTCTATTTCTTATGGAAAAATTGTTTTTAATTTTTTTATTTTTCATTTTTTTAATAATTTGATAAATTTGGTTTTTTTTTATATATTCATACCTTTTGTGCAAAATTTTTTGTGTCAAATGTTTTTTCTGCTATTATTAAAATTTTTTCCTCAAAGTAGGAGATTTTAGATTTAATATTTTTTCGCACTATAAAAGTTAAATTATTTAAATTTTAGAAAAATTAAATTTTTATATTTTTTTTTGAAAAATATTAAATCTAAAATTTTAGGTTTTCATGGGACAAGTATGTCAGGCAGGAGTTGGTCAGGCACCAGCACGACAAGCAGCGCTTCGAGCTGGTTCATTTTCGATTTTGACTTAAATTGATTTAAGAAAGAAAAAAAGTAAGTAGAGGGATTTTTTGCAGGTCTAAAAGAATCTACGGTTGTCACAACTGTTAATAAAGTATGTGCATCAGGCCTTAAAGCAATAATGCTTGCAGCTCAAACAATTCAAGCCGGACATCAACAGGTCTTATTTTGTGGAGAGCACTTTTTTTTAGAACTATGTTTTCATTTCACTAATTATTATTGATATAGATTGTCCTTGGCGGTGGAATGGAAAGTATGAGTCAGGTTCCATTTTATATGCCACGCGGTGAAACCATTTATGGTGGATTCAATATTCAGGTTGGTTGAATTTTTTTTTAAAGTATTTTGAAGGTTTATGCGTTTGGTTTTTGTTGCTATAAATTATTTTAAATATTTTATAAATATTTAAATATATTATAAATAAAAGTTAAATTATTTAAATTTTAGAAAAATTAAATTTTTATATTTTTTTTTGAAAAATATTAAATCTAAAATTTTAGGTTTTCATGGAACAAGTATGTCAGGCAGGCTTTAATATTTAAATATATTATAAATATTTAATATTTAAATATATTATAAATATTAAATATTTATAAATATTTAATATTTTATTAATCTGGCATATTTTCTTTTTTTTAGATAAAATTATTTAATTCCTTTTCCTCTTTCAGGATGGTATTGTAAAGGATGGTCTCACAGATTCTTATGATAATATTCATATGGGTGTTTGTGCTGAAAAGACCTCTACAGATTTTGCGATATCCCGCGAAGAACAAGATAATTATGCAATAGAAAGCTATAAACGATCGGCAGCAGCATGGGCCGTAAGTTTTTTTTTCAGATTTATGAGTTGTACTTGTAAAATTTAATGTAAATTTCATTTGGTTCTATTCATTTCCAGTTTTATATTTAGCCTTATCAAATGCACTTAGAATTTACTTTTTTTTTTAATTAAAATTAATTAATTATATAATGTCAAATGAAAATTGCTTGTTTGTATTACTTTAATAGTATCGACAAATTATATCATTTTAGAATGGTGAAATTGGTGCTGAAATAGTTCACGTGGAAGTAAAAACGCGTAAAGGCATTAATCTCGTCAAAATTGATGAAGAATTTACGAAAGTCGATTTTGAAAAATTATCAACTCTTCGTACTGTATTTAAAAAAGGTCTATTTTAAATAATTAAAATATAAAAATATTATATTTTTATATATTTCATAGTTATGGTTTTATAATTATATATTTTTATATTATTTTTGAGATTATAATTTTTGAAAACAATTCATTATCACTTTTATACGTTCAATTTTCATCTTTAACTGGTTTAATTTACATTTTCGTTGGTAAATTGATAATTGGAAGTAGGACGGCTCAGTCTGTTGTTGTTCTCATTTTGAAATGTCGATGTCCCAACACGAGTAAACCTATTTTTCGAAAGTCGAAACGGTGCTGGTGACCTATTTGCACTTTTTTCACCAAGTGACTTCCTTGCAAAATATAAGCCAGCGAAGGGAGTCTAAGTAGAAATGGCGAGACATTGTTCTATTTTGAAAAAAAAGAAAAATTCTTTATATTACAAAAAAATGTAAAAATGTGAAAAAATCTTTTTATTTTTAAAATTTTTTTTCAGAAAATGGAACAATTACAGCCGGGAATGCTTCTACTTTAAACGATGGTGCAGCTGCAGTATTATTATCGTCTATAGAAAGTGCAAAATCTTTGGGAATTAAACCTGTTGCTCGAATTTTATCGTTCGCCGATGCCGCTACTAAACCAATTGATTTTTCTATTGCACCAGGTTTAGTCATTCCTAAGGTAAATAGCATTTCATTTTATATATTATTTTTTGATGTTAAATCAATTAGGGAAAATTTGAATTATAAGTTCTCTCTGGAAATTGCTTTTCTTTTTATAGATTTTGGATATGGCTGGCTTAAAGCAATCCGATATTGATATATTTGAAATAAATGAAGCATTTTCTGCTGTTGTGCTAGCCAATATCAAAATGCTTGGTCTAGATTCATCTAAAGTCAATCCGCATGGAGGTGCTGTGTCATTGGGGCATCCAATTGGGTATATTTCTTTTATTTATTTTTAAGCCATTTTTTATTTTATTATAATTCTCTGCTATATTTATACTTTTAATAGCTAAATAAAAAAGAGCAATATTAATATTTTTCTAAAAATTTTTAATTATTTATAAAATTTTAGAATGTCTGGTGCTCGTTTAATTACCCATCTCGTATATGCATTGAAAAGTGGTCAGAAAGGCTTAGCAGCGATTTGTAATGGAGGTGGTGGTGCAAGTGGTATGATCATCGAAAAATTATAAATAAATTTCTAAATGAAATTTTTTTAAAATTGAGATAACGATCAATCTTAAAGGCTTATCTTAAAGGCTTTTTTTTTCGTTAGTATGCACTTTCTTATCATATGATGATTAGATTTTATCACAATCATTGTAATTCCATGCATTTTGCTTATTGTTTCTCTTAACTATTTTTATTTTTTTATATATTTTTCTATTTTTTTATATATTTTATCTGTCGCTCTCAGCGTTATTTCTACCTCTGATTCTTATATCTCAAAGTACCATTTATTACCTTCAATGAAATAATTTTGCCTGATTTGCCTGAAAGTGTTGTGCCTAGAAATTGTGTGCTTTAATCATTTACCTCAATTAAATATTAACCATTTCTACCTCAAAATTTTGTTCGTTTTCATCTCTTATGTTTTAATTAATTTCTGAATTTTGCTTTTTTTTATTTTTTTCTACCTCAAAATGATATTTCACCTAAAAAATTTCCACTCAAAAGTTTTGTTTGGCTTATTTTTTTAAATATTATAATATGATATTTCTTATTTCTAAATTTTTTGCCTTTAAATTATATTTTTTGCCTTCAATATATAATATTTTTTCCACTATTTTCCATTATAAAAAAATTATTTGTTATAAAATTTGTTATTTATAATTTGTATTTTTTGTTTTTATTTTTTTATACTTCATTTATTAGTTTAAATTAATATTAAAGTTTATATAATTATTAAAGTTATTAAAGTTAAATTATTAAAGTTTAAATTATATAAATAGTTAGTGATAAATTTATCTTATCATGGATTTAATTGTGGTTTATATTTATATTTTTTTCTTTTCATATTTTTTTTAAAATAATGAATTTGTTTTCATGAAATTAAATTATTGGATGGTACCTTCTTATTATTTATCTAATACTATTTACTGTGTAATATTTTTCCAGCCCATTAAGGTTCTTTTTTTAATATTTAATATTTTAATGCCTTTAATGAACAAAAGAATAAATATATGGAAAAATAAGCATTGGGCATATCATCTTTGCTTTAGATTTTTAAGTCGTCCTAGAATATTCTTTTTGAACATATTTTTCGTTCCATCGAAAATGGAGAGTAATTTGCAGGTATTTTAATTTGTCTTTTTTTTTTAATTTTTCGAATTTATTTAGTTTTGTTTATTTTTTATTAAAATTCACTACTATTTCCCACACTGTCCTATAATAATGCATTATTTAAAATTTTTGTTCAAATTCACTGTTAAAATTTAGGCGATCATGAATAGTTTTTCCATGATCATCCAGTATTTTCCAAGTTTTTGTCTGTCTTATGAATTTATCATATGATTTAGTGGGTTATTGTCATTCTCGAATGAAATGCTTAGATAAATTTTAAACCGCATTTGAAGCTTAGTCTAGCTTTATTTTTTTTCCCATATCTTCGCTTTTTTTTATCAGTGCGACAGTGCATATTTTAAAATATCGTCGTAGAATAATTTCAGTTTTATTATCTTTTATAAATTTTGTTAATTCATTTATTAATCATAAAAAAATTATTCTATTTTTTTAACACTTCTAATTTATAATAATAATAATAGTAATAATAATAAACATTATCAAATTATCATTATCAAGTCTGTATTATCAAATTTTACGTTATCATGTTTAGGAAGTCTATATAGTGGAAGGATTGAGAACTCCGATTGCTAATTTTTGTTCATCTTTTAAAACGTTGTCACCGATTAACTTAGTCGTACCGGTTTTGAATGCTGCTTTTGAAAGAACAAGTATGTCGTTTCATCTTTTATTATTATTTTGCCATTTCCAGGGTGATGGCTGCTTTTTGGCTCTTCCTAAGAGTCAATCAACTAAACTACAATATTGTCACTAGAAAATAAAAAGTTCACAGAATCAAATATTGTCTGATAAGGAAATTCACAATTTTGGAGTGTCGCTGCTGTACTTCTATAAAATAATTTTGTATTTTCCGATAGGAGTAAGTAAATTAGTCTTTCAAAAACCGTATAGCGCTAGCGTTCCACTTGTACTTTTACCGTCAAATGATTCATTGATAAAATTTGTCGGTTTCCACAAGTTAGAAATCTTTTTTAAAAAAAAATTGAATACAACTGTCTAAAATTAAATTTTTGAGAAATACCCCGTGAAAAAGTAGAAGAAACGATAATTGGTTGCGTTTTATCGGCCAATCATGGACAAAATATTGCTCGACAAATATCGCTATTATCCGGTTTATTGCTTTCATTTTTTCGTGAAATTTTAAGAAAACTCTTTAAGAAAAAAGAAAACTTTAAGAAAAAAAAAAGAAAAACAAGGAAAAAATTTTAAGAAAATTTTAAGAAAAAGAAATATCTTGTAAATTCTACTTTAAAATACTTTAATTTTGAAATTTCAGGTTTTTTAAATTTAATGTTAGATTTATTATATTTTTTAAGTGATCTTTATTCAATAATTTTTTTATAGGGTTTCCTAAGGAATCGCAATGTGTTACTGTTAATAAAGTTTGTTCATCGGGTATGAAAGCAATTATTATGGGTGTTCAAGCGATACAGCTTGGTTATCGTAATATCGTTGTTGCTGGTGGTACAGAATCGATGAGCACAACTCCATTTTATTTGCCTCGTGAGATTCCATTTGGCGGAACGAAGATCGCGGTATTTGAATTATTTTTTATTCGATTCTTTTGATTTCATTAATAAATTTTTAATTTATTAATATTATTTTATTTTATTATTTTTATTAATATTATTTTATTTTTATTAATAAATTTTATTAATTATTATTAATTAATTAGTAATAAAATGGTTAATAATTAATATTAATAAATTTTTTGGTTGAAATTTTTTAAATAGTTTTTTATAGTCGATTTTTCTTTAGGATGGTATTCAACGTGATGGTCTTTTCGATTCAATGGTTGATCGTCCAATGGGTTATTGCGCTGAGAAAAGTGTTAAAGATTTCGGTATATCTCGTGATGAGCAAGATTCATATGCTATTGAAAGTTATCAAAAAGCTCAAAAGGCTTGGAAGGTGACGAATTCTCTGAGATTTTTTTTTCTAATAACTAAAAATTCAAAAATTTTCCAATAAAATATTTTCCATTATTAAATAAATAATTTTAAATTGCAATCATTTATTCTATGGACAATAATCTCACCTAAAAAGAAATTTTCCAGGACGGGTTATTTAAAAATGAAATAGTTTCTATTTCCATTTCTCAAAAGGGTCATTCAGTTGACATACACGAAGATGAAGAATACAATAGGTTAAATATTACAAAGGTTTGTTTCGTTTATTAAATTGATTTTTGATTATTAATAATTTATAAATTATTAATTTAATTTTACATTCCACAATCCATTCAAAAAATTTATAGTTTATCAGTAGTAAATATCGACAGTCGTAAATATCATTGTGGAGGCCTAGTTGTTGATGGAAGTTCCATCCACCTCTTCTACTCCCCGTATTCCCAAGTGGGTCTCTGCTCTCGTGGAATTAACTAGCTATGGTTTTTCTGCCTGTCATAATGTTTTCTTTTGTGTTTTATTAATATTTAACCATGTAGATGTAATTTTCGGACCGATGAACGGGATATCAGGTGATGCTGGCGACTTCTGTACTTCTATCGCCAAGTGACTCTCTGGCAAAATTTGTCTAGTACAACAAGCCAGTGGAGCGAGCCTAACCAGCAATGGTGAGCGCTCTTAGAAAAAAATGATATAATTTTATTTTCAATCTTTTTTAAGGTTTTTTCTATTATTTGAATCTATTCATTTACACTGATTAATTTAACTTGAATTTAAAGGTTCCCTTACTAAAGCCGGTTTTTGTTGAAAATGGAACAATAACAGCAGCTAATGCTAGTAGCCTTAGTGATGGTGCTGCAATTCTTATAATGGCAAATGGCCAAGCATTAATTGATTATGTTAAACCGATTGCTCAAATTTTAAGTTATGCTGAAGCAGGAGTTGATCCAGTCGATTTTAGTATTGCACCAGCTATCGCTGTTGAAAAGGTTCTTTTAAAAATTATCAATACTCTGATTTGATAAAGAGATAAATTATTTCTTAAATAAATAATACGCTTTAAGATGCTGTCTAAGACTGGAATCGCAATAGATCAAATTTCTTTATGGGAGATCAATGAAGCATTTGCGATGACTGCACTTGTCTTCATCAAACAATTGAATTTAAATAAAGATCGTGTCAATATTCGTGGGGGAGCTGTTGCGCTCGGTCATCCTATCGGGTTTTCTCTTTTTTTTGGATTATAAGTTTTGCCATTATTTTTATTGATATTATTATATTTAATACTGTTTAATTTTGCGCTTTTTATTCATTTTGATTCGTTTTCTTTCCACCGAAATTTATTTTAGAGCCTCTGGAGCGCGTATAGTCGTTACATTAGTTCATGCTCTTAGTTCCGGCGAACTTGGCGTTGCAGCAATTTGTAATGGAGGTGGTGAAGCTTCAGCTCTTCTCATTAAAAAATTATGATTAAAATGCTTCATTTCTTTTCTCATTTTTTTTTTCTTAATTTTTATATGATTCAATTGAATTCAAGGTCTCTGTCTCTCCGTTTAGGTGAAAATTTAATTTATCAAATTGTTTAATGATGCTCCTATTATGTTTTTCATATCATATTTATCATATTGTTGCCTACTCTAATCATTTAATACTATGGACATTAGTATTGTTACTATTGAATTTTTATCATCATGTGAAAAATTTCTATGAATTATACCGGATATCATTTTTCTGTTAACATTTTGTTTCATATATTTTATTGTTAAGTTAGAATAAAACATCACAAATATCATTTTTCATTTTTTTATAGCAAATATCATCTGAAAAATCACAGTCTAAAATAAAAAAAATCTATTGCAATAATATGGTTTTTTTTTTTTTTTATGAGAACCCTCACCATTATTGGTTAGACTCACTCCGCTGACTTGTCCTACGGGACAAATATGTCAGTGTCTTGACGACGGAAGTACAGGTGAGACGCCAGCATCACCCGTATTCTTGGACAGGCTTACTCCTGCGTGCAACAGAACCTCAGCATTGGCGCAACAACCCACTGAGCCATTCTACGAACGATATATTATCGTTTTCCTATGTTATTCGTATTTTTTTCTTCCCAAAATTTTATCACAAAATATACAAAGAAAAACGTTAACAACATACAATGTTTTATGATCAATAAAAGAACTTAAAAACATAAAGATCATCAAAATTAACAGAAGACGAATGACAATAATTTACTTACAAGCGCTAGGTTGTGATAACGTAAATTCTTGAAAAATGTGGAAAGAGTCGATTAAGATACATAAAAATATCAATAATCACTTTTCTCGTCGATTTTAAAAAGAATCGTCTAAAATCGAACAAGGAAAATAGAATAGCATTATAGATGGAAAGAATTTAATCTTTCGCTACTAATCCTCATTAAAATAACCCCCTTCCAAAGAAAAAGCAACTTACAACACCTGATGCATGTCTAATAATCAAATATAAGTAAAAAAATGGCTAAAAAAATTCGAAATGCAGATAGAAATATAAACTATAAACTATGAACAAAATGTACGATAAATAAAAATTGGAAAATGCTCGAAATAAATTAAATCATTGAAGGGGAAAAACATTTCATAATTAATGATGATATTTATTTTTCGCTGATATTTCTCCCCTCAAACGAAACCATTATAAATAATTTCAATAGTTTCAATGAAACTATGATCACATAGTGATGAAAGTAAACTTTGAAAAATGTTAGATAATTTTAAAAAAAAAAGCGGAAAAAAGAATATTTGGAATGAAATATTTTTAAAAAATAATTCACTAGATTAAAGCAACGCTAATCAAATCTTTAAAGAATTTCTATTTATTTGTAAGGGCCCTTAAAGCATTATTAATTTTCACCAGTGGTCCCACCTTTAGGCCAAGCAATGTTCCAAGATTCTGTTCTGAATTTGCTAATAAAAGTAAAGAAGTTCCATCAATATCCTCATTTATAAACCGTTGCGCACAATCACTTGAGCCCGTAACTGATAAGACCCATTTTGATACATCTTCACACTGTAAAAATTTGCGAAAAATTTATTTGCGAAATATGAAAAACTTAATTTGAAGAAAGGATAAAAATGAACTAACAGTCCAGGTATGAGTGGGTCGCGTTGAGAAATGTTTAGTTGAAGTATCTGAAGAAGATGATGAGAATGTTGCATCCGGTCGATCACTTGCTAATCCATCGTTGGATTTTGAAGGCTTAACTATAGTAGCTTGTTGTGGAGAAACCATTTTCAGTGTTAATACTGGAGCAGGTCGCTGATTTGGATCAGCTGTAAAATTTTCTAAAAGTAAAATAATGCTAAAAATAACGCAAACATTAGCAAAAAAAACGATAATAAAAAATGAAAATGGTTTAAGATAATATTTTTTCAAAGCTTCCTTTTTTCCAAAGACATCATTTCTATTTTTTTTGTTTTTTCGACTAATTACAGGGATAAGATTCTATTACCGTTATTTGCTAAAAGAGGCAAATATGGATCCCAGCACCATTTTGTTGTCGTCTTTAGGCTCTCGTTGGAGGGAATTATGCTGTTTTACCCTAAGGTGAAACATCATACACCCATGGATGCGCATAATAAAAAATCCTTCAAAAAATAATATAAGACAATTTTTTTTAAAAAATAAATTTCCAACCAGTTGGTGGAGAGCCACTTGTTACACTTGAAGGCTTTGAAAATGACCGTGAAGCATCTCTTGAAGAACTAGATGCATTTGGTGTCGATGAAGATAATGGAACTTTAGAAGTGTTCGCTTTCATATCTTTAAATATGATTATTTCATAACTTATAATATAGATTAAACAGAATTTACAGATAGAAATTCAGGAAAAATAATTTTATTTTTAATTGACAATTTAAAACTAGTAAAATGAAGAGAAAAACCAAGATTTATCACAAATTAATCATATCTAGTGATATTAATAACTTACTTTGTTCTTCAAGCGGAATCCTCTTCCATAGTTTTCTACACTTTTTGGAACAATATTGTGGATGCTGCTCATTTCTTTTTAAACGCAAAAGACCATTACAATAATTACATCGTTCAGTATCGGGTTCTTCATCGGAAAAATTCGTTGCACCAATGGGATTCGATGTATCGCCACTACTTTTCGAGCAATTTAGTGAGCCTTCCGTTATTGGAGTAACTAAATTTTTCGTTTTCGAGGGAATTATTCATTTGAAATGAAATGAAATGAAATGAAAAGATATGCAAAGAATATACTTTTTAAACGATTCAAAATGAAATAAACATTCAAAAAAATGACAGAAAATTAATGAGATTTAATTTGAAAAATGTTTCAAACAAATGTGTCCAATGAATATTTATAATCAAACCCTAAAAGGTGTGTTCTAAAAAAATTCACTGGAAATAATTTTGCATTCTTCCCTTCAACGAGATTGCCATATGACAAAGGCAATTCGAGTACACCTAGAATGCATATATTTGCCCAAAATTATTTCAATCCTATGTTTTAGAGAAATGGAACTAAACTATTAACTTTTTTTATAAACTTTACAAATTTTAATTAATAATATTTTTCCGACCCGTACAGACTCTCCTGTTTATGCAATATAATCTTTTTTAATCAATTAAATCAGTAAAAATAAAAATATAGATAGGAAAAACTTTAATTATCTAAAATAACCCAGTCGTCAATAATTCTCATCAACAACACTATTTCTTCAACTTAACTTTTTAAGTTTTCTTTCGTCTTTTTTTGTCCTTCCAAAAATTCCTTCAATTTCTTTAATTTCTTACTTATTAAATCAGGAATACTTTCGTCCTTTTTATCTTCCAGCGATAAATCGACATCCACTTTAGCTTCAACAGACATCTCAACGGTTTCTTCTTTTTTTTCTTCTACTTTTTCATCTTTGGTTTCTACTAATTTATTTGAAGATGGCGTATTCAAAATATCATAAAGTCGACCTTGCGCAGGGCCGAAATCCATCTGAAGCAATCGATCTAACTGAAAAACTTAATAATTAAAAAAATCCATAAAACAAGCATTTACTTTAAATTAAATATGAAATAAACAGGACCTCATTAGTCTTTTTTCTACGTATTTTCCCCGAAAGCCTCTTTTTGGTTGAATTATCGGGCAATTTCTTCCTGATATTCTTTCTCCGGAAATACCTGATTCAAAATATTTAAATATTCATTAGAAATAGTTATAACATTTGTTAGAAATTTTTTCACTTTTTCATATGAAAATTTTTTCATATCAACTACAATTATCTATTATAAATAAATATCTAATTTATTGTTTATACAATTAAAATAAAAATTATGAAAAAAATATAACCTCGGTCGTCCTCTTTTCATTTTTGGCGGAGATATATTGTCTTGCAAGGATTCTTTATGCTCTTCCTTATCATCAACTTGTCTTACCTTCTGTTTTTCCGATTTATCTGAAAAAGGAAAAAAATTCCGAATTTATCCCCTAGATATAAGATAAAGTCAAAAAGAAATTGCTGACTCTGCTCATATTCCACCGTTACATTATCATCCTTATCATCAGCATAAACATCAAGCATATAGAGTGGTTCAATTGGAAATGGTTGATCAGATTCCTGCAATATTAATTTGATATTGCCATTAAATTAATCTATTATAAGTTGTTTTTTTATGAAATCATTTTTCTCTTTTAATCCCAAGAAAAACTTTGATTTGTATTTTCATTTGTAAAAAGAAAAATTTTGGAATCCTTATTCCTTTCCGAGAATGGGATCAAAGTGGGATTAAAAATATCTCAGCGAAACATAATCAAAATGGTTAAAAAAACCTCGATAATGTAACCATCAACGACACTTGTAATTATTCCGCCAGGATCTACTTTTGCATAAAATCTCTCAGCTTCTCTTTCAAATAACATATGCAGATCAATGGCATCTTTAGATTCTCCTAAAATTAACAACATTAACGTAATAATATTGTTATATTTTGTTATATTGTTATATTATATTTTGTTATATTCTTCAGAAAAGGAATGAACAACAAACAATACCTCCTTGTTCCAACAAAGGTGGAGGCTCATTTTCAACACCACTTTCTACGCTATTCAAATCCTCGTTTAAGCGTTTTCGCGTGCATACGTGTTGCACATTACTTGTTTCTTAAAAACAAAAAAAAAATTAAATTAAAAAATTTTGTACGGAAAATTATGCACTATTTTTATGAAAAATGAAAAAAAACAGGAACAAAAAAAAGTGAATAAATTAACCGTTGGTTGTCGCGGTCGATGGTTGTGATTGAGATATCAAAACACGCTGAATATTTTGTTGTTGTTGGAAAACAGGAATCACTTGTGTTTGCATAGGCGCAGCAGACATAAGCTGTTGATGTACAATTTGTCCATGATTTACAACTGGCAATGCAGGGCCAGAAAAAGAACCCAATTGCGGCATAAACATCATCGGTAACGATGCACTAACAGGCACTAGATTTGAAGCAATAGTCGAAGAAACATTCCCTAGAAATGAAATATGAAAAAAAAAAGAAACATTTCACAAGGAATGAAAATCATAAATAAATTTGCATGAAAAAAAATATTACCCTTGGATGAAGGAACAACCGGTCTAGGTTTAATTGGTGATCCTTTTTTATTTGTACTTTTGGACCCGCTTTCTTTAGGTGACATGCTTACTCCACAAGATTCCGATACAGATTTTGAAGTTTGCCCTTCTACAATATTTATACTCGTAATCCAAATAATAATCCGAATTAGAATATTACTTATGAATTTAATTTTTCTCAACAGTAAATAGAGATTTTCGTTTAAAAAATTCGTCCATGAAAAAATATATTCAAAAAATAAAAAAATATTAATTATCGAAAATAATAATGAACCACATTTTTAAATATATGTTTAAATTTAAACCGAGTTCACTCGTTTTCGGAAAATTCGCGTTTAATGCTTTCCCGGTGGACAATGATAATGAACTGTCTAATAATTGATTTTGTTGAACAGGAGTCTGTGGAGTAAGTGAAGTAGAAACATTGGAATTTTGCAAATATGAATTCGGTTGATAAATAAAAGCAGAGGCAGGCTGATGAGAAATTGCTGCAGAAGCTTGCTGATGAGGTGAAACAACCTCTAAAAAGCAACTTTAAAAGTTTGTTTTGTTTCTATTTGGCAAAGACTGTTAACAAAAAAAAACAAAATAGAATTTGAAGTTTTCATAAGAAAGAGTAAATAAGAAACCTTTAGCGTCATATGTTCATGCGCTATTTTCTTTTCTTCTTTCTCCTTACCCCTTTCACCTGAGCTATTTAATTGACAGATATTAGCCCATTGCTTCTTTTATAAATTTTTTTTATCTCACCTCCGAAACTACTCCTACAATTTTCCCGTAGATAATTAAAAACTACGGTTGTCCACACAATCGGAAAATAATGACAAAATTTGGGGTTTTGTTTTATTTCTTTCATATTATTTTTCATTCTAATGGGCCACTTGGAAAGTTTTTTGGACTAATCACTTTGAAATAACTTATCATTTTCACTGAAAATTAATACCTTAATATCAAGAAACCAAACTTAATTATATTTATTTGACTTGCATTGAAAACTTATATTGATGAAATATATGGGGAATATAGGATGAATACAATATAACTAAAAAACTAGACAAATCATTCTCGCCATTCTTTGTCTGCCACCATAATACAGGATGATAGGACCTTTTATAAACCAGTGTTGATCATTATTTGTGCTATTTCGAGTGGATTAAGTGACTCTGTCGCTATATCAGATTTTAGGAAGTTGTAATGAATCAATCCTAATAAAACAAATTTCTAACAATTTTTTTCGAGTCCAGAACAGCACATTCAAGAGAGATCCAGAGAATAATTCGTTGTCCAACCATTAAACCAATCTTTTTCAACTGAATCTATTTTTCACTCTAGGCAAGAATCCGTTTAAGGAAAGAAAAAGGAAGGAATCCGCTCATGCGTCTCCGTTGAAACGAGAAAGAAATTTCAAACATATCTGATGTACATGGGATATCAAAATCTCAAAATCGTTAACTTCATCTCTTTTGCATCAGGTAAGTCACAAGTTCCCATACTTAAAGTTTTTCCATTCAATGTGAACAAGTTCTTCTGACACTGGCCTTTCTTCCAAAGGATCCTTTACAACACTTAAGAGCTGTTTTATATTTTTGCAGGTAAATACTTTCAGCTTTGAAATCCATGAATCATTCTTGCATTATATTTTCTTTAGGTACACACTGTCTGTTAATATAATATGAGCTGTGGCCCAATGGCGCAGTATGAACTCACTGTGCCAGAAATCATGCTTCCTCATATTTAGGACAATAAAATATGCGGGAAAAATGGAAAATAAACTGCTAATGAATTCAGCACATCATATCATAGCTATTCAAGATTCTTTCGAAAAAGGAGAAAAAATGCGAAGCCATAGGGAGCCTAATGATAGTTTACACTACCCGATTCCGCATAACAATAAAATATACCAAACATGTTATAAATACTATAAAAACCGGAGCAATATCTCCTATTGACCTAATAATCAAGTTAATGGGACAGAAGAAGGTTATAAAATTAAAGCAGTGAAGCCGTGAAGAAAAAAGCAATTATAAAACTAAAAAATAATTAAATAAATAAGATAATAAGGCGAAATAAGCCTAACGTTGAAGATAAGTATAAGCTCCATTCGGCATTTGAAATACAATTCCTGAAGAAGATTGTGCTGCTGCCCGAATTTGAATACCTGTAATTGCTCCAATTCTCATGATTTACTCTGTGTCAATTTTTGAAAAAAAAATTTGACTTTTTATAAGGCAAATCTACCTTGCTGAAAAAATGCTTGCTGGCTTTGCAAAGAGTTAACGGCCTGACTGGAAATTTGAGATGTTGAAACAGATTCAGTTGAATTAGGTGGAATATAAGTTGTCTGGCTTGTCGCTGTCGATGATGTCAAATTAGGTAAGAATGATCCAGGCGTACCTATAAAATTGCAAAAAAAATATTTATTATATTTAATGCATACATAAACTTTCCTTCTTTCCTTTTATACTAGATAATAGAAACCTTGAAATTTTATGACTAAATTATTTAAATTACTCGTAATAAAAAAATTTTTACAGTTTAAGATGATAAAACCATCTTCGATGTATTTTAAGAAATCGTTATAAAATATAACAACCTGGCGAAGCACCAGCTTTCGGTGCAAGGCTTCGAGCAAACTGACCCAGTGTTGTATTTCCTGCCATTAATGTCGGTCTGATGTATTGCTGTTGGTGCTGTGCAATCTATAATCAATTTTAGCACATATTTTCCAAATGGCTTTCTTTTACAGTTTTTTTTTTAAATTTTTACGAAAGTTTTTTGTTAAATATTGGTAAAATAAATTTGCTCAAAGTTGTTCAATTTTCTTCAAATATGATAAAGAAGGACTTATAAGTACCGGTCTTACTGGGTTAAATTGGTTCGAGTTGTAAAATTGGCCAGAATGTACAGGAGGCACCACATAGCATTGTCCGCTATGTTGCAAAAGCATTAATTGCCCACCCTAAAAGTTTTCTCAACTTAAAAATCATTATATAAAATAAAATAAATATGAAAAGAACACTAGACAATAGCTCATCTAGCTATCTAGAGTAAACAATTTCAACTATCAAAAACAAAGAAATTTCGAAAATAAATTTATTTATTTAAAATCTATGATTTCAGAGAAAAAAAATGTAATGGCGGCACTAAAAAACAATATTAACAAACATTAGATATATCTAATATCTAATGCACAATTATATTCCAAATCATATAAAGCCAAAAAAAAATTGAATAAATCAAACCTTTTTATTGTTTCAGTGTTTTTTTTAAATGTTTTTAAAGCTAACCGAAGCGGGTGCAATCATCAGTTGATTTTGAAGCATATTTTGTGGATAGTTTGATTGAGCAATCGCAACCAATGATCTAAAAAAAAGTTATAAATTAAATATAAATTATAAATTATAAACGTTATAAATCAAAAATAAAACTTTAAATTTGAATAAAATCTTACTTATTTCTAGCATCTTCATGATCCTTTTTAGCACGAGGCGCTGATTTGCGACGATTTTTAGAAGCATGGCTTTGAGATGAAACAGTTTGTGCATCATTTATGCTAGATGCAACATTTGCAACTGTTGCTGTAATTTCCGTATCATCATTTACTGTTGTCACAACGGTATGCGAAACTGCTCCAATTTCTATTGAAGTCGATGTTGTACCATTTGTATCATTGGAACTACTATCATTAGTAGATTCCAATTCTATGGAATTGCTAGTATTTGAACCTAAATTCAATTAATTCAATAAATTATATAATTATATATAATTATATAATATAATTATGTAATAATTCAAATAATAATAGTAATTTGAATAAAAATAATAAATAATTTGAGCAAAAAATGAAATAGCAAAACGGATATTCAATAAAAAGCAACAATTTAACAGTACTAAGAAATATAAGAATAAATAAGGTCAATGAGTGTCAAAAAAAAGGCCGAAAAAATTATTCACCATCGGACGATTTATGAGTTAATGGCGTTGCTATTATTGAAGTTGAAGAAATTTGTTGTGATGCGGAATTTGTTGCTTCACCTTTTGCAGTTTCGCAATTAGTTGAAGACATCTAAAATTGATTAAATTTAAATAAATTAATTCGAAAATTACAAAAATAAAAAAATAAAAGAAAAAAACTGATTCAAAAAAAATTTTACTGATATATGGAAATTTAAAAAAAGATAAATTTCTCCCCACTAAAATAGTTAAATTATTAGCTCAAAAATCAAATGTAAACAAAATTCCCTCTAAAAGTACAAATAAAACGTATGAAATTATGACAATATAATATAATGAATTCATTTATTATAAAATTTTTCATTATTTTTTCTTATTTATATTTTTATTTATAAATATATTTTTGAATATTTTAATATTATTTATAAAAATCTATTAAAATTACAAGATTATTTATAAAATAATATACGCTACCTTGATATTTTTTAATTTCAGAAAGAAATTTCGTTCATACGACGAAATCTCTTTTCTCGCTCCTTTCCTTTTTATCTATTCGTTCGCTTTGTTCTTTTTCCTTTTTTTAATAACGAAATTCTATATTTCCACCGGTAATTATAGTAATACTTTCCTTTCCCATCAACGAATTATTTTATTTACCTCAAATTTTAATTTAATTTAATTAAAATTTTTAACCATTTAAATGAACTCCTCCGCGTCATTAAATATTCGATTTTTTCAGCACTAATAAGAATAATAAATCAAAAGAAAAAATATATAAGAAAATATATTTAAAAAAAGCAAAAAAAATTATAATGAAACATCGAAATATTGAAAAATTTCTCTTGAAAAAAAAAAAAAACAAACCAACTAGAAATAATTGTAATAGGGACAAAAGGGAAAAATTTTTTTCTTTTTTTTTTTTAAAAATTAAAAAGAATAAAAATATGAACGAATTGAGAGGGATTAAGAAGGACGAAAAAAAAGAATTGAATTAAACTAAAAGAAAAAAAAAATTTATTTTCGAATAGCGTTAAAATTTTGAAGAAATAAATTATTTGAGAACCGTTGAGAATGCGACGAATATTTATTGCTTATCGAATAATTAATTTCTTACTTATCGAAAATTAGACTATTTGAATAATATACGATAAAATTGACCTAAAATGAACTCCTCATTAACGGTCATCTCGTCTCGAGTCCTCCCTCTTGCCTTCCTCCAATGACTTACTTCATATATCTTTTATGATGGCTGACCACTTGCAAATTTATCATAACTATTTATCGGCTTCAGCTTCTTTTATACCTTTGCAAGTTAATATTTTTTTTTGCAATTTTTTTAATAAAAGAAATAAATTTAAAAAAGATCGCATTTAAAAAATTTACGAAAAAAACTGTGTTCGGATAAAACAAAAAAAGAACGTTTCATTTCCGATTCCGATCGAATTTTTTATTTTATTAAACAATACATCCGATAAAATAATATTTCATAAATAAACAATTTTTTTCGTAAACAAGAAAAAAAATTCGACAAATTTCACATTAAAAAAACAATAAACTTCCGAAAAAAACTACAAAGAAGTTTTTTTCTAAATTTTTTTTTATAAAAAAATCGCTTCGACTAAAATAAAATAAGGACAAGTACGAGAATTAAAGATTCAAGGAATTTGCTAATTCTCGGGCGCTGCCACGGATGATCGAGAATGACCTTTGACCTTTAAGTGCTTGAAAATTTTTATATGAAATGAGAAAAAATGGTTTAAGTTTTTTCTCGTTTCATTGTAAGGTAAGTGGGTGACAATTGATGAGGAGAGGAGGAGTAACGCAGATCCTTGGTCTTTGGCCTATTTTATGGTTGACAAGCTTTCTTCTTCATGGATCTCTCAAATGAATGCATAAAAATCCATGGACCTAACTTTTTCAAATTTTGAGTTTTTTTCCAACTCAGAAGAGTTTCTTGAGAGTTTTCAATGAGCCTACTTGAAGCCTACTTGAAAGGCAGTTCTCATCAAATTTCTAGCGAATCGAGGACTTTTTCTATTATTGTGCAATTAGCATTCAAACAAAGGCCTTAAGGCCTTAACAGTCAATTCAAATTTATATAACCACATGTAAAATTTTAAAATATCCGCGTGATGTTGCCGTTTCATCTATACTTCTCTATCGTCAAGTGAATTCTTAGCAAAATTTGTCTGGTTCAGTAAGCCAGCGGAATAAGTCTAATGCAAGGGTGGCGAGTGGTTCTTTGCTGGTCTCCGCTGGTTTATCGTTCTGAGCAAATATACCAGGGAGTCCCTTGGCAATAGAAATACAAATGAGTCGCCAAAATCATCCTGATTTTTGAAGGGATTTATTCGTGCGGGGAATGGAACCTCAGCATCGGCTCTCTGAGTGAACTATAAAATTTTTTAAGAATTAATAAAGGCAAAATTTTTGGTAGTGTGTGTTGAAGTTTTAGCTTTGTTCAAAATAAATAATTATTTTGAAAAAGCATAGTAAATTACGTCATCATTATAAAATAAGTGATCATTATCATATCA